CATAAATATTTACACATCTTACGTTATAAGACTTCAGTCCAACGAGCAATCACTCCACGAGCACCTTATCGGCTAGATTCAAGGTGCAAAAATAGATTATGAAGTTTATTAAGAAATAATGAATCGATACACATTTTCAAATAAAGTCAAATAGATTATTGAAAAAAAGTGAAGTAGCAGAAACGGTAGTCGCGAATATTGTAATAATATCTGAACAACACCGAAAAGTTTGATGAGAATGCTTTTATGTATGAAAATTTTTTTGAGAAAATTTCCAATTAAATAAACCTACTTGCCTACTTTGAATGTATCAGTGATTTACGATTTATATGTATAAAAAATAATCTGAAATACAGAGGTATATGGTTTGATTTGTCAAGAAATAAATAATTGTCACATATATGAAAAAAAAAACAAGAGGTCGTCTTGATATATTCAATAACATATTATCCTGGCTAAAACTTCATGAATAGGTGCTATTTTAAAACTAGCTTTGCATATCATGAACGATTTAGAGCAGGCATGTCCAATCTATTTAGTGCCGCGGGAAACGCATTGCGGACCACAAACTTAAATGTATATATATATACCAGTTCTGATTCACTTTAGAATTTGAGCCTCGCTGAATCAAACGTTTGGATTGCACAAAGCTATTGCGAATAGCTGAACATAATACGCACGCATATTTCGCAGTGACTAAATTTCTTCCTATTGAACACACAAAAGCAAAGATATTGTACAAGTACACTTTTTACTTTACGGTGGCGATGAGGATGATCAGAGCCCACACGAAAGATAATAATCATAATGTATTAAATTTGGGGTGCAATTTATTTTTATAATTTTCGTCGACCAATGATCGCACAATAGCTTTTGATTTTGTTGAGCAAAATACGCGGTCCTTCGAGAAATAAAATAAAAAAACATTGATGTCGACCAGAGCGCAAGATTTGGTACATGTGATATCGAGAACCGATATTGGGATGTACATGGCCGGAACAAACAAACCAAATTAACGAAACACATCTTGCTTTATTTAAAATTCACGGCTCGTTGTGAAGGGTGGTTGAATACAACAGACTGAAATAGACAAATCGTACATATCAGCGCTAACTACAGCGAAAGTAAATCGAGAGCGATGTCTTTTCATTTAGTCATGTCTTTCGCGTGTTTGAACGAGGAATAATTTTTCTAGTAATATTTTCTTTAATTTTTTATTGGAGGTGTCAAATTTGTTGGAGACATCGGGTTAAGTTAAGTTTATTTAATTCCGAAAAATACTGCACGGGCCACTCAAAACTCTTCGGCAGGCCACATGTGGCCCGCGGGCCACGGGTTGGACGACCCTGATTTAGAGTTGAACAAAGTATTCAAAAGCCCTACCTGTCACTAATAGGCGACAAATAAATTGTAGTGGAAATTATCTGCAAACTATCTAAGACAAACGGTAGTTCAGTGAAGACCGTTATATCACGTGAGTGATATTGTACAAGGAGCTGGTTACCTTGCATGAAACTTTGTTCAGCCGAACAAAGCAACAATGAGAAAACGTGTGTAACTGGGATCGACAGCAAACTATGCCACCGAGAATCAATTAAGGTATATCGCTGCTTTGTCTCAAAATAGAAACATATTGCTCAGTGTATAGGCTTTCACCTTTAATTTTTGTTGTAATAGCAACGAAAAATATAAAATAACCCTCTGATCGTAATTTATTTGAAAATACAGTATCATATTATTAAACTTCGTCTTGGGATTCTCTGCTTTCGTTATTAGTTTATTTGTATTTTGTTTGATGTGAGAGAAACCCGACAAATAATAGGTAAGTTATAGCGTTAGCATGATTATATGTTTAATATATTGAAATGTAAATCTGACATAGAAACGTATGTAAAGTTTTCTGCTTACATTCTATTGCTTCGAGAAGTTGATTTTGATTGATCGTCTGCATAAACAATTAAGCTTTTGTCGTTGCAGTATTCGAATTCAATAAAAACTTACTCAATTGGATCCAGTTATGGGAACATAAAACAGGGTCTGTTGTCAAAAAGTACGTTTGAAACCGTGATTCCAGGTCAGCATGATTTCGTCTCAAAAATTATTACCATTTTTCATATATACATGAAAAATCTCGCAGAGTTCTCTTTTTTGTAATTTTTCGTATTGGCAAAATTCGGAGTTAAACATATAGTAAAGGGTATTGCGGATATAGCCATATTGTATAGATATTTGCTTGCATTTTAGTATTTGATAAACGTGTGACTGATCTTCAGAAGCGTAAACATTCAGAACCTGTTTCTGTGACGTGTGGGCAGAAGTAGGTCTACGTTTGTAATCGTGATGCAAGGCCAGCATGATTCTGATCTGCAAAACATTATAATATGCAACATGACTTCCGCTCATTCTTATACTAAGAATTACACTGGTATTGTTTAAAAAGAGAATTGTTGCAGAGTAACTTCCTGTTTAGGCAGTGTTCTCTGCCAAATTCTTGATTTTCTTCACTAAAAGCAAGGTATACGAACAAATCCCCGGCCTTAAACGCAATGGTATAACAGCAATCGAAGATTCTGAAAAAGCTGAGCTTCTGGCGAGTTTGTTCTCGGCGGTCAGTAGCAATGAAAACTACACCCCGAAATTTCTTCAAAAAAGATCGCGTTCGAATCCTCACATGACGTAACAATCTTCAAGGCTAATCACAAATTGGATGAAAATATCACAATGAAAGTACTTAATCAAGTTTTAAAACCAAGACAAAGCACTGCTCCAGGACTAGACAAGATTTGCTACGCGATGCTTATAAAATTGTCCGCAGAATGTAAAGACATATTACCCAAATTGTTCAATCTAATTTTGAACAAAGGGAGTATTCCATATACCTGAAAACGCTCTGTTGTAATTCCGATTCCTAAATCCAATAAACAAAAAGACCAACCATCTTCATATAGGCCTATATCTTTAATTAGCAATTTATGTAAGGTCTTGGAAAGAATTATAGTTCGCAGACTGAAGTGGTTTGTTGAAAAAAATGGCATATTATGTAGAGAACAGAGCGGTTTTAGGTGGAGGAGATCTACGACTGATGCATATCTAAAATTACACGAAGTCACCGAACACTCATGGCATGAGATATTTCCCAACTCTCCAACATTTCGTACATTTGGTATGATCGCAAGAACTCAAGATATTGACTAATTGGATATTAGTATTATTAAAGCCGAAGAAATTCCTCCATGGTATTTGGACGAGATTAATATCGACGATGCATTATCGAATATACTTTTTCCTTGGAATACGCCCAACCAAACAAAAGCTATAAGTTTAGATTATATAAATGAATCCTATCAATCACACGTGCATATCTATACGGATGGATCAAAAATTGATGACAAAAGCGGTGCTGCGGTTTATGTTCCATATAATAATTCTCGTATAGGTTTTAGGCTGGACAAAGACTGTTCCTCATTTGATTGCGAAGTTTTTGCAATATATAGTGCCCTTACATGGTCAAAAAATAACTAAAAATGGAATATATATACTTATCATATCGGATATCATAATATCATATCATAATATCTCGGATCAAATTAGTAATATATCTTCAAATATTCAGACTTGTCTTTTTGAGTTACAGGAACAAGGATTCGAAATCACACTACTATGGGCTCCAGGACATGTTGGCATTCCGGGTAACGAAGTCGCCGACAAAATAGCAAAGGTATCAGCGGCGAAAGTCAATGTGGACAAAAGATTATCCCAATCACAAAACAAAGTCAAATCACAAATTCGACAATTCTGCGCTAATAAATGGGATCAACATTTTATACACAGTGACCAAGCGTTTCATTACAAGACAATTTTTCCCTCAGTTGAAGACAGCATCAAGAATTCCACTTGGTCACCACGAATAATGGACAAAATTTTATTTCGACTTCCGACGGAACATTGCCGTTTAAATAAGCACCTCCATAAAATAGGAAGCCATAATAATGGACTTTGCAATTTCTGTAATGTTCCAGAGACAGTAGAACATTTTCTAATGAACTGTCGTGCATATAGAAATGAAAGACGCATACTAAAGATGAAATGCCGCGATTATGGCATTGATTTTCAACTCAAAGCTATCTTACGCGACCCTAGCATTTTCCCTGCTCTTGTTGATTTCGTGAAATCTACCAAGAGAGTACTTACTATAGGCATATACAAAGTTTGATTTAAGTTGTCTCGCGCAAAAGACTTAAATTGTTTAAAGCGCCATATACTTTCATACCACACACATTGAATGAAACCTTTGCCACTAAAATGCAGCCACGGTCTCATCTCAGATTGATGTGCATGTTCCATAAATTAAGCCAATCTAAGTAAAAATAGGCAAAAACCAGGACAAAGATCCAGAACAGAAGAAGGAAATGGTAGCAAAAGAACACAAAATATGACTGGACAGGAAAACAAACCTTGGCGAAAGGCGGAAAACGAACACAAAAAGTGAAAGGCAGAAACCAGGAAAAAGTTTAAGTTGAACATAGCGAAGAATATTGCTGGTATAGACAGAATGTAATAGATGTGGAAGGTATTTAGTTGCTTGCTTTTTGAAACTTGATTGATTTTCAGAAACATAAACTATTTAGATCGTGTTGGACTGGCATCGTGAATATAAACATCTTACAAACGACATCGTGATCGCGACGACGTGACTTCCTCTCTCGTATGAAGATTTACGGTTTCATTTATTTAAATGTTCAACACGTATAAGTCTTAAACTTTAAGAGAACGACTTGTCAGAAGTGTGAGAGCTGCTTTACAAAGGTCCTATTTTGAGAAATAAATTTTTTGGAGAATAGAAACATAAGATACTGAAATACGGAAATCGCGTTAAAATTCAAGTTCTATTCTTTTTAAATTATTTGTTATACTCATACCAAATTAGTTATAACCAAATAAATATCATCTGACACACTAAGATCATTTTTGTTTACAAATAGCAGAAGGTAAAGCTGGTTACATATTTACTAAAATGTTCAGCACAAGTGAATTTAACCGAATGTCACTTCTGAGTCTGCTGTTTTTAGTCGCCTTGACAAAAGCAAGCTGCACATCACGTTATGTTTCTTCATTAATACATGATATAGACTGGAAAAAGGTAAAACATGAAATTTAGCTTACTTATCCGCTGTTGTTGTGCGAAATGTCATTTTTCTAAAAATTAGTGTTTATATCTATTTTAATACTCTACTTTATGAAAAGTGAATAACTTTTATTCTTCCCATTTTGAGCTATATTCTTCTTTGTATCCTGGGTTATTTATAATTTTCTAACAGGGTGTTCATATTTTATATATGCACCAATAAACTTGCACCAAATCACCAAAATCGTATTTGTGTTTTTACAGTATAAAGTGTATAGATGTTTTAAAATAAATCAGTGCTTCCTAACCTTTTTCAGTTCGCGAACCACTTTTATTGACATCTGTGCGAATCACTATAGAATGTTAATACATAAGAAAAGAGTTAATGTATCCAAATCGTCGCATCTAGGGTATGACAGTCAAATTGGGAATAATTGAAAATATCGTGAAAGTATCCAATTCCAAAAATAGTCGTTAAAAATTGTCAGTCAATGCTGGTCCAGAGTCCAGGGGCGCATTTTTAAACTTTGTCATGGGCGCAATTTTATGTCTAAATACGCCTCTGCTCATATGTGTTATTGTTACGTAATTATAACGATAAAGCCACAATTTCTTGATCTGATTGAAAACTGTATGTAACACTTAGAAATACGTCGCGACCCACCACGAAATAGCTTCGGCACCCACTGGTTGGGAAGCACTTCTCTAGATTATAAACTATTTTATGTGTTTTTTCAGTATATATACAAACTTTTATGACAGGTTCAATCAAAAGCTCCTTGGTATGATGTTATCGACATTCCGCGTCCTCAAGAACCTGTTGGATGTTGGAATTTTAATAATTTCACCGACGAAGGAGACAGGCTTGTTTTAACGACAGAGAACTTCAGTGACAAAAGGCGAATATGGATTTAACGTTGAAGATGTCGAATAGCAAATAGAATAGAAATATTAAATCTTAAATATCACAAAACGCATACATATAGTGACTCACTAAAAAGTCCAATCGGGATTCACCGGAAATTTAAAAAAAAATCCATGACTTATTCTGTCAAGTGGAATTAGAACACGATTCAGAAATGGATTTGCGATAACAATTACTAACTTAGTACCAAGTCATGACTGTTAGAGACTCTATACATTGTATAAATTGTTTCAAATAACTTAACATAGCGGGTTAAACGCGTGATGTAAATTTTCTCATACTAATGTTAATTATGCTCTTGTTATTATTTATAAATTTGTCTGATAAAATTGCATCTTACTCTCGAACTTCAATGGTATTCGAACTATTGCCTATATATATATATATATAGTATTACTTTAGTCGTGGAAAGTAGAGTAACAACTATTTAGAATTTTTTATCCGCAGCGTTGAACCCAGAACTCATCAGTTCGAGATAACTCGAGATCAAAAAAGAGGGATTTACCATCTCAAGAGTAAGTAGATCAGCTACTACAGGATAGAAGTTTCGTTTTTGACAACATTTACGTCGTGGGTAATATATTTCAATCTACAATATATAATTTATCATCCTGACGTGTGAAGGACGTTGCGTTTGTTTTCCTATTTAATAATCAAATCTTATTGTGAAGAGTTTGAATGAATATAGATTCCTCCATTTTTCAAGCTCAGTTAATATCCATTTTCAAGAGTATGCACTAAACATTTATAACACATATTTGATCAACAGATTCAGATCACAATGACTGATTCTGACAACACTTAATTTTAATTAACACTAAAATTATGAGTTTGGATATTTTGCAGAAAATGACTTTGTCGAGGTGTTTAATAGTTTTGCAGGTTCAGAGAAAAAGCAGAGCACGATTCAACAAGGTTTGTCTACTCTCTGTATATATTGTCGGTTTTGTTTTTACTTTTGATTTGTCATCTTTGATAATTTTAATGCAAAACATGTCATTCACCTTTTTTATGCAGAATCCGAAGATTTATCTTCAGAAGAGGTTTTCTATTTAACCGACTACGACAACTTCTTCATTGCGATTTACAAGTCCTACAACGGTAAAAAGTGTTTCTCTTACTTGTTTTATTTATTGCTACCCTACTTGCAGCATTCGGTGTCTCGGCAACATTACGGTTTTTTAAATATACAATTCATTTCAGTCTTTATGTCCATTCGATGGCTTCAAATTTATTTTGGATTCCGTTTTAGCCATGCTGTAACGTCATAGGAGTCCACTTGTACATCCGATATCGTTTGTATATAACAATCCCATTATACTATATTTATAATATTAATATGATTATTGTGCAGGTTGGACTGGTTATGTCAAAGCAAAAACTCCTCAAATCACTTCAAATCAACTTCAACTAATCTCAGATGTTCTGACTGAAAACGGCCTCGAATCTCCGGTAATGACCTTGAAAAATTTATGCCTCCGGATGGGAAATAGATTCAATGACCCTGCTGCCGTTATTGTCGTCTGATTTCAGAACTTCTACTTGAAATATAAAAATTTTCATTTAATATAACAAAATGCTTGTACACAGAAAATACGGCGCTCCCGAAGTATGTGCACCAAGATGGCGCACAGCCTGAACCTCAATCTGGTACAACTACTATGTTCAGGTTGTGCGCCATCTTGGTCCACATAATTCTGGAGGTCCGAAAATACTATATAGAAAGGCGCACTTCGCCTAGCCCCTCCTACTTCAACCACCCTAGCCATCGCTTTGCCTTATATCCCAACTGCCATTACAAGTACTATATGTATTTTAGATTGTTTGTTTTGTTTAATATTTATCAGAAGAATGAATACCGCACATTTTTGTTTTACGCCAGTATGGCTTAGTGCAAGGGTGCCCAACCACGCCAGACTGTTTTTTGCGGCCCGCCCTATAAATTTTGTAAGCAGACTTTTTGAACTTTCACTATGTTACATAGGCGAAAGTTTGTTTCGTGATTTTGGTGTGATATTCCATCCATCTATCTACATACGGATGCCGATTCTTATTGTTATGTATGTATCAAGTCTTGCGCCCTGATGGACATCGACGTTAGGATTTTTTTTATTTCTCGCAGAACTGTGTGTTTTGTTCGACGATCTTGATTGTGCGATCATTGGCGACGAAAGCTGAGCGCAATTATAGGAATTAATTTGGAGCCTAAATTTCCAAATTAGTTTCACTCTGATTGTAGGCTTTGATCTTCTTTATAGCCGACGTAAAATAAAAAGTCAACAATATCTTTGCTCCTGGCTCCGGGACACGTTGTTCTTTTATGTTTGTATTTTTGTGTCTGTTATGTTAGGGTTAAATAACAATTTGGAAATATCGTCACTGCGTATTCGTCAATAATTCTGATAAAATTGACTTAAATGACAATTTTACCTATCAAATAAGTATATATATTTGTTAAGAAGTCTTGGTAATGTTTCTTCATTAAATACTTGTATTGAAGTTTCAATTTTACAAAACGGCCCACTAAAATTTGATGGCGCACATTACGCTCATTAAAATATTGAAACAATATCATAGCCACTGAAAATAAATAAATCATAAACACCATGACTTAAATACAAGACTCAATTTTGCCGCCTTTGATTGTTAGTGAAAACTGTGTGCAGATTCTCGTGTGGCCGTCAGAAATCCACAAGTGCGTTGTGTAATGATTGATTTTTTGATTGAGCGACTCGCGAATGCCATGTCCACGCCCCGTGTTACCAGATATTCGAATACTAAACTGCTGATATTCGAATATTTTGCCAGCACTAATCAGTAACCAGAAAATAATTATTAACTTGATTGATTTTATGTTACCGTAATAATCTTGCCTTTTATGTATTATGTAAATTCTAACGAAATCGGACTTGGGCTAGTATTAAAGATTGTTACAATCGTTTGCGGCCCGCAACGAATTTCGTTATGTGAGAGTGGCCCGCGAGACGAAAAAGGTTGGGCAGGTCTGGATTAGTGCATATACACCGTTACATTGATAATTGTTAATATATCAATGTATATATCTTATCATTACGAGACAAATGAACATGTATACTCATCTTACGTTATAAAACTTCATTACAACGAGCAACCACTCCTCTAGCCTATCTACCGTCCCCTAGATTTAGTGTAAAAAGTACATAATGAATAAATGAACTAATACAGGTTTTCAAATAAAGTCGTGAAGATAATTTAAAAAAGGTTCAATAGCAAGAAAACTAGTCGTGATGAATATTGAGGCTGAAGCAAAAAATAAATTGTTACAAAATACTCAAAATACGACTGTACATAAAAATAAACTTTGGTGAAAAGCGAAAAAAAAAGTGAAAAGGTAGAAACCAGGAAAAGGTTTCTGGCCAAATACCATAGGCAATAGTCTTCAAGTCGAAAGTCAAGATGGAATGGTATCAAATAAAGCGGAAAAATAAGTTACCGAGTCCCGAGATCACAAGAAATTCTGGATGAAAAAGCAGGGCGCGCTGTCAAAAACAATCATATGGAAAAGAGTGAAAGAATAATATAATAAAGTCAGGTCGGCGCTGAGGGAAGATGCTTAAAATGATATAGGCAAGGCGCGAGAAAGGGAACTGGATAAAAATTTTAGACAGAACACGAAGAGTATTAATTAGAATTTTTATACATGAAAATCCCGTGGAATAATTCTTTTGCTATTTTTGCATCGACACAGTTTGGAGTTGAACATAGCGAAGAATGGTAGCTTATAGAGTATATACAGAATGTATTAGTTAGATATAGAATGTATTTATTTGCTCGCTTTTTAAAATTGATCTTCACAAGAATAAACAATTTAGATTCACTTTCAATGGGGTGTCGAAAGAAGATAAATGCAGAAAAGTAGCCATATAAAATTTAGTGGATACGGCTTTTTTCCGTTCCCTATATTTTAACTGCGTACAGGTCACATAGGATGCCATTCTTGGGATTTTTGCATCCAAAAAATGCTATCTAACTCAAGTCTTCCATGTATATACTTCGTGACGATTTACGTCCAACACAAGATAATATATCAATTCATGCTTGATACATGCTTGTATATATATACATCGCTTTGAATGTATACTTTATCTGTACAAATCAACGATATGCCTTACATGGGATATTTATGGCACATATGTCTGCCACATTTTTCTCCGTAGTCAGGAAAATGGAAAATTGATCTTCAGCTGCATACACAATTTATCATATTCGGCCTTCTATAATCTATATAAAGGGTTTATCTGTTTTAAAGTTCAAAGCCATAAAGCGTAGCGCTGTGTCGGGTGTAAGATGTGCAGTTGTTTATAATCATGATGCCAGGAAAATACGATGTCTGCCAATATGCAACGTGATTTCATCTCCCACATAAAGAGTTAGGTTGCATTTAAATTTTCAATATTTTCAGGGAACGTCTTATCAGGAGTGGGAGGTAGGCTTAAGGCTTATTAAGCAAAGATCTTATTACAGAAAATGAAATATTTGTGAGGGAAGGGATAAAGATACCTTCAAATTATTTTAAAACTATGTGTTATACGCATATCAAATTGGTTAGAACCAAATAAATATCATCTGACACGATAGCTTCATTTTGTTTTGTTTGCATATCTTGTTTGAAACTCACTAGATTTATTGATCCTAATTCTATAGCAAATAGCAGAAGGAACCGTTGGTTACATATTTATTAAAATGATTAGCACAAGTAAATTCAACCGACTGGCACTTCTGAGTCTGCTCTTTTTAGTCACGTTGACAAAAGAAACTTGCACTACACGTTATGTCTCTTCATTAATTCATGATATAGACTGGAAAAGGGTAAAACATGAAATTTAGTTTACTTATCCACTATTACTTTTAAAAACATATTGTTTATATCTTATCATGATAATTTTTCGATTTCATATACGGTATGTTTAAAAAACAATTAAGCCTCCCTGTTGTTTAATTGGATCAATTTTTAGATGGGTTGTTGTTGTGTTTTGTGCATTTCATTTTTCTAAAAATTAGCTCGCACTTACACAAAAAAATGCTGCTTTCAAATAAAACTTAATTAGGGGATCGCTAATGTGTACTTTATGCCTTTTAAAAATTGTAAACATGTATGCTTAAGAAAAAAAGCAAGAAGGTCAAGTCTTTCTCACCATCTCTGCCCGATTTATCTTCAAAATGCTAAAATAATCACTTATGTTCGTTAAACTCGGTTTAGCAGATAAATAAAATGCAGTTAAATAAACTGCAACCTGTAGCCCTTTCTGTGTTTTTACAGTATATATATAACCTTTTATCACAGGTTCAATCAAAAGCTCCATGGTATGATGTTATCGACATTCCACGTCCTCTGGAACCTGTTGGATGTTGAATAATTTCACCGATGAAGGAAACATGCTTGTTATAACAACAGAGAACTTTAATGACGGGAGGCAAATAAATATTTAACGCTAAAAATGTCATATATATAGCAAATAGCATAAAAATATCAAACCTTAAATATCACGAAATGTATCTAGTGAACTCACTAGAAAGTCCACTTAACATAGCGGGTTAACGTGGGATGTCAATTTTTGATTACAATTACAAACTTATTTTACTCGCGTTATTAATTACAAATTTGTGTCATGAATTTGCACAACTATTGCATCTATAAAATTACTTTGACCGTGGAAGTAGGAAAACAAATACTGTATATAGGAATTTTTCATCTGCAGCGTTGAACGTACAACCCATCATTTCGAGATAACTCGGGATCAAAAAGGAGGAATTTACCATCTCAGGAGTAAGTAGACCAGCTACCCTATAGGGTAAAAACATCTTTTTTGACATAAATTTATCCACGGGAAATACATTTTAATCTAACATATATAATTTGGTTTCACTTTTATGTGTGAAGGAGGTTGCGTTTTCCTATTTTTAATAACCAAATCTTTACTCTCGCTGTTCCGGTACTTTGTACTCATTCTTCGTGCAGAAAACGATGTTTACTTCCTTCCACTTACCACCTCCGTTATTTGTTCATAAACGTTGTATATAGTTATAATCGCCAGCATGACAAATTGAAGATATTATTGTGCATAGTTCTCCATTCTTCAAGATCCGTTAATATAATTTTCAACCATGAGTATCCTCTTTCAAGGTATGCACTATTGACTATATATTTATAGCACTATAGGGCAACTAAGATTCGACCCTATCTGCGTGTCCACACTCCCGTGTTATTGAACACACGTTAACAGAGTGTAACTCCGATCTTGACTCCTTCAGAGATCAAAAAGCACACAATGTATTGAATGCCAATTGTTATATTGTAAAGTTGCACAATCGAATTGATCCAAAAACGAATTACACTTTAAACCTTAAAGCAAGTATATGTGATGAAACCAAATTTCTAACTAACAAAGAACGGCAAAGACAAGCTACACTGAGTGAGAGAAATATATCATAAAGGAAATGAATTGGGACAACGACCTTGTTTCAGGCAAATAACATGCACTACTAACAATAAGTGGTGAAAATATTAAAATACACAGTAACTATCCTTATGTACTTGCTACACAATTCCCCCCGACAATAAAAAATTAGTTTGCTAATTTTTAAATTTTGTAAGACTAGCTAATAACGATTTCTGATTGAATAATATGTCGTAAAATTTGCCATGTATTGGTGTATTCTGCATCAAGGTCGCTGATGACCAACTAATGCAACGACACAGGAAAACCAATTTGATTGAGATACCTCCGGTTGAAGGATCTTTTGCGGTGAAATCTACAGATTTTCACGAAATCTTCGATAACACCCAGAACTAAGCCATTGCGTTTGGACAATCGACTTCTTTCTGCTTTGTAAAATAATGAACGTAACAGTTGATTTGAAGAATAATGTTGACGTTAAGATTTCGTTCGTTGAAAACATTCCTCTAAGATTTGAAAACTTGTCCAACTCTCGGATTTTTCAATCTGGGAAGATTGTCCGATGAATTGTAATGTAGCAAGAGTTCGGTAGCGCTGAATTTCGGAAAGTCGCGGGCCCTGCGAACTTTCGTATCTCCAACATTCCAAACAATTGTGAAAGCGCCTTTGCGACGGAAACTCGTGTTCGGTTCACATTGACTTAGATGAGCTGGAGGTGAATGCAGTTTTCGTGTTATGTGATTGAAGTAGAGAGGACCCTTCCAAGCGGGCCACGAGTATTTGGGTTCGACTTGGTTTCTAAAGATGCTGCAATAGATGATGATCGACTTGAGAGAAATAAAGTAGATGTTTTGTAAACTTCCGCCAAACAACAGGTCGTATAAATACTGCTGCTTGGAGTAAGAAATCGGCTTGGGTATATATATCATCATGTTATTTTCTGCGTAACTTGCTTTGTCGATAAACACATTTGAAAATCCAGTAATAATATGAAGTTGAGTTAGTGCTGTCTGATCGTAGGAGGTCCTGGTCCAGATTCCTCGTTTTGAGTCAAAAATCTACCTTGTTCTGGCCTTCTTGACTGCTTAATCAATTGACATAGCGCCAAAGACTGCAGTTTGGTTGGTTGCTTGATTCCTGAAATGCTGACGTATTGTCCACTGACTCGATTAGTGATGAATTTCTTTTCCATTTTGATTGACGAAATTCCAGTTGCTGAATTGAAGTTGATTGCTTATTGATCACGAACGGGTATCACCAAAATATAGGGCAACAAAGATTCGACCCTATCTGCGTGTCCACACTCCCGTGTTATTGAACACACGTTAACAGAGTGTAACTCCGATCTTGACTCCTTCAGAGATCAAAAAGCACACAATGTATTGAATGCCAATTGTTATATTGTAAAGTTGCACAATCGAATTGATCCAAAAACGAATTACACTTTAAACCTTAAAGCAAGTATATGTGATGAAACCAAATTTCTAACTAACAAAGAACGGCAAAGACAAGCTACACTGAGTGAGAGAAATATATCATAAAGGAAATGAATTGGGACAACGACCTTGTTTCAGGCAAATAACATGCACTACTAACAATAAGTGGTGAAAATATTAAAATACACAGTAACTATCCTTATGTACTTGCTACAGCACATTCTTCAAACACCAGAATTTGCTTACATTAACAGATTCTGACGTGGAAACTTTATGTTAAGCTGATTTTAACACTGAAATTTAGAGTTTTTTGATATTTCGCAGGAAATGACTTTGTCGAGGTGTTTGATAGTTTAGGGGGTTCAGAGAAAAAGCAAAACACGATTCAACAAGGTTTGTCTACTATTTTTCTCGCTGGTTTTGTTTTATACCAATACATTGGTACTTAAAAGAAACAGAATTAGATTAAACATACCAATCTGCAATCTATATACAGAATTAATTTAGCAAAGTACCGACATACAAATAACATTATAACAAATCTGATATATAAGTTGAATCTAGCTAAATACTTCCATACGCCAGAAATCTTCTCGAACAATTTAAATCTTTAATCTATCATCTTTGATACTTTTAATGCAAAACATGTCATTCCTTGGTTTCACGCAGAATCAGAAGATTTATCTTCGGAAGATACTTTCTTTTTAACCGACTACGACAATTTCTTCACTGCTATATACAAGTCCCATGCAGGTGTTTCTTCTTATTCATTTTATATCATTGCTACCTTACTTGCATCACTAGGTGTCTTGGGAACATTGTTTTAATTTAATTAATGACTTTATATTAGCATTTGCACCTATTCGTTGACTTGAAATTAACGATTTCTCAAATTTTGGATTCTATTTTTAGGCTCGCTCTATCGTCATAGTGAGTCGATTTGTATCCTACACCGCTTCTATATGATAATTTATTTTTGTAATATTGATATGGTTATTGTGCAGGTTGGACTGGTTATGTAAAAGCAAGAACTCCTCAAATTACTTCAACTCAACTAATCTCAGATGTTCTGACCGAAAACGGACTCGAATCTCCAGTGATGACTTTGAAAAATTTATGCCTTCGGATGGAAAGTCGATTCGATGACCCTGCTGCCGTTGTTGTCGTCTGATTTAAGAATTTTCAATTGAATTGTAAAAAATTTTCATTTGACTTCAACAAAATCATGTATACAGAAAAATACTATATTGAAAGGCACACTTCACCACCATCACTCACCTACTCTAGCCATCACTTTGCCCCTATAACCCAGCTGCCTTTTTAAGTAGGCTATATGTATTTTAAAATGTTCGTTTGTTTAAAATTTATCAGAAGGAGCGATTGCCGCATATTTTTGTTTTACGCTAACCATACGCCAGTAAGACTTTGTTCATTCATTACATTAGAATTGTCAATATATCGGTTTTCTACTGAAGAACACCCAATTATCAAATAAACTATTTACTGTATTATTCAGACATCAACTGATATAAGTCACAATAGGATATCAGACCAATACAGCGCTATGAAGTAAATTCAATCAGATCTCTGTTTTCAGTTAGTGCATAAGAGAAACCACAAATCTAAGTTTATTTTAATTCTCAACATTACTTAAGTTGTATAATACAAGTATGTCACGGCAGTTGAAGGTTTGTAATAATATAACCCAGGTTAGGAAATAGGCAATTCTCAACATACAACGAGCATCAAATCTAACTACATATATAACATAAAACAGTGGGATTTTTTGTACGAAACCCCGCCACCAATGCAGAAATATGTGAATTATTAAAAAATTATCCAGTTAGGATAATTCATAATAGGAATTACGAAATTTTTTTAGGTAAAAAAAGTATTTTTAGAAGTTGTTGTTAGTAGCCTTTTGTACAGACTCGGGACTGTCTTTCAATATCTGTTTCGACGGATGGGGAAACACCACTTTTGATACTGGGGATTACCCTCCTGTGAGATTGTACTTTTCAAAATTGGTAGGTGCATGAGATGAGATGGATGTTTTTTTAGGTATTTTGATGGTAATATTAGAAAGTTAGTTTATTTTATTTTTAATACGACGTCACAAACAAACAAAAACAAGAGGGAAATCGTAAAGTTTAAGACTTCGCAGACACACAAAAACAATACAGCAATAACAGAATACGGTCAGACGGTAGAGCAAGACATAGGTAGATGGGTGAAAGACCTGTTTAGATGCAGTAGTTTAACGTTGTGATAATCCCTATACTCTGGAGCAGTGTAAATATGGAATGATACAGTGATAAAAGCAGACATAAATAAGTCAACACATTCTAGATCCTAAAATGTTGTCAAAACCAAACTACAGGACTAAAATATCACATGATCGATGCATACATTCTAAGGCAAACGTAAAAAAAACATTCAGTCAACTCAAAATATTTTTCTAACATTTCAATAAAAAAATGATTGATAGGATGTCACCAGCTACACTGATGCAAAAATAGTCCATAATTTTGTTTATATGACGCTTACTCGTATATTTTGGTTTAAGCAAGACCCTGTGCAAGCATCCATTGATATTTAATAATGTGCAAGGAGCTGCTATTTTGGGTTCTGCTTTGCTTACCCATATTTGGTCTGTAGGTGGTGGACATGGGATTTGAACCTGAGATGTGTAACCAGCGATGTCAAAGCAGCGCATCTTAGACCTTTAACTTCAAGGCTATAACGCTTATTGAAATATTATTCCAATCCTATTCTTTCATTAGCCACTCTGTGACTCTGAGATGTGATCCGCTGCGGACTTCTCGAAAATATATCCACATCTGATAATGTCCAGTCTGATTGAGCTTCTATAATGAATTTTCAAATGTCACTCCTAAAACAGTAAATTATCATTAGAATTCCATTTGTCTCAATGTGTGAGAGAAGAAAGGTTATTGACATAATGAGATAGCTGGGATACAGTAGGCAATATAATAGCCAAGATTTTGTTTTCCTGGATGAACATAAAAATAATAAAACAGATTAGTCATTTGATGCATCATGGTTCATGACCTCCCTTCTTGTTACCTCTATTGGTTGCCTGATTGAGTGTAGGTCGTGGGAGTTGACGTCAGCCTCCCTGCATGAAGACTATTTTTTTTGAAGACAGATTTCTGTCTTTATTTCATAATTTCATATTGTTATAATACATAACGACAGTTCGATCACAGCATAAATAAAATGGTCAGGAGCTTCGGTGACCTGTGAGGGTCTTGCGTACTGACCAACCCGATTCAATGTTTAAATATTCGCTGCACTGTATTTCTATGAAAATCTGTACTATTATTCTTTTTTAATATTGTTTTGTGGAAATAAAATCTCTTACACTCAGTCAAGCTGGGTTAAGTTTGCCAATTAGAACCTATTTCGCTTTATTCATAATATGGCCAAGCACAGAAAACTACTAAATTTTTCTTGTTCCTATCTTTTATGAAAAATATTTTTAGTACACCAGTGTTGGATCCTAGAAGAATTTTCATGAAACTGATTCATTTGAATTGTATTTAGAATGTAAAATCTACACATTATGGCAAATTATTCAGGATATTCATCAAAAATTTTGGTATCAAATATCCCAAATAACTTTTCCAAATTAAAGCTCAAGTTGAAATTGGAAGAAGTTGTTGGTGACGGATGTATTGAAGACTATGAACAGATCAATGATAACCTTGTAAAGATAACAGTAGTGAATATTGGAGGTATGAGATATGCATTCTTGCTAAAATATACAAGTTGTTCAGTTTATTTTTTTTTTATCCTGTTAAATTTAGTACAGTAGTAGGTGTGGATTCTTCTCAACCAAATGGATATGATTTTGTTATAATAAGTTCCTGTTTAGATTAATACAGACAATTCAGAAGGAAACAATTTTATATCATTTCAAACCATGATAAATATTTGACCAAAATCACAAATTCACTTTTAACTTAACATTACTTTTCAATAATATATTCATCCTCAAATGTATGCATAAGATAATTTGGATTATAGCTCAATACCATAACCTTTTTCCTCTCTAAAATTGCTTGCATGTACAAGTAATTTAAGATTGTGTGTACAGCCATGTAATATTCTTTTTAGCCCAACAAAATTCGCTGGATTCATGTATTTCTCTGACATTTGGTGGGCAGAAACATGAATTGAAATTAAAATATTTGGAGGAAGATAATGCGGGTACAGGAATTTATACTTTTTTGGTATCTGAAGCATATCCAAAGCCAATACTGAACTACCTGAGTAAAAGCCGAAAACACACTGAAGAAATCAAAAAAATGCTGGAACAACATAATTTAAAATTGCTGCATATATCTCCCGAAAAGATTGAAGTTCAGGTATCGACTCAGCAAATATGTAACAAATGATTAGAGTTAAATTATTGTGTTATAAAGTTATATCATGGTTTAGTAAAAGCTTATTTTAAATCCTAATTATGCAAATAAAACTTTGAGCTTTATATTGGAATTTCTTGATTTCATTAATTAACAGCATATTATAGTATAAGTATAAGTTTATTTCGACTCCATAATCAGCAATAGACGATAAAATAATAGATAAAACAAAAAAATAAAAGTAACTGATTATAGAATCGGGAGAGCAAACAAAATCTCAAGAAAGGTTGGAAGCGTACAGATTTTAGATGGGAAGGTATTGATAAAAGAAGTAGTACGTGTTCGCTCACCCAAAAGTAAAAAAAAGCTAAATAAGGCATGCACGCACTCACACACACACACACACAATCATCGAGACATAAGGTCGGAAGTGAAAAAAAAAATATATATATTTGGCAGTCAGGCCCCAAAAAACAATTAACTCAACCCAGAGCATTGAACCAATTTTAAATCTGTTCCAAACTTTTGACTCTTCTTTACAAAATTTCAATTTACTCCCAATGAACAGATAAAATTTATCAATTCAAATATTCTATAATAAAAACAAATTAATATTCATCCAAAATTCTTTTTTAAACTCAGTGGTATATCTTTTTTAGAATGCTGTGGGATTTATCAAAAGTGAAGAAGATTGTGGAGAATGTATACAAAGATTTCTTAAATTATATTCTTCATGGAATGAGAAGCTTGAAAATAGTTCTGTGGCTGATATCAAACATATCAAAACAGTTCTTGCAAAGTATAAAGATGAATGTTACTATCGTTGGTTCAATGATTCATCAACTATTCTTGTTATTGGACCAAAGACTATTGTTGAAGAGGTTCAGAATTTGATAAATGATCATTTAGTGAAATCACCCAAGAAAATGTAAGTAAATTCGTGTGTTATAAATTAATTACTTTGTGGGACTAATTTTTTGATGGTGATAAGACAGATAAAGCAGTATGATAAATTGTGGGCGCCCTATTATAATATCAAATCATTCCAGATGCCTGAGAATGGGTGATTTAAGAAGCAATTCCCAGTAAAAATTATTGAAACGTGTTCAGGATTTGTTTCCATTTATTTCTGATATTATATTTCTATACATAAGTTGTTTTCATTAACATTATTAACAAGATTTATTAATTGTTTTCCGGCCATGAAATCCATTATTTTTGATCATGCAGTGTTAACTTTAGAGGCATATATAAATTATATGTCATTGTCAACTACCATTAGCAATCATCTTGATTCATCTTGAAAATCACAACAAAGCATTAGTAAAATACTGCAGAAAATCTGTAACACAGTATAACATAGATGGCACTAAAATATGTTACCTAAAACAAAATGTCAAAACACTGATACATTTTTATGATTGAAGCACTTCAATGTATGTACATCTATATTCAGTCCATCATAAAAATGTATTATTTTAGTATTTAACATTCGGGAATACAATGTAATGGCCATGCTTACTGATATGACATGTTACTACACGATTTTTCTCTTCTTTTTCTCAACTTATAATGGTGGTGCATAATAATATGTAGCAGAACATTGTTTATAGTTTTTCAAAATAAAACTTGAACAATAAAGTAGAGCGTGACTATTAAAATTTTATGCAATATTGATATTTTTATTCAGACCACCTCCAGAAAATTCTACTGCACTGTCTTTTAATTATGAAGGGATTTATACTTTTTTGGTATCTGAAGCATATCCAAAGCCAATACTGAATTATCTCAGCAAAAGCCCAAAGCACACTGAAGAATTCAAAAAAATGCTGGAGCAATATAATTTGAAATTGCTGCATATATCATCTGAAAAGATTGAAGTTCAGGTATCGACTCTGCATATATCTCACCAATGATTAGAGTTAAATTACTGTGTTAAATAGTTATATCATGGTTTAGTAAAAGCTCATTTTACCATGAATTATGCGAATGAGATTTTGAGTTTTCAGTTTTGTTTTATTACTTAACAGCTTATTTTTAGAATTCACAAATGTGGTTCACCTACCTTGATCATTGGGCTTTTCCAATTTGACCCAAACTTTTAGACTCTTTCTTATAAAATTTCAATAAACTTCTAATGAACAGATAAAATTTGACAATTCAAATGTTTTACAATAGAAACAAATTGTAGTGATGTCATCCATCTAAAATTCTTTATTTTAAGAATGCTGGAGAATTTGTCAAAAGTGAAGAAAATTGTGGAGAATGTATACAAAGATTTCTTGAATTATATTCTTCATGGAATGAGAAGCTTGAGAATTGTTCTGTGGCTGATATCAAACATATCAAAACAGTTCTTGCAAAGTATAAAGATGAATGTTACCATCGTTGGTTCAATGATTCATCAACTATCCTTGTCATTGGACCAAAGACTATTGTTGAAGAGATTCAGATTTTGATAAATAATCATTTAGAGAAATCACCCAAGAATATGTAAGTAACCTCTCGTGCTATGAATAGTTAACTTTGTGAGGCTTATTTCACTGAGAGAGAGTACAACAGATACCGCAGTCTGGCAAACAAACAGAAAGTCGTTATGCCAATGGTTCATTTCTATTCCAGGTGCTTGAGAATGGTTATTTAAAAAGCAATGAATGAAAAAAAAATAGTAAGACGGTCTTCGAGTAAGGCAATCTGAGTCGTACATAAGGTACCGTATAGCACTGGATGTGCAACATTTTTTGCGAGTGTGCCATATAGCCAATTTCTGACATTCCACGAAAAAAATTTAGGGGGAGAGGCAAGAGAAGAGAACGCTTAGCCTTACAGTAATAAAAGCACCAGGCAAAAGAAGAAAAACTCTTATTTTTATCCATGTGAGCACCTTTTTAATCATAAACTGGCGGATTAGGATTTCAAGCTTGGTGGGGAAATATCTGAATGTTGACGAGGGCCACACTAAATGGCTTGGTGAGTCGCCTGTTGCACACCCCTGGTATAGCATGATGAGTCATCTGAGGTGAAAATTCATGTTTAAAGCAATGGTTAAACTTGTCATGGATGTTGCTGCACAATAACTAGTATTGGTTTCTCGCACCACCTTTCACCTTGAAATGCCAAATTTGAGTTTCTTCATTCTATTGTTCGCATGAAGTGTCTTTTCTGTATAGTGATAAAATAAATACTGATTTCTGATTCAGGAACACATAGTGTGTGAACCATGAGTATTCCAAATTGGGTCAAATTTGGATTAAACCACGATTTTGCATGAGTAGAACATATAACAAGTTAAATTTATAAATTTCCATTTATGGTTGAAATTTTATTTCCATCATATAGAGTTGTTGTCATTAATAATATAAGGTTTCTTATATGAAATGTTTTGGTAATGAAATTCATTATTTTTGATCATTCAATTTGAAAGTTCGGAACTGTATATATTTATATATAATATGCCATCTAATATTAGCGAGCGGTCATCCTGATTTTACTAATAAATTACAACACAGCACTGATAAAAGACTGAAAATCAGCAAACACAGTAGGCCTATAATATACAGTAGATGGCATTTAATTTATTATGTTTATCATTGGTGCGGCAGTGTAGCTCATTGTGCTAAATGTTAGCAATACGCTTGCCACCGCACCTCTGATTAGTCTGCGTGGGTTTGCAGGTTCGAATCCCATGCGGGGGTGGTTATATGTGAGAGGATTGCAGGGCTCCTCGTTGCCGTAGGGTGGTTCACGGACCCGCTGGTTGAGAACACCTTCCTCCACTATCAAGTCCATGCTTCTGAAAACTAACTAACTAATCTCATACCCGACATGGAATGGTTTACTTAGTTTGGAAGATATTGACGCCATAGTGAAATTTCTGTTCCTCAACTGATAATTGTGTTGCTTATTAATAAATAATTAAATGCAGCAGAATAATATTTCTAGTTTTTCAAAATAGAGCATCACTGTTGAAATTTTATGCAATATTGATATTTTTATTCAGGCCACCTCCAGCAAATTCTACTGCGCAGCCTTTTAATTATGAAGATGTTGAACCTGCGATCATGCGCTTTGTATCGTTTGCAGAGACATACAAGCAACATTTGTCTTTATGGTTAACTGGTTTAGCCAATGTCGAAATTGTTGAAAAAGATAAAACTTTATCAGTTCATGTTTCTCCTACTCAGGTGATATTAAAGTTAAATTTGTAATGTGAAGAGACTTTTTAGTTGGCAATAACATAATAAATTGTAACAATTGTGAAATTACAGATTTCACGTGCAAGACTTCATCACGATTTCGAAACTGCATGCAGAATCAAGTTGGAACAGTTTTTTAAGCAGTTTGCTGTGTGGAAAGGAAAAGTTGATCTGACTGTGATAGCTAGGCAAAAGCATCACCGACCTCATTTATTTCAAACCAAAAATTTTCAAGATCATTTTGTTCAGTGGTTTATGGATACTGGTGTTGTTAACGTTGTTGGCATTTCTTGGAAAGTACAACGCTGTCGATGCATGCTGGAAAAATTACTGGGTGCTTCACAAATACATTCATCAGCAGACAGTCAACCTTTTCCCCCTCCTGCTTCGGTACATGGTCAACCTTTTCCACCTGTTTCGATATATGGTCAACCTTTTCCACCTCCTGCTCCGTTACATGGTCAACCTTTTCCCCCTCCTGTTTCGGTACAGGGTCAACCTTTTCTAACTCCTGTTCCGATACATGGTCAACCTTTTCCAACACCTGTTTCGATACTGCATGTCCTACGTCCACAACAAGTGATGAATGCCCCACCTATTCAACTTCGTGGCAATCCTGTTCAGACTCTGCATCCTTTGCCAGTATCACCAACTGCAAATGGGGTTACATCAAATCACTATTTGGAAAGATCACGTAAATTGTCATCAGAAGATTACAGTGATGATTCATCATCTTCTTCGAAGTAAAACTTTTCACTTATCATATACCGTAGTTTGTTCTGAATAATCAAATAATGTAATATCGCAATGTGATTTTCTAGTATATTTATGCTTTATTGTTACTGATTAAATGTCGTTTGTTGTTCTATTCATTTTTAAACAATTTTTTTTATACGATTTTGTTATTTTATATATTGTTTTTAATTTACTAGAGGTGATTCTACGACTCCTGTACAATTTGATACAAAAGATTATAAACCTGCAGTATTGAAGTTTGTTTTCAATGACGCTGTTGCTAAAAAAGATCTTGGATCGTGTTGTGGTAAACTTGCAAAAGTGTCAATCACCAATGATCAAGGACAGATTAAAGTTCACATCACTTTCAGAAAAAAGGTTTTTTATTCTTAATAATGAATAGTTATATTTGTAATAGGTTTTTCCGCTGAAACTTCGTTGTAATTTTAATATTTACACCTAGCACCCCAGTGATGCTGATAAATCGAGAGCTCTGGAACAAGTTGGGAACTACTTCAAACAATTTTCAGCAGAAACAAATAAAATATAATGTCAATAAATGAAAACGTCATGAAAGAGTTTCCTAAATTATTTTGTAAAGAACCTGGTGTTTCTGTTCAGGCTTTCCCTAGTAGTGGGACAATAAATTATGCAGGTGAGTAATACTGTGTGTATTCAATTCGGTATCTTGTAAATATTTATTCTTCATCTCTTTGTATTTTGTATATGCTGCTCCAAGGAACATCTGCTATTCAGGATCTAATTTTTGTTTTACCTAAATGTACTATTAATTTTCATTCAAGTATTCGTGTGATTCCATGACTAAAGTACCACGAGTTAGTAAGCGAAAAATGGAGTTCATCATAATATTTCCAAAGTGACTCTTCTATAGTCATTTGCTTTTTATAAATTTGGTATTGATGCAGAATTAACATTTTTTGTTTCCCTGTCCAAGGTGTGGAAGAAAAGTGAAGAAAAGATTAATGAAATAGAATATGAAATTAAGAGTGAAAAAAGAGAAGAACGCCTTCCAGTAGATGTGTTCATGTAATATTTTGCCTTGTTCTACTTTTCATAGTAATGAAGCAACTTGGTTATAATTATTTTTATGTAATACCTTTCCATGACTTAGGTATTATTAATTTGTCACAAATTAACCATTGAATATTGACTCCACATTGAAAGGTGACTTCGGTGCTTTTATGCGTATCCATTTATACTTCATCAATAGTATGCTTCTGTAGGATATTGGTTTCAGTCATCTGTTTGAATTTGTGTATTTGTACATAACTTAATAGCATTACAAAGCAATTAAATTTTCAACATTTCTATGTCTTTACTGACACATTGTAACAGAAAGAAGCTCAAGAATTGTAACCAGCAACTTGGATGACTGTTGCATTTTAGCAGCTGATTAACTGAAGTAAAGTCGAACAAATATTTATTTAGTGCGTTTAGTAATATATTAATCATAATTCTGTCACTGTGTATAAAGAGGGATGCTGATACATAAATATTTAACGATTGAAACTTCATATTCATGGTGCGGCGTTGTGGCTCATGGTGCTAAGCGTTAGAAATACGCTCGCCACTGCACCTCTGATGATTTGCAGGTTCGAATTCTGTGCCGGAATAGTTATGTGCGAGAGGATTGCTGGACTCCTCGCCTCCACCATCAACTCCGAGCTTCTGAAAACAAATAACTAACTAATTCGATACATGACATGGAATGGTAACCGGGCGAGATGTTGTGGTTTGCCATATGGTCAAGTCGTCCTATTGGCTTTCCTCTCTCTGGTATAAATATGTAAATCCTATCCTATGACCTAAGAGGATAAAACTTGTCAATGTTTTGTGTATAATATTTTGTTATATTCATATGCAGCGCTCAAAGAGAATGTGGTCTTTGGAGAAAAACTGAGCAGAAATGCCTCAGGAAAGGACATCAAGTATCTATAACACCTTTTAAAGAAGGGAAAATTGTATACAAAGGACAGCTCAATGCGATACAGCTGGCTAAAAAAACTTTAGGAGAGCAATCTATGGTTTGTCAGTCATTTCTGATTTTGTCTAGATTAAGGTATAGATTAATACCTTGTTTAGCTGTTTTTTTTTCATTCATTTTTTATTCGTTTGTATCTCTAGAAAACAATCAAAAACCAGTTGAAGATCTTACGTCAGATCAATTGATTTTTCTCAAAAAATGTGAAAATTCACAACAAAAGTCTCTTGGTACTGGTACTAAGCAAAATATTCTCGATGGCTTATACAGGCAATTTAAGAAGGAACATGTCAAAGGTCAGTGTGACCCATTCACCACATTACCTATAATTTCTTTTGAAATCTAGATTTTTACCAATATTTACCCATTTCACATTTAACAGGATCTTTAGCCTTTAGAGATTCTGAAGTTAGTTTGGTTGTTGGCCATAATACCCACTGGCAAACAGCAAATAGAATTTTGAAAGAATCTATTAAAGAATTTGATATATCCCTGGCTGATCATCAGAAAAATACTCCATTTTCTAAAGTGGTTGCAAACTTGAAAAAAGCTTTCAGAGATGAAGTTGTTCATTTGAAATCGGAGGTAAGGCATGTTATGTGATAAATAAATTAGGACCAAAGTCACCAAACCAAGTCAAATGTTTCAATCCATCCATGTATATTTCATTCTTGAATTCGATAAAAAATTAAGTTATTTTCATTCAGATATTGTCTCAAAATAACATAGATGAAACATGGTAATTGCATTAGCAAGTCAGTGTATTTTTAGTTGGTCTGATAAAAAATTACCATAGGTACCATTTAGTTGAGTAACATCAATTGGAATATGCAACTGAATTTATGTGCTGTGAGGTTTCCTTAATTTATGATAGTTAACTATTAATTGCCTCTAAGTCTCTATTGTTATTTAATTTATTTCAGCGTGATTCAAGAAAAGTTATTGTGTTTTGCTTTCAATTTCCAACATAAACAAATGAGGATGGAAGTGAATAAAACAATTGAGCAAATGGGTGATATGAACGATATAGAAAAATTTTACCCCTTGTCAAAAGAAAAAGCAGAACATGTCGCCAACCATTGTAAATAGACAAATCAAAGTCTGTTAAATTGGTAAATGAAAATACAAAACTGGATGCTAGTGACATTTGAGCAAGAAGATATTGATACTGGTATAATTATATTATGTCTCTTTCATTATTTAACATATACCGTTGGTTCTTCTAATGAAATTTTTGTCAGCATCGCTCCTTTGTAAATAGATATAACATGCTAATTCATGAGTAGGCTTTGTGTCGTTCTTTGCTTTTAATATGATCTAATTAAATGACCGACAATCTTCAATATAATATACATCTACAATAAAATGGCCTGATGTGTATAGGCAATACAGTCATTTAAAAATATGCCAATCCAAAAAGTGATTCAAAACAAATGAACTTTTTCTGAGATGATTTTAACATTCACTTAACCGGTAGTTTATGTCTCAAAGCAGATTATCACAAAATGTATGCATAATATTGTATTTGTTTATTATTGTGGGATTTTGGGTATTTTTTATCTTTTGAAATTATTTAAATAATAGGCATCCCTTCTGTCATTCTATTTACTTATAGTTGATATGAAATTTGAAGACTTGGAAAAAGAGATCAAGAAAATCGAAAAGCAATTTACTGGATATTCATTGTATGACTATTTATCTGGCGAAGGAAAATTTATTAAAAAAGCCACAGAACATGAAACAAAATGCTCCATATTCTTGGATTTGGTCGAACGAGTGAGTTATTAACAAGCTCACTTTTCTATCAACCTTTTCTACGATTTATTTTTTGGTGTGTTTTAGAATCGGTTTTAATTAATGGTAAAAATATTCAAGTCTACAACATAACAAGTTATAATTGATCCTATTTTAAACTGAATTCTAACTTTTCACGTGCAGAAAAGTTCCAAGTCTTTGATAACTGTAAAATTTGGCGATATTCTCCAGGAAAAATGTGATGCAATTGTGAATAGCACTGGTAAATCTCTTGATTTTTCAGGTGAGATTTTATAGAAACTGTTTATCATATTTTTTCATCAACAAAATCAAAGTGTGTGTAACTGTGTGGAAAAATGTTATGTAAAATGAATTAACCATTATCTTCAAACATAATTTTGTAGGACAAGTATCAATGGCTCTTAAGAAAAGGTTTGGAGCGGATGTGTTGGGAGGTCTTCTCAAGAACTCTACATGGGTTATAGGGAATCAACTATGTTTATGTGATACGAGTGGTCGTTTACCATGGAAATATATCTTTAACATAGCTATTCCAACTAGCAAGAGCGAATTTACAAGAGCGATTTTATGCCTATTAACAGAAGCAGAGAGGTTGGGTATTCAAAGCTTAGCTCTCCCTACTATTGGGGCAGGTAAAAAGCTTATTTTCCATTACATTTGTGTATAGGATAGGATAGGATTTACATATTTACCCCGGGGGAGAGGAAAGCCGATAAGACGGCTTATCCATATGGCGAACCACGGCCTCTCGTCCGGTTACCATTCCAAGTCGGGTATGGGATTAGTTTTACTGTATTATTTGTTTTTCGGAAGCATGGACTTGGTGGTGGAGGAAGCCGTAACCGACCAGCGGTTACGTGAACCACCCAACGACGGCGAGGAGTCCAGCAATCCTCTCGCACATAACCATCCCTGCATGGGATTCGAACCTGCGAACCCACGCAGAGTCATTAGAGGTGCGGTGGCGAGCGTGTTCCTAACGCTTAGCCCGTTGAGCCACACCGCCGCGCCGTATATTTAGAATTATCGTTACAATGTTAAAATTCAACGAACATTTATCAGGTAATATGGGGTTGGATCCTACAGTGGTTGCTTCTTATATGAAAGATGCATTTGCTAGGTTTGATGCACAAAAAAAACTTCTGCATGATATCCGAGTTGTAGTTTACCAGTCGTCACAATTATCAGTATTTCAGGACATAATACCAAAACAAGGTACATGTTTTTAATTTTATGCAATTATTTTTTATATCGATATAATAACATAGTGATTTATATATTTCCATGATATTATTTTTAGATATCAATAAGTCAATTGGAATGAATGTGAAAATTTATGGAAGCAGTGTAGCAAGTCTAGATGAGGTGAAAACATTTTTCACAATTTCAAAGTTACTTTACTTGGCTATTTTAGTAGAATTTTTTCTTTTTTCTCTCTTCGGAAGTAATCGGAAGTCATTCAAGTTTGTTCAGAATTCCAAACTACAGTGAAAATGTATTTTTTATTCAATTGCCTGCAGTGTCGGAGTATTTGTTTTTTGTGTGACATTTAATCAATGTATCGATTTCGGTAGAAATTCAGGAGCGCTCTCTTGCATCTCTATCATGAGAGGCACAAACATATCTCAGTCATTTCAACACCAAAGACTCCTCTCTTTTTCGATCTTATAATATACCATATTATTTATATAGGCCATGAAGAAATTTCAAGAAAGTTGTGACAAAATTATCAAAAGTTTTGTTATCAAAACTACTCGACCTGATTTCTATGGTTTTGAAAAATCAGAAATTGAAAAATTTTGTCGTGTGAATGATGTGTTACTAGAATGGAAGTGGACAAAGTAAGCATAAATATTTAACAGATTTCACACAAGAGATGTTTTCACTGATTTTTCCATCAAACAGAATTTATTGAATATTACAATGCAACATTGATTTGATGCTTTTTCAGTCTTATTACCTATGTCAGACAAAATCTAATATTCGGCTTTTTTAACATGAACATATTTCTGCAAGGGGACTGGTTGTATATCTACTCAAAATCTGTTGAAAAAAATTATCAAGTTAATGTGATTTTTTGCATAGTTTATGAAATTTCATCTTTAATCAATTTTTTTTTTAATTTCTCAGTGTATTATTAATCCTTAACATTTACTGTAACAATAGTATACTTTGAATAAATTTAGAAATGTGGAGGAATGTCACATTCAAGGCCTCAGTGATAATGTCAAAAAGGTGAAGGATATGATCGACAAGTTACTCGAAGGAGGTATGAACTGTATTGTGGGATAAAACATTAATGTAGTTACTAATAAATCTAAAATATGGATAACTATATATTTTTTAGTATAGCAATGTATGTTATGAGTAATATCTGACTGCTAATTTATAATGTTTAGTAGGTAATAATATGACCAGGAATTGATGGTAGCTGATATCTTGGTTTGAAATCACTAACAATCTTACACAGACTATCCTGCAAACTGGAGTTCGATGCCAGATGGTCAGAATGTTAAGAGAGTAGAACTTAGTGAAATCTCTCATGAATATCTTGATGTAAAGCGCAAATTTGAAGAAAGTCAACCTTCATATTCAAAACTAATAAAGGTTAGATTGTGCTCTCATATTTCTATACATGTCCTAAAGCAGAAGTTTTGCTTTCCAGGACGTGAAAATATCCCTCTCGCTTTATTATTTTACTATAGTATGAACATATTTTGTTTCGTCGTTTTGCAAAACCAATATGGCTACACTGTCAGTAAACGAATGAGGGTAAAATTAACCGGTTAACTGTAGCGTGATGTTTGACGTAGTAATTTATAATTTTATCTTGTTACGTCACAATGGTTACAAAGCAATTTCGCTTGATCATATTCGGGTATCGTTATTCCTGAATTGAGATAGTATCATGATCGCTCTGGCGCAAGAGATATGCAGTGTGCTTCGGACATGTGGAAGTATTTTAGTAAAACCCGATTTCGTTATTAAATGTCATTTATGTTCCAATTTTTCTTAGCTCAATGTGCGAATCCAAAGGAGATAAATTCGCGATGAAGTAATCATTTTTGGAGAAATTGTACATTATAAAGATAATTTGTACCTTTGTATCAGTTAACGGTTAAAATGAATCGGTCCCATCTGAAATCGGTTAACCATCCCCAGCCCTGCACATAACACAACATTGAAATTGGAGCTGTAAAGGGCCTAATATAGCAATTTGTTGTGACAAGACTTTAGTTTTATACAAGCTTTGGAGCAACCTGCCATTGGTCTCTTAATCGGGAAACGGGAGTGAATCCGATTCCAAAGATCTATCAAGTGCTTAACAGTGTGATTTATCGGGCGCGAATTCAGAAATAAAACAGAAATGAAGAAATAAAAACAGAAATCAAAGGTTGCGTCGTTAGCATAAATGAGGTCATTGATGGATATTATGAACAATTTAGGTCCAAGAATTGAGCTCTGAGGTAGTCCAGAAGAAATTGAGTACGCATGCAAGTACAGGCCATCACGATCGCCGTTGACTATCTGATCACAGAAATGACATATTAATGGCAAAAAGTGTCAACAGGATCGAATTTTGTGCAGTAATCCGGAATACAAAATGTTTCAAATATTCGCAACACTTGATTTAGCGCCACCAAGCTGATCTAATGCGTGATATATACTTCTAGCTATAACTGTCTACAAACTTTCAGTAGAACGTTTTCAACGAAAACCATTTTGTTATCAGTTAATTAGAATGGCCAGTTAATACGGAAATCATAAGTGATTCAAATACTTTGCTAATGATTTGAAAAGGTATGATAATGCGACATTTACAAGGATCTGTCTGGTCACCACAGTGGTCATTTACCAGTTTTTAGAGCTTCAGAAATAAGGATTCGAACAAACGCTTAACATGTTGAGAATTTCAAATGTATTTCTCCAATCTCTCACACTCACCCCAAGAGAGCAATGATTCTATGGTTGTTATACATAATTAAACATGGTATTGTTTGATATTTACTTCGAATAATGTATGTAATAGTTTCCCCTTTCCTCCCTCAATCTGTGTATTCTCTTAAACTAATAGGATTTTATATCTACTCCACCCACCCTTCAGCCGATGGTCCGGTCGTTATCCAAATTTCCAAGGAATCAAATAAAACGATAACCTCGTACTTTCAAAAAATCTTGCCAGTCAGTTTTTAATTGAATTTTACCTATCATTGATTGTAAATTCATTACAGATTGAGAGAGTACAAAACAAGTTATTGTACTCCCAATTCAAAGATCGTAGGAATGCAAAAAAGGCTGAATTTGCAGGTCAGAACAAGGTAATCACCAGACAATTGTTTCATGGAACTTCTTTTGACATTGTTGATAACATTTGTGATAGAGGATTTGATAGGAACTTCTCTGGAAAAAATGGTGAGAAAACTATAGGTCACATATACATCCAAGATACATAATGTAGTGTAACTTTTATTGTTTTGATTGTTATCTTACACTTGATATGGATGTTTTGTTTTAGATGTCGCCTCTCACACATTACAAAGTATAAAGAAATTTTTGTATGATAACTTCTCAAATCATTGCCTTATTCGGAAGAGTAGTAATATAATACTATTCCTCGTATCATATGCCTGTATTGTGTAAGATATCATGATGGACAGGAAAGTTGCCCTTACAGAAATCTAAAGGATTTGTTTAGATTATTTTGAATGGTTGTTTCTTACCTAAAATATTATTTTTAGGCACTGCGTATGGAAGTGGTGTGTATTTTGCTGTCAAGTCCCAGTATTCTGTCGGATATTGCCGAGGTCCAACTAAATATATGTTCTTCTCGGAAGTAATAACAGGAGATTACATTTATGGAAATTCATCATACAAAGCTCCTCCAGAGAAAAGTCAATCTACAAGATATGATAGTTGTGTAGACAACCAATCAAGCCCAAATATTTTTGTGGTTTTTTCAGATTCAAGTGTTTATCCTTCATATATCATTACTTTTCAGTAATATTGTTGTGTATTCACAAGTTTAAATAACTAATAATTGTAATTACATGAACATAAATCTAAACTTCATTATATCTATATATATAATTATGATTACATAATAGTGTCTTCGCCTTAGTTATTACTTTGTTGCTAGAATAAATGCGAATATGTTGTGACAAAATATTTATAATATTTTATGCAAGAATTTTATTGCCAAAATTTGGAAATTCAATTTCAATTTTTTTTTTATTTGAACTTTATATGTTATGGTAAATCTCTACGATTTGCAGTAGTGGATGATAAGTTTATTTCGACTCCATGATCAGCATAACAATACATTTACAGATTCAGATACAGATGATTGTTATCGGCAATATGTTTTATGGTACTAACATCTCTGATTAGACGTCACATCAAAAACTTTATTATCCCGACCGAGGAATTACTCGTTAATGCAAACTTATATCTGAAACATAAACCATTGTAAGACACTTTGCTTCACGTTTTATATCATGTTTAGTTATGGTAGAAATGTAATATATTTTATTTATATTTCATTAGTTGAACTATGAGACTGATGTATTGAATGAAAGTACATACAGTGACCCTATAATTTTAGATTTTTCTGCTAATCTTTGCTAGACATGACACCCCAGACTAAATGCTGCTATGCTCAGTTTCTCATTTACTCAAACAAATCAGCACTTCACTAAGTGGGCCCTAATTTCATATTCGCAATATTTCAAACACTTTTTTAATCACATGCAAAAATGTAATGGACCGTATGGTTAGAAAACTCTTCAAATTTCCGCTTGTTTTATATGTTATGTTAACGTATGTTGAATGTATGATATGCAACTAATTCACTTGCCTGCTTTTCAATTTCTTATTTGTCAATTTTAAGTAATATAGCATTCTGTGAAGTAATTTCAACGTTATTTCATATTTCAATTTTTTTTTTTCAATTTTGTTATACGCTTTTTCTTGCATTGATAAAAATAAAATGTCTGAATCATACAATGATTTTCGTTCAATTGTATGGAAAATGTTTTAAATGTAATCTCGTAAAATTTGTAATATTACTTTTTCAAATACTGTTGTATTCTTAAGTAAGAACATCTAATAGCGGCCCTCAAGCGCGTGCTCTTGTCGTCTGTTAAGATAAGAGCGAATGTGCTTTAACAGGCCAAAACTAAGATAAATATAAGTTGTCATTTAGCTCTTCGTGCCAATTGGCATTCCCACAAGTTTCAACCACTTTCTAATCAGTGTGGGATAGCAGGCTCTAATTCCGCGGGGGGTGATTGGGAAGATTGCTGGAATCCGACACGTAACAACTGGTCGGTTGCGTGTTTTGCAATCGACCTAATTCATTTATACTTGCGTTTGCCCCGTCGGACTATATTCAATTCCATTATCTTTGCAACCACATACATTCGTAACTGCACAGTTTTGCATTCACAGATTTTAGTACCCACATACATGTTACATATCGTCACGCTAATAACCGAATTGCGTAAGTCATTTTCAGCAGTTTTGAGAAAAACGTAAAAAACTTCCTAATGATATTGTTATGCCATTGAGAGTCAATAATTTGCCATGGTTCACTTTTTTTTTATCGTAGCCGTATTTAAGTTAATTTGTATGACGCAGTTAAGTGACGTCATAATGGCGCACTGTGACTTAGGCAGAAATGTGTCTATGACTTGGGGACATACGCAATTTTGCAATATTACTATATGCATCAGTCCTGAACACTAAACATTCCAAAAACCAATGTAATTCTCAGTATCTACAATGTATAATCCCCAAAATAGCTAATCAGTTTCAATTACATTATTTTTTATGTTTAAAAATATATATTTCATCAATATAACACGTTCTGCTTCACCCACCGAAATAAGACTAAAATTAAATATAAAGAATAAAACAGCAATGCACCCAATATAAAAGCCAACCAAGGTGAATTGGACTCGGACAGTGAATATCACAAGTGCAAGTCTTCCTATACTGTAGTATAAATTCAAATTAATACGCGCTAAGCTAGAATCCGAGATGCAAAAACTCGAAAATACTTCGCCGAGGTTATTTTGCCTTGGTGACGTCAAAATAATCCTGGGATAACAATGAGAATTCATTATGACGAAACAATTGCACAAATGTGCATGTCATACAAAATCTCCATTTTTGTGGGTTTCTGAATTCTTAAAATAAAATCTCAGTTAACAGACAGGTGCGCAGCATTACAAAAAAACCTATTTTATGAAAAACTCAAAATCGCCAAAAAGGACTTACGCAATTCGGTTATTAGCGTGACGATATGCAACCGTATTTTAGTTGTGCTTAACACAATTTTGTTAGTTTTTGCGGCATTTGTTAACACTAGTGGGAACCGCTGCATTACACCATTTGTCTTCATCAATTTTACACTTTCATATTTAGGTGTTCCGCGAGGCGAGATAAAAAGTCTAAGTGTTCCGTGGCCGAAAAAGTTTGGCAAACGTTGGTCTAATACATCACGATTTCCTAAATATACTGTTCAAAAAATCATGTATCACACTACTAAATTAATCCATTTTTATTAAGTATATAAGTCTCATCGCTGATATTTTAAAATTTCGAGATCACTTATCCACACTTTAAACTTTACCATAAATTCTTTTTTACCCGTCAGTTTTTCATCAAGCACATTATTAACTGCATAAATCTACATCATGTCATCAGTCACGTTACAGAGTTTGCATTGAATTCTGCATCAGGTGATGTGACGATTCACGAAGCCTTTAGTCCGGCAGATAAGGGAACCTTTTTGGCCCAAGTTTGATTTCAGACATAAAGTTTTTTTTATTTGTGATTATTCATCTTGGGGTCCTTGCCAATTATTTCTACATGGGTGTGGAGTTTGCAGCCTTGAGCAATTTTTTTACGGCTCGATATTTGTATTAGTGTTTTTCGTCAAACCTGTGCATCATAATGACGCAAAACCTGAACCATAACCTGTTACAATACGATGTTCAGGTTGTGCGCAATCTTGGTGCACAAACTAAGCAAGCACCAAATTTACTAGGAAATAAAATCAATAACTTTTAGGTATTTGTTGAGATATTTGTATTAGTGTTTTTCGTCAAACCTGTGCATCATAATGACGCACAACCTGAACCATAATCTGTTACAATACTTTGTTCAGGTTGTGCGCAATCTTGGTGCACAAACTACGGAAGCACCAAATTTACTAGGAAATAAAATTAATAACCTTTATGTATTTGTTGAACCCAGCTTTGGGTCGCGACCCATATTGAGAGAAATACGGTTGAAACGTACGCGTAAAATAAAGAGTATTATTTCAAAATACCCTCTATTGTTGCAATTAACAATACAAGCCTGCTAATGCAGTCGCCAGTGGTTCAAGTGGATATACACCCGGTGGAGAACAGTCAATTATTTGTTAGCGAGAATCGTTATGCAGCGGGATGATCACGACGACGCAGTGAAAGATAATGATATCACGAGAACAAGAATGAGAAAATTGCTACATTTTATAGTATTTCCCTGGGAAAGAATGTACTGTAGTTCATTCTTATGTTCCATGCCAATGCGTTTCAAACTACCAAAGACTCTCAACACTTTTGATTCTTCTCTTCTATAATAATACATTGTTATTATATATTCGCATTTCCATCTGTTTGTTCGTGCACCAGATACCCGATCAGCGACCTCCAAGGAGGACGGGGTCCCCTTTTAAGAAACCCTGTCATAAACTAAAAGAGGCGACCGTGCTTCTCTTGCCCGTTGTCATGCTGTCCCTGGAATTCAGCTACAACAAAAAATTCACGAAAACGGATTTTTAAATTTTATGATTTCATTAATATTCTCAACAATGAATGATATACGGGTGGTAAAATGCCAAGTTATTCCAACAACATGATCATGTTTTGCAATTTACAACCAATATTATGTATGTAACTTTGTTTGACAGAGCCCCAAGAGCTCTAACTACAAATATCAAAAATGTGAGGCCAAAAAAGTCACACTACAACATTGTCAAATGTGCTGTATTTACAATAGATAACAGGTTTACCAAAAAGAATTACACGAAAAATGGTAAAATAAAGATGAATTCAGCAATATGTACCTGGTGATATGCATCTGTTGATTTTATGTGTTTGTTTCGGGAGTTTAATAACAGAATTAATTGTGGTTGTTGGGGATGTTTTAAAAAAAGGTTGCATGGAAAAAAGTTTTGCCGTTCTATGTGTTCACTTTCTGTACGTAGGGTCTATTGTTACGTAATATAAGAGATAAACCCTACATGCTGCAATTTCGTATAGGCTTTCGTTTAGCAGTTTATTCATTTGCTGAACCGAGTTCATCAAACATGAGTGATTTCTTTAGCATTTTAAAGAAAAATTGAGCAGAGATGAAAAAAAAAAGAAATGGTAACTTTTTGCCTTTATTCCTCGGGCCTACGTGATTAAAAACCTCAAAAGACATTTAGTACATATTAACGATGACAAAATTGTGTTTTGTTTCGAGGCAGTATATTTTTCGTGTAGGTGCGCCATGAGTTTTTTCCCTGATAATTTGGCGTCGCACAAAATGCTGCCTTATGCTAAGTTTGATCAATAAGAGTGAACAATTCGAGATAAGGACCATGCCGCCGGCAGCCAGACATCGTAATACATCATTTAGGCCTGCCTGTATAAACATACATTGAGCCTTGCTATGCAGCAAAAAGCATTCGTGCCCATTACACTGAATAATTGAGAAACGTTAATCTGAATAAATATGTGCTTGTTTTTGTTATTGAGTAGACATGTTAAAGTTGAGAATTAGCTGTGCCAATAAAACATCAAAAATGCATAATTCGAACTGTTTGGCATTATTTAACGTGGACAAGGGCCGCGAAAAATTTTAATATATTAAAAGGGGTCGCGAGCCCAAAAGTTTGGGAAGCCCTGCTTTAAATCCACTTAAAAAAGATTGCTCAACATTATATACTCCACACCCACCTGGGTATCATTATATATGTCATCTACATCAGGGCTACTCAACTATTTTTATCGAAGGTCCGCAAACAAAACTTCAAAATTATTTGGGTCCGGTCTTTCCAGAACTGATATTTCGGCATCCTTAAACGAGCACTTCCTCGACCGACTAATGATTAGTAGCAAATTAAAATTGTTTATTATGGTGTTATATTTCTTTTCGTATTTATTCAAAACTATGAAAGGCATTTTATGATAGGAAATTCAAAAAGTGGGGCTAATGATCCAAAATAAATAATTAGGTGCGGTCCAAATCCAATACTCGAAAGGTCCGGATTCGGACCGCGGTCCGCCAGTTGAGTAGCCCTGATCTACATTATATCTAAACAATAAAAAAGCTTTATGTCCCAAAACAATGCTAAGGCCCGATTCTGCCGGACTACTTATAAACATTCAGCGTGAGCATCAACTTTCTTGCAAAAAATCGAAAATGCAGTTTACTGAAATTCGAGATACTTTTTATGCCAAATCAGAGGTTTTTGCAAACGATCAAGTGCATAATTCAAAACGAACTGATACTACATCTGTATAGTCGATAAGTGTTTAGAACTATTGGCAGGTAGGCTAATTACTAATTGAATCCTCGTATGTAGTGAGAAATTTGATTTGAGAAGGAAGCTTTGCAACGAAAATATATCGATATGAAATATTTCGAAACAGTGAACAACAACTTTAGGGTGCCATCCTATACACGTTAAAGTCTTTTTTATGCAGCGCGACATTTAGTTCGACTACCAAGCGTTTTGTCGATAAAATTGAGTTATAAAATACTCCCCTCTTGGCCGTTACTTAGTACTGACACAAAAAAAATTATTTCAATTCTGCCATCTTCTCGCTGGTAGCCTACATCTCATTTATTAGGCTAGCAACCAATTGTTGTTTAAATGTTATCTAATGTGAATAAAATAATAAAATTTGACTTCCCAGCATAAAACCAGCATCAAATGGAATATGGAAAATTGCCTTTGAAATTAATAAAACGGACACTGGCGTTGCCCTTCGTCTCACAGTTGACATAATACTTTATCTCTCGTCCAATTTGTTTCAGCGTTCATCATTCCTTGGCCGCCATACTTTGGATCTGAATGAACGACAAGTGAGACTTTTGTATAAGTTTTGTAGCTACTGCCGATTCCTGGTTCTACGCCAAACCATTGCGTGAATCCGTCTGTTGGAGAGATTTGTCCTGTCTGAAAAATAATAATAAAACGATACACGTTATTTAATTTTATTGTCCAACCAAACTTCATGTCGGGGTCAATTTTTACATTGCCGTATTTCACAAATATTGATCATTTGAATAGACCAGAATGAAACATGCAATAATGAAACACAGTTGTAAGATTAAATAGTTAAAATTTAAAGAACAGATAAAAGGATAAAAGTCAATACCCTGAACATGACGGATTTGATAGTTCGAAATGGGATTGTGGACTGGCAGTTACAACAGGAAAATTCATTTTAGTAAAAGAGAACATAAAGTTTGTATACGTGAGAAGGAGGAATCAGTCCGAAGCATTGTGAAAGATCAAAACCACCTCATCACAATAGAAAATTTTGAAATGTCGTGGGACTTACCATCGGATTAATTTCCAAGCCAGTCCATACAGTAATGTATTTACTTTCAGGGCGCAACATCGACATCACAGAATCATATTCTCGTTGACTTTTTATTTGTGCCATTGTTGACCAGTAACTCGCACACACATTGTAGGCCATGGTATAATTTAATTCAGGTGCAGTAACGGTCCACAATAACTTGCCATCGACGGTGGTATAATTCTCTATGTAAAGAAATCACGTCATGGTTATTCTTTTACATATAAATGTGGACAAAACACTTTCAAAACGACGAAAATTCCAGTATCTCAATCATGTACAGGTCAATTATCAGTGGACCACTTAGATCTGATTGGAGTGTACGGTAAACATAAAAATAAGCTATTTAAATCATTTATTATTAATTTTCAGGTACTATGTATTTGCATAGACGAATATTTCTTATTCTTAAAATATCATGTAGCCAACGAATCTTAAGAAAAGTATTGTGATAATATTACCTGCTGCCTCCATCACGGCATTTTTTATCAAACACTCTTGTGCAGATTTCAACTTGTTTGTTGCTGTTTGAGGTTGAGCTATTTTGTTGACTTGCTTCAAATCACCTTCGGATATCTCGTGTTTTTTGAATATTTTGCTAGATAAATTCGCTTGTACTTCACGGAAACGTAATTCCAACAGATTGATTTCTTTTCTCTGCTTGTCAATATATTGAGCAAGGTTCGCTAGAGTTTTGTTCTCGACATTTCCGAACGGTTGCGTTTTTTTATTTTGGGCTGAAAATAAGGTCAAGTGAGTTACATTGTGAAACAATTGGTTTAAATGGCATGTAATGTGATTTGTTATTTGTTCTGGTTCAAACATGGAAAAAAAATCTTCCGAAATCAGGGAGATTGCCATTTTCAAGCACTCCATAATTTTTTCAAATGGGGATTGAAACTGAATGATAAAACCAACTATCGTTTCGGGACCGGAATAGTTACCAGTTCCGGATTTCTCTGAATGGCACATATTGTATAGGATTCGTGTCTTTATAAGGGACCGTATTATACGTATTGAATCTAACGTTTTTGTTTTATTTTAACCGTACAGCCTAGACACGGGCCTTACGTAGAAGTGATTGACACAAAGCGTTCATCAATGATTAGTAAACAGTCGTAAATGATACTTAACTTACTGAGCATGTATACTGTAGCTAATCCCATTGTTAGTAGAACTACAAACGTTATTGTGATCAAGATGAGGCATTTCTTCTGACGAACCACATTTCCTACGAACATGTAAAATAACATGAAAGGAATGCTCAAATCTATACGCACAAAAGTAAAATGTCAACACAGTGTTTCATGAATGTAAAATGCACTGCTAAACTTTGTGAAATATGGGTCTAAGAATGTCACAAAAAAATTAAAAAAGTCATGGGTTTCTATTTCTAGTGTCGTCTTTAACTTTCAAATACTGAAAGTTTGAAATTAATTTGCATATTGGTATCGGTGAAAAGTGACAGCATAACAACTCGACATCCCAACTAATACTGTTATTGTTATGGATCGAAAACTAAAGAATAAAGCATAAAATATCGAACTTAACTCACTAGATAGCTTGGAGGTTTGATTCTTCAAATTTGTCACAGCGTTCTTGGTTGCATTAAGTTCTCGTCCGTGACTTTTAGCAGCTGCATCACCTGCGCTTGTCTGAGCAAAATCTAGATAGAACCCGTCGTTACTTGCAGTTGGCATCCTACCTGGATAAATATACAAGTCCTGTGTTGGCAAGTTAGGAAAGTAAAACTACGGTGTATATTTCATCATTCTGGAAAGGATGCTCAAAATATACATGCAAAAGCAACGCGCCGGTTCAGGAAGGGGTAACATGAGCAACCTGTCGGCTGTAAATACCGGCGGGTGGGTCGGAATAAAAAGTATTACCTCCGATCAAAATAAAGCAGCAAAATGATGGGGACAATATTAAGCTCCGCGAGTATTAAAATTAGACAAGAATCAAATTATTACCTTTCTAGTCACTTTTTCGTCTCTAAGTATTATCCATTGCGAAAAAGCGATAATTTTACAACATAATACCAATAACAACAACAAAATTAGCCGAACGATCCATATATATATATATGCCTATTTCGTTTCTAACAATATATATATATATATATCCTATAATGCAGGGCTTACCAAACTTTTGAGATCGCGGCCCCTTTTAATATATTAAAATTTTTCGCGGCCCACGTTAAATAATGCCAAACAGTTCGAATTATGCATTTTTGATGTTTTATTGGCACAGCTAATTCCTAACTTTAACATGTCTACTCAATAACAAAAAACAAGCACATATTTATTCAGATTAACGTTTCCCAATTATTCAGTGTCATAGGTACGAATGCTTTTTGCTGCATAGCAAGGCTCAATGTATGTTTATACAGGCCTAAATGATGAATTACGATGTCTGGCTGCCGACGGCATGGTCCTTATCTCGAATTGTTCACTCTTATTGATCAAACTTAGCATAAGGCAGCATTTTGTGCGACGCCAAATTATCAGGGAAAAAACTCATGTCGCACCGACACGAAAAATATACTGCCTTGAAACAAAACACAATTTTGTCATCGTTAATATGTACTAAATGTCTTTTGAGGTTTTTAATCATGTAGGCCCGAGGAATAAAGGAAAAAAGTTAACGTTTCTTTTTTTTATCTCTGCTTAATTTTTTTTTTAAATGCTAAAGAAATCACTGAAGTTTGATGAACTCGGTTCAGCAAATGAATAAACTTCTAAACGAAAGCCTATACGAAATTGCAGCAAGTAGGGTTTATCTCTTATATTAAGTAACAATAGACCCTACGTACAGAAAGTAAACACATAGAACGGCAAAATTACTTTGATTCATAAACACGTCATTTGAAACAATGAAACATTTAGAATAAATATGATGTGTAATATGTTTCGAGGCACACTCAGCAAATCGTCCTCGGAAAGCGCTAGCTTAACGATTAAAGCCGTCATTGTTATGCGAACCGCAAATCGGGTTTCACGATCAGAATATGCATTGTTATGCAAGCGCGATCATTCACCGTGTTTCCCCGAAGATAAGACCAAGCCTGAATTTTAAAAAGGATTTCAATATAAGCGCTCGCCTTTAAAAAAGACTTAGTCGATAGCGCAACTTTATTTTTTGACTCAATCCCGTGGAGGTGCGTCGTTTCAATTTTGCTAGGACGTCGCAAAATTTCGTGATTCGTGAACCTTTCTAACAACCCATATCTTCTACTTTCAATGGAGAAAAAAGAAAGATTAAATCCATTTTACCTGTGATGTTGCTATAATAAGAAAGTTTAATTCTGGAAATTCGGTTTTCTTTAGATAAAGATTATTTGTCATTGGTTCAAAAAACGGGTTGCGCACTCCCATCTTCTTTGCGATTTCGTATTTATATAAAGCAGGCTTTTCTACCAAGGCTCATCAATTGCGATTTCACTGACTGTCGTTATTTTTTGTTTGTTCGTTTATATGAAACTCATTGCGAAAAAGGTCTTTTATTAAAAGGTATCAATACGTATTTTCACGGGTCGCAACTTGAGCATATTTTTGAAGGGCGTCACAATACGATGAAGTTCGAGAACCACTGCGTCCCAGTCGATAGCAAAAATATTTTCTACTTTTTTAAATGGTTAATAGTCTATATGTAGCAGTTATTTTAAATAAAAAAGTGCTATTTATAATTAAACGGAAATCGGTATTCATATTTTGTTTAATAAAAAATCTCATTTTTCTCTATCCCAAAAATAAGCCCTAGTGTTATTTTTGAAAGAAAATTGAAGACAGTGTCTTATTTTCGGGAAAACACGGTATTATGATGATGTAATCACTCGGAATCGTGAAATCTTTGTTTTACACTATTTGTATAATAATTGTATTTTGAATCAAGAGTCTGAAAAAGTACAATATATATATGGTACTTTGTGTAAAATTTGTGTTCTCTTCGCGGCCCCTAGAATTCGTTTCGCGGCTCCTTCCAGGGCCGCGGCCCCTAGTTTGGGAAGCCCTGCTATAGTGCATACATACCTCCACTTACTTCCGCGTACGTATGTTGTCCCATTTTGTTGGGTTCCATTACCACATATTCACCTTAAACAAAAAGTACAAGTTGCTAAATCTTGTCACACTTATGCATTGTAATTGCATTGTGGAGATTTGGCTAGCTAGAGTATTGTTTTGGGTGGAAATTTTAGACCTATAAACTTTAATGGTAGTAAAAGTTTTTACATCAGACATTTTGAAAAAATATTACACTTTTTAATATTCAGTAAAAGAAGAGAGTGTTCTTTGCAATAATCATATTCAACCAAACAAAGCATCGCAACTGGCAGAGATGAAAGTTCTAAAATTCTCTCTTTCATACTTACTTTTTTCCTTTGCTTCCACATCATTTGCAAAATCTCTACTAGCCATAATTTACCGTGTTGCGTAATAAGCTAACATAAATTATCTGGTTTATAGAAAGAACTGATAACAATGTACTTTTTATCTTATGTTTCATTTAGTCAAATCAGTGCTCTACATATTACTACTTTTTAACAATGCATTGATTACATATATTGACGTATGAGACCCACTTTTAAATCTGGATACATTCACGTTTTAAAGTATTGCTTTACATGATTTCACTTTTGACCATTTTAAAACTTTCGGAATTGGGGTGTGAAAACTGGGCTGGACTAGTGTCAATTTCGTTTGTTTAACAATCTTCTTTTGAAAAACACCACTTGTTTGTTTTACATCTCCCACAGCTGTTTTTCTGATCCTCTTGAACCGAATTGCTTAAAGTATTACATCAGTCGTTCAATTCTAGCACGGGATGCCTCACTGTAGGTTTACATGAATTTATTTTGCTGCTTATAGAGCAGTATTATTTACTTCTAAGTTATTGTGCGTGCCCTTGTCGGGCCTGGATCAACTGTTTTGATAAAACCTTCACTTTTAACAAGTCTATTACACTCCGGCATTAAAACTTCGTTCACGGAAATGCCTCTGTTGCACTGTCATATACCAACACATGAACAATAAAAGATAATGGAAACCAAAAAAAGCTCTATTAAAAAAAATATCCCAACTATTGTTTAAAGGAAATAGTGCGAAGAAGAAGGAACCAATGACGATGACGTAAGTGTATAAAATCCAACAGCAACATACTATATAGGCATCAGAGCAGAACATACAATGCAAAGGTTGAACAACGGTGAGACAGGAATAAAAAGTCCATGCAGTATAGACTTGCATTTTATTTGCAATATGGACAATAGGTTCTGACGAATCTGCACTATAGTTCCGAAAGATGAAAAGTCTGCCGTTTTTCGTGTCATCGTTTGTAATTGTTTCAACAACATTTTATAAATTTCAACTCCAATTGCAAACCTGTGACTGGAGTTTTTCTACAAGTAGCAGAAAAACTGCATTACGTCGTTTCTCTTTTTGTCAGTTCAAGAACTAATGCACACTTATGATTTTATACGGTCCCACGAAATTCACGGCTTTGCCTCTGTTGCACTGTCATATAACAACACATGCATGAACAATAAAAGTTGATGGAAACCGTAAAAAGCTCTATTATAGAAAATATCCCAACTATTGCTTAAAGGAAATAGTGCGAAGAAGAAGGAACCAATGACGATGACGTAAATGTATAAAATCCAACAGCAACATACTATATAGCAGGGTGGTCCAAGGTTGTCGGCTCCGCGGGCCATAAAATTATTTTTGCATTGTTCGCGGGCCACAATAGTGCCAAGAATAGGTAAACAGTGCAATACAGAACAAACACTTTTATTGTGCAAACACATAGTTATCAGGCATAGCCATTCTAGGCTAATAGAATCCGCATTCGATTTTTAGTTTTCTATGATGCCTATATTGTTTGCATATATTCCCGACCAAAAAGTTAAAAAGCCAGATTACAATTTAGACCGCCAGGCACATCATTCAACTTCGCTATTTTCCCCAGCTATCCATCATACTATTTAATTCAGTGCCAATAATGATGACAATATGTCAAAAGATTTTTCTGATTCATTTTATGACGAAACAACATGAAATGCGATTTTTTGATTACTCTCCGAATGTGACGCGGGCCACATATAATGAAGCGGCGGGCCATATGTGGCCCGCGGACCTGGGTTTGGACCACCCTGCTATATAGGCATCAAAGCAGAACATAGGCTACAATGCAAAGGTTGAACAACGGTGACACACGAATAAAAAGTTCATGCAGTATAGAGGGTTTTGTCGACTTGCATTTTATTTGCAATATGGACAATAGGTTCTGACGAATCTGCACTAAAATTCCGAAAGATGGAAAGTCTGCCGTTTTTCGTGTCATCGTTTGTAATTGTTTCAACAACATTTCATAATTTCCAACTCCAATTGCAAACTTGTGACTGGAGTTTTTCTACAAGTATCAGAAAAACTGCATCCCGTCGTTTCTCTTTTTGTCAGTTCGAGAACTAATGCACACTCATGATTTTATACGGTCCCACGAAATTCACGGCTTCTGTACAAAGCCCCCGTCACTAAAGCAAAAATGTGAGATTTGAGAAAAACACCCATATCACGTTTTTAAATAACAAATTAGTAATTGTCCAGTTCGGGTTAGGCTTAGGAATGATTTGACAAATTTGAATTTCGAGTGGTATCTGCAATCCTAACCCTTGCTGGATAATTACTAATTTTCTTATTTTGACGGTTGGCGAAGGCTTTGTAAAAAAGATCCACTCATTTTTCAAAACACGGGCGTGGTCAGCTACCACAGTCAGGTAAGTTATAACATAGAGAATGGAGCGAATATTTACCAATACTGTGTTCTCACGTGGTAGCTGCAATTGGGAAATAAACAGTTCAAAAAAAGTTATCAGTTAGCTTTATTGCCTTTCAAACATTATTTTGCATGCAAATAAACTGAACCATTGTGATTAAAAAGGGGAACAAACGAAATTATAAGTGTAAATGGATGAAGTAATTTAAATACTGCAATACATAAAAGTGGTAAATAAAACATAGAACTTGAAGTTACGCTAAGTTGTCGGCCACCCTTGCTCTTATCTTAATAGCCAGTATTTATTATTTTTGAAACATTATTTTGTATGTAACTGAATAGAAATCTTCGCATGAGATAACATGAACGAGCACGATTGTATGTGTATACACATAAGTATTTAATACACTACACAGAATGCTACATTACATAAAATTGAAACATAAAATATTGAAGAGTAGGTAAGTTGATTAGTTGCATATCATACATTCAACAGTGGTTACATAACATACAAAGCACGCAGGAACTTGAACTATTTGCCTCACATTTTTATATGACGATTTAAAAATGTGGTCAAAATATTTGGCCCCAAAATCGATACTGTGACAAAATAGGAATGTAGAGGTTACTCAGTGCTCATTTGTACAATCTTCGTTAGTAAACGAGTTACTGAGTTATATATAAACTCTGTTAGTCTGAAGTATCATGTCTAGTTAGGCATGTGTGTGACTAATAAATTAGAGTAATTATGACAAACATAACATTACCCTAAAAATGAGAATGCCTACTTACTTTTTCATGCTGTTTTATATTTCAAATTATCATTTAAACTAAGTACAAATAATATTGTAGCTAATGTTTAAAATTTACTCAACCGTACTGGGCGAACCATACAAGGAAGAGTGAGAAGAATTAGCAAAGCTTCGCTGTTGGTACTATATGCGGTTGCATAAAGGGTTACATTCAATACAAATAGATTACATCTCTACAATGTTTATATAAGGCGAATAAATCAAGGCGCTATTTTCAAACGTACAAGAAGTTTCAATTTCGGGATTGCAGTATACGAATGGCCTTATTTCCGAATGAGGAGTAATTTTTATCTATGTGTGTATTTCTTCATGTGAATAATTTCTACCCTGTTATGTGTGTGGTATCTCATATATTGTTATTAACCATGCCAATTATTTTCTATGTGGGCTAATCATATTAAGATATTATTTAATTAATTTAAGATTTAGCATATGCTACCATAGATACATAGCTACTTACAATTATAAGTTGTCTAAAACTAGAATACACAATTATGTTACTGAAAAGTAATTACATATGAAGGATAAACACTTGAATCTGGGAAAACAACAAAAATATTTGGGCTTGATTGGTCGTCTACACAACTATCATATCTTGTAGATTGACTTTTCTCTGGAGGAGCTTTGTATGTTGAATTTCCAAGAATGTAATCCCCAGTTATTACTTCTGAGAGGAACATATATTTTGGAATATCTTTACAATATCTCACAGAATATTGAGACTTGACTGCAAAATACATACCGCGCCCATATGCTGTACCTAAAAATTGGAAAATTTATTCCAGTAATACCATTTGATACAAATCACTCTTTTACATAAAGTATAGGAATATATATTGAAATCGACAGTTTCTCCTATCACCAGATGAAGGTAAACAAATAACAAATTCACAGGGCATTCGTCCATATTATTCGCACTATGGAATTAGGAAGCCAATTTCTAATATGAAACAACACAACTACATCTTGAAACATACATTGAGGCATGAGATTCATTTTAGGCATTGTGCAACAATATGGTCAGATGCTTATTATTTTTTATTAAAAATATTAATAATCAATGGCCTTTTTTACCATGCTCTCCGGCAAAGTTTCTGTCGAATCCAGATGCACAAATTTTATCAACCTTGTCTACAGAAGTTCCATGAAACAATTGCCTGGTAATTATCATGCTCCTACCAGAATACTCCGCTTTTTTAGCATTTTCAAGATGTTTGAATTGGGAATACAAAAATCTATTTTGAACTCGTTCAATCTGAAATAATACAATAAAAAGATGAAGAATAATGGAAATTTTTGCGTAAGTAATCAAAAAATGGACATATTTGGAATTATCAATCCATTAGATTACGGTAATACTGAAAATGCACCGTCTCTATTAGTTGTCAGCGTTCCAAATGTTCCATGGAGTTTCTCAGGGCTCAGTTTTTAGACCTTAACTGTTCATACTATTCATTAACGATTTCTTGAATAGTCTTATTTGCAAGCTGCAACCATTAGATCTAACTAAACATTTTTGATGTAAAATCATTCTGTACTTTCACTGTACGTATGTTATTCTTATTTTGTTTATATTCTTGCCGCTGTGCTGACATACTCTGTTTCTCGCAATGATAAAAAGAAGCATTTCAAACTGATTTAAAAAAATGAGGAACCGAGAATGAACTAAGCTCACCTTAATCAATTTGGAATATAATGGTCGACTTTCTTCAAATTTTTGTTTTACTTCAAGATATTCAGGCAAATATTTATTCAGTTTAATTCGAATAAATTTCTGGTTACTTGGCATTGAACTCCAGTTTTGAGGATATTCTGCATTAAATAGAGACATGTTCAAAAATTAGATGAAACAATGAATTTCAGTTGTTTATATAATATCAAACTCATAAATATCAGTGACTGTTCGAGCCATCAGATCCAATTTGTTTTGCAGAATGAAATCTTGAATCCAATCCTTATCCGCAGAGGCTTACACAGGGTGAGTTAAATTTGTTGGGAAATTTTGTATCAAAAATATTTAGGTTCTTCTGACAGTAATATGTCATGAAGTATTAGTAGTTGCTTGTTCAGAAACATGTTTTAGTTGGAGATATGAAAGCACCCCATAAAATGGAGTGTAAGCAAATTTTGCATCAAATGTCTAAAGAGATGGTATATTTGGTAATGGGACAATCTTGATTTTTTATGCACACTAACACAAATGTAACGTTTCGTCTGACCATAATCAGATTTTCAGACAAGTCTTATTTTTGAGACATTCCATAGTATGGTCATGTTTATTCCTGCTACACCAACCTTGCATTATACACATACAGACCCATTAGTATAAAGACATTGACCATTGAAGAAGAAATGAGAGTTAGTCTAGTGTAACCTCCACTGATACTTGATTTTGGTGAATTGGCCATATCACAACGCAGTTTAATTATAATATGCAAAAAATTCAGATTGACACTTTGCCATGCCTAATACATATTTTCATATCGAATTGCGTTAATACCTGCTTCTAGTTTCTTGTTAATTATGTCTTCAGTTTTTGTGACATTAACAAGTAGACCTTGAATATGGCATTCCTCAACTAACCTGAATTTTACAAAATACAACAAAACGCTTGATTGAAAACAATTGTGATATGACAACAGGGGTATATAGTGCAAACCATGAAAACTGATTACAGAATCAACATTAAAGTTATTTCACTAATTTTGATCGACAATAGTGCACATAAAAATTGGAAATCTGAAGATTTCTAGCATGTAACTGCTTTCATGATAGAAATTCAAACAAGTTCACTGTTTAAATTGCCATCCACAGCAATTCCAATAATGGAGAATTACCGTATTCTGTCTTGACAAACTTCAAACCTACATAAATTTCCTATGTTAGGTATAGTCAGCAGTTCAAAAAGGAAATGCATAGAAATAATTTTCAGCTGAATATGTATGTACTTACGTGGCTCGCTTCCATTCGAGTAAAACATCATTATCATCACAAACTTTTTGTATCTCTGATTTTTCAAAACTGTAAAAGTTTTGTTGCGTGCTTTTGATAATGGAAGTTTTGATGCTTTTATCACAAACTTCTTGAAGTTTCTCATAGGCCTGTGAAAAGAAACATCAAGCAAAGATATCTCAGGATTTCCATTCTTATTCTACGTTAGAGAAAAAACATCGTAAGTGAAAGCTCCTTTATTATTAACTTGGTAAAAAATTTAGTATAACCAGAAGGTTCTTTCATTCAAATAACTGTCAGTGACATCCCCGCTGTTAGAACATCTCATAAAAGCATTACAGAACAACTTTGACCATGTCCATGACATAATAGAAAATTTGATTACAGGATTTTTAGCAATTAATAAAAAATGACGATGCAAAGTGTAAGAGTGTAGAGGTAAAATTAAAATTTGAGTCAAAATTTTCTACTGAAACTCCGAGTAAAACTTTTCCAACTCAGAATTTATTGTAAATTTTCCTTCTCTACTGGCTTGCTTACCTCCTCTAAACATTTTTTACTGTTTCCATAAATCTTCACATCAATTCCTGTTGACTTAGTTAGACCTAAATACAAGATCAATTACATATTTATCACTAAATGTACCAACATTAAGAAATCAAAACAATTATAAGTATATTTTAATAAGCAGTGTAAAATGTGAAATCGTTAAAATCAATAAATAAGAATAGATGTTTTTTTTTGTGAATTTACCATGCAGATAAATTATAATATGTCCAAAATGCAATAAATTATACCTAGTTACCTACCTTGTCTCGGGGTTACATCTTGAAATACAGGTAATTGAGATGACTCATAAACTATAACTCTGATATCTTTTAAGACTTTGTTTTGAGCTACAAACTGTGGAAATGCCTCTTTCATGCATGAAGCAACAACTCCAGAATCCAATCCCATATTACCTGAAATATGATCCTTGATTTAATGTCAAGTACTATTGTGAGTTGCATAGCAAAACGTTTCTTACCTGTCCCAATCGTAGGCAGAGCTAAGCTTTGTAGACAAAACCTGTCTGCTACTGTTAATAGATCCAAAATTGCCTTTGTTAGTTCATTCTTATAAGATGGGGTTGCAATGCAGAAGATATATTTCCATGGCAACAGACCATTTGTAGGACAAACACAAAGTTGATCTTGAATAATCCAATAAACCTTTTCAAGAACATGATGCATTACAGTAGTTCCAAACTTCCTTTCGAGAGCTATTGAGACTTGACCTTCAAAAAAAAGATATTTAAGTTTAGTGGTTGTGTCTGCATTTACTAGGCATATCAGCCATCAATCCATGAGATTTCCCTAGCCAGTATAAAAATTGAATTAATCGTGATATACTGGTAAACACATACATTGCGCTTGCTAATCAACATCAAAAAATCTAGAGCAAAATTATGATAGACAAACACAAAATGGACAAACAAATTTCAGTTGACCCTCAAGAAATTTTTAAACTAAAGAGATTATCCATGTAATATATGAAAAAACAAGTTGCCCAACACAGCATGCAAAAAGTTTTTTAACAACATTACATGCACATTATTGATTACAAGCCCGATTCAAAACCAATGGATTACGAGAATGTGTGAAAAAATAAAAAAGTCCACGCAATTGCATAGTAATTCACTAACTACCAAGTTAAATATGACTTCTTTCACATTCCAAGTACATGAACGATTTTAGAAAAAGCTGACAAGATGTAAATATAGAACTAAGTCGTTATATGGGTTTTCAGCAAATTGAAGAGGCTAGATTTATGGTAAAAAATAATCAACAAATGCATAGATTTCCACAATATCACCTGAAAAGCTTATCTTTTTTCCTGTACTAATGACAATCGCGTCACATTTTTCAAGAACAATATCACCGATTTTGACAGATACCAAACTATTATGATTTTTCTGTTAAATAAATAAATGGAACAATTGACAACTCTGTACAATTACAAAAGACTTTTTATGAGCTGCCAGGTAACAAACTTAATCAACAATGAACACATTGACAGTGGCAGATTTTAAATGATAAATTGGCCAACAAACTTTTAACTGATGGCAGATGCCACGCCACAGTATGACGGGAACTGAGATTCAAAAAATGCCTATCAAGCTTATTTTTATTTAGTATTACGGTACATTTTGATACTCCCAAAATATGTGAACCAAGTTGGCGGACACCGGATCATAGTATGTGTACCAGGTTAGGGACAGGCCATAATTTCAGTTACAAATACTACGGGAGTCACTTGGCTAGTCTCCGAACACCTAATAGAACTAAATAAGGAAAATTGGAATAAAATTATGGCCTAACCCTAACCTGGTACACATACTACGTTCCGGTGTCCGCCATCTTGGTTCACATACTTCGAGAGCACCGTCATTTTCAACAAGACAAATCAAATTGTTTATAGTATTTTGAAATAGTAGGTGTAAGGTATATAGCAGGCTAAAATCGAATATTTCACTATTTCAGATACATTCTGGGAAAGTGTTTTTGAATATGAAATATCGTGTACATTCTAAAATTGAGGCAAGCTAATGTGGGAAATTACATAAATCTCTATATCTTCATGTTGATCACATATAAAATGACATAATATGAAGATCATTGTTGTTTCCTGTGTTGTTTGTTATTGGTTGGGATATCGTACGTTTTGAACTGCTTGTCTGACAGATCAAAATGCCAAATTTTCAAGTAGAAAAATATTCTAAATTTTTCCTGAATCAAAATTTTTTTTATCTAATATAAGGAATTTTGATTGTATTGAAATATTCGAGTTGTTTTGGATACCTGGTATATAGCATCTAATCTATTATTTGGGATAGACTTTGCTCGCCATGAAATTAATAATATTTAATTTACATTACTCTGCTACAAAATATATATTGAGATTTGAGATCTGCCATACTTCTAAGTAGATTACCAAAATCATTTAAACATTTCTTATATTTATATAGTAAAAGACTAAGACAGGCATGAATAAAATTAACTTACCTGTCCTATTGGATTGAGAACTATTGAACATTTTGTCTCGTGCTCTGTAATTTGTAGACAAGCTTTACCATCTCCAGATAAATACTCATACAAAGAATAACCAGTGATTTGTTTTTCAATTTTTTTAATCTCTTTTTCCAAATCTTCAAACTCCATATCGACTGAAAAAAAATGCCATCATAAGACGCAGAAATACTAAAGTTAAGTTGAAAATATTTAACATATTCCTCACTCGCACTTGATAGACTTTCAAAATTGCGTTGACTTTCTAGCGACATATCATGAGTCACTAGTGTAGTGTCAGTTCATTTTGTGCACTGTAACATTTCACACTGTAACACGTTCCTCCGTGTTGATTGATCGAGGTGATAAAGTCTCATCTTGTGAGATGCAAGTATGTGTACTTCAAGTATAGGGGTTTGGGTTAAATCTGTTTTAATCTATCTGTTTGGGGCCGCAAAAATAGCCAAATTAGTTGAGCTAGTCTGGCTGATAAATAGCTAAAACAGGTCAGAATTCTATTCCCGTTTCTACTCGTGGTTGTGGGGACAGGCATGGCTCATAGTTTACGATCTATCCAAACATAGAATTATTTCAAGATCAGTATTTTAACTTAATTTTTAAAACATTCTGGATAATATTGAAATGCTAAATATATCGGAAATATCGGTCTACATTTGGTTGATATCGTTACACTACCGATACCAAAAAATTGGCCGATATTGTCGATACTGCTACCAATACATCGTTACATCTCTAATATATACCAGTATTTAAAATTCTCAAAAGTGTAATTGAACATGTTTTTGAATAAAAATATAGTTAAATAAAAGTACATCTAGTCATGAAACTGGCTGAAAAATAACAATCTATGTGCTGGTGAGAACTCACATACACTTAAGGTTCAACAAATCAAAACGTCTTCCATTTAGATATTTTAAATAAAATCTTCGGTCAACAATAATAATAGAATAGATAAAAAAACAGATATTCCTAGTTTAATATTGACATGATTAATCAATTATGCAATTACTTTAATTGACAAAATTAGTAAACATCAGAAAATGTTTTCAGAACATTTTGATTCAAACTGGTCAATTTTGGTAAAGTATTAAAGTAGTATTTATCTGAATTAACGATATTACAAGTTGAATAAAGTAATATTTGGTGACAGAGTAGGTTGTATCGTAGCATTTGAATCATATTATAACAAAGCCAATGCAAAGTAAACCAGTATAGGCATGATTTTCGAATACAATATTTATTCACAAAGGTGTGAGGCTTGACAAATATTTATCGATCAATCAGAATAAGTCATTTGACAAATAAAAGAAATAACATACATACCAGTATCAATGTCCTCTTGTTCAAATGTGACAAGCAACCCAGGTTTTGTACTTTCAGTCACTAATTTAACAGACTTTGCTTTGTCGATTTTACAATGGCTGGCAACATGTACAGCAATTTCTTTTGACATTGGGTAGAATTTTTTTATGTCATTCATTTCACCCATTTGCTCAATTGTTTTAATCACGTCCATCCTCATTTGGGCATATTGGAAGTTGAAGCAAAACACAATAATTTTTCTTGCATCTCGCTGAAATAAATTCAATATGAAAGAATTGAATACCTGACAATAAAAAGTTTTTATCGGGAATGACATGCTTTATTCTTGAAATACACAACCTTATATGCGCTTGCAGATACTTTTATGAGAATGTTTGATTTTTCTGGAGATTCTAATTTTATTGTAATATATTTTTCGTAATTACAAAACATTACTGATGGCTTTTTTATGTAACAATCATATTTTGACTCAAAACACCAATTTTCTGTGAAAAAAAAATTTTGAGAGTATACAGTATAAAATATTTAATATTTACAATAAATTAAATATTTAGTTGAGTTTGGTCATCCATAATCACATTCATTACAATGCCTTACCTCAGATTTCATATGAACAATTTCATCTCTGAAAGCTTTTTTCAAGTTGGCAACCACTTCAGAAAATGGAGCATCTTTCTGATGGTCAGCAGGCGATATATCAAATTCCCTTATAGATTTCTTCAAAAATCCATTTGCTTTTTGCCAATGGATATTATTGACAGCAAACAAACTAATGTCAGAATTTACAAAGGCTAAAGACCCTGTAAAATTTAAAAATTCAATAATGGTAAAAATCTACGGTATATTTAAAATGAAATTCCAGATAATGAGATATGTGAAAAGTTCCCCTGACCTTTGACATTTTCCTTTTTAAATTGCCTGTATAAGCCATCAAGAATATTTTTCTTTGTACTCAGTGACTTTTGCTGTGAATTTTCACATTTTTTGAGAAAAGCCAACTGATCTGATGTAACATCTTCAACTGGTTTTTGAATAGTTTTCTGAAAATGCATAGGAAGTTATATGAATAACAATATGGGATAGAAAATAGTTTTGAAACAGTCTTGAAAAATATGAATCTATGAACAAAATTGGAAATAAGTGACAGACCGTGGTCAGCTCTCCTAAAGTTTTTTCAGCCAGCTGTATCGCAATCAACTCTCCTTTGTATATAATTTTTCCATCCTCAGATGGTTGAATTGATACACGATGTCCTTTATTGCGGCATTTCTGCTCAGTTTTTTTCCAAAGATCACATTCCCTTTGAGCACTGCATATCAATGTAACAATATATTGTACAAAAACATGTTTCATTCTTTTACTTCACAAAAAAGAAGTTTAAACCATTAAACACTTTTTCAACTTTTTGCACCAGCATCCAGTTTCATTTTTTTCGAGAAAAAAATATATATTCACTAATAATTTATCCTCATCTCCTGATCCAGAAGGTTTTATTATGAGTTAATATATTTATGATGAATGACAAAATGCACAAATTTTAAAACTGTACATAACTGTGAAAGAGCACAAAAAGAAAACAATATTCTGTGACATCATGAGTATATGTGAATATACCTTACTATGAGACAAATCATATGAACATTGCACAATACTTTAAAACAAATAATCAAATTTGCATTGCTTCGTTTCTGCAAGGTAAATAAAGAAATTACATGAACACATCTACGGGTAGGGTTTTTGCCCTTTTTTCACTTTTAATTTCATAATCTATGTCTTCAATTCTTTCTTCCACTTTTTCTTTCAAACCTGGGGAATGCAATAAAAAAAAAATCCCACATTAGTATGAAAACTACAGCTGATAATAAATAATTTAATCAACATCTTCAAAATGCGATTACTCAAAATAATAAAAAATCAGACCTGATTTGAGAAAAAAACTAGGAATGAGTTGTTAAAAGTTATGAGGACTGAATGAACTCAACTTCTATAAACTAAAATCTAATTATGATATTTATGATCATGTTGTTTCTTTACAGAAAAAATGAAACAGATTAACAGAATATAACAAAAATGAATAGAAATGAATATATACATCTCTTTTCACAGAAATGACTGTTTTAATGTATGCTTTAATTAAGTTATTGCTCTACCTCCTCAGACACAACAGGATAGAATTTGATCAAACAGTGAAAGCTCCAAATAATAAGTTATTTTTGTAAACGTAATATTATTTAATATGAAAAATGTCAGAATGTTAATCAAAACATTGTAAGAGCAGCATATATAAAATGAAGCGTGGAAGACTCAATATGTTACAAGTTACTCAACTGCATATAGTTTGCACAGTTTCTCACCTGCATATTTAATTGTTCCAGTACTAGGGAAAGCCTGCACAAAAACACCAGGTTCTTTACAGAACAATTTAGGAAAATCTCTCATGACACTTTCCATTTTATCGACATTATATTTATTTGTTTCTGCCGAAAATTGGTCAAAGTAGTTGCCAACTTGTTCCCAAGCTCTTGATTTATCAACATCACTGGGATGCTAGGTGTAAATATTAAAATTACAACAAAGTTTCACTAGCAAAACATGTCACAAATATAACTATTTATTAAGAATACAAAACCTTTTTTCTGAAAGAGATGTGAACTTTAATCTGTCCTTGATCATTGGTGATTGACACTTTTGCAAATTTACCACAACACGATCCAAGATCTTTTTTAGCACCAGCGTCGTTGAAAACAAACTTCAATACTGCAGGTTTATAATCTTTTGTATCAAATTGTACAGAAGTCGTAGAATCAGCTCTAGTAAACCAAAAACAAAATCATATAAAAATTTCTGTTTAGAAATGAATAGCATAACAAACGGCACTTTATCTGTAACAATAAAGAAATAAGATACTAAACGAGAATATCGGTCGGCGACCGAAGACTTATAGATCGAAAGTTAAGGGATCCCCCAAGACAGAAACTCCGGTTTTGATTCATTTGCTCTTACTCCATAGTGACACATCACTGATTAATTAATAACTCACTAATTATACGACATAATTTATCCAAAATCAATAGGCTTCTGGTCCGAGATATGATGAATGCACATGCAAAATTTGGAGCAGATTCAACCTCGCTTTCGTGAGAGATCGCGTGTATTTACCGGACAGACAAACAAACAAACGGACAAATACCTATCAACATACTTACCGATCAAGATCGATAAGTAAAAATCACATTGCAAGTTTACTGATAGTAATTAATAAATCGAACCAAACAATAAAATAAGAAGTGAAAGGCTCACTTTGAAGAAGATGATGATTCATCACCGAAATCACCCCATGACAATCTGCGTGATCTTTCCGAGTGGTGCCTTTGTCTAACCCCACTTGTTGGTGATACTGGTAAATGATGCAAAGTCTGGACAGGAACACCAGAATGATGGGGATGTATAAATGGAACATGCATCTCTTGTTGTGAAGGAAATGTTAGCGGCATCTGAACGGGAGGCTGAAAAGCTTCACTCTCTGATGATGAACGTATTTTCGAAGAACCCAGTATATTTTCTATTCTGTTTCGATAAATTTGCACTTGGCGAGATACACCGACAACATTCACGGTACCAGTATTAGTAAACCACTGCACAAAACAACCTTGGAAATTTTTGGTTTGAAATAAATCAGGTTGGTGAGGCTTTTGTCTAGCTATTATAGTCAGGTCAAATTTTCCTCTCCACACAGAAAACTGCCTAAAGAACTGCACCAACCTCATTCTGCACTCATTTTCAAAATCCATATGTAGTTTGGCATGTGACATCTGCAATATAAGATTTGTAAAATAGATCAACAAAAAACTGTTTTATTATCATAAATTTCAATTTAATATTACCTGGGTAGGAGAAACATGAACTGTTAAAGTTTGTTCTTTTTTAACAATTTCGGCATTGGCTAAACCAATTAAACATACGGACAACTGATGCTTGTAAGTTTTTCCAAACGAAACAAAGCGCATGATCGCAGGTTCAACATCTTCATAATTAAAAGGCTGTGCAGTAGAATTTGCCGGAAGTTGTCTGTAAGAAAAAATCAATACCTAATTCTTATTAATGACATTATGCTGTATTTAGGTTGAACGCTCTAGAGCAGGGTCGTCCAACCTGTGGCCCGCGGGCCATATGTGGACCGGGGAAGCATTTCGAGTGGCCTGCCCTGATTTTCAGAATTGAATAAAAAAAATTAGGTAAAACTATTTTTCGTGTGATGTAGTAGGCCTATACAAAATGTGATATAAAAGATTTGTTTATTTTCCCGAAGTGCGCTCTGTCAGCCCTTCCAATCGAGCCATGGGTGCCATTTTGAATCGAAATCAACAAAGAAGATATATCGATACATGAAGGTGTCTTAGTCGCTTACACATTTGCTATTTTACTACTCTGTTAGCCCTTCCAAACGAGCCATGGGTGCCATTTTGAATCGAAACAAACTGGGAGGAGATATTGATACATAAAGGTGCCATAGTCGCTTACACACTTGGTCTTTTATTACCCTATGTGATGTTATCGCAAAACAATCGAAGCCATTCTCAGATAGAGATTTCGTTAAGGAATGTATATTATGTATTGTTCGGTTTGCCAATCTTTTACGTCCGGAAATGAAAGCGGCGTTTGCAAAAATAGCCTGTATGTACTGATCTCGTTATAGATTCTAATATCAAAAGCGAGAAAATTTCCATTGTATTTCTTGGCGCTTGACGAAAGCACTGACATCTAGTTTTTAGCTCAGTTGGCGACCTGTGATCTTTGCGGGGAGTTTGATGATATGAAATAACAGTGGAGCTCGCAGGCATTGTCCCTGTTGAGGGTACGACTAGCACTAGAGACATTGGTTTGTTAAGAGCTGTGATAAAAATGATCAAGCGTATTGGCTTGTCTTTGGTGTAACTTATGGGAATAACCACTGATCGTGCCCCATCAATGGTTGCGAAACAACAGTTTTGTTGTACTAAACATTGTGTTTGATGTGTGGGTTTTGTTTGTTTTATCATTAACCTGTGGTCAGTGTAGCAAAACTAGATCATAACTATCATGTCAAGTGGCCCGCGCAATTATTAGTAAACCACATGTGGCCCTTCGGCGAAAAAGGTTGGTCGACCCTGCTCTAGAGTGACTCTCTACATTAGTGGATATGAATCAGTGTTTCTGTCCGTACAATTCAGAGACTCTATGAGTTTCCATTTGAATCCGATAAAATATATTAATATATCCATATTGTTCAAATATGATAAAATACCTAGGTTAGGCTTGCCACTATTGCTACGCTTAAACAAATTCGTTTTGCCAGTATTAGGTTTGCTTTTATATATACTTATGGATGATAAATTCAGACAATAAAACTATTATACAGGAATTCCTCGGATCTCTAGTCCGTTTCATTGAGGTTTCGCTCCACCAATAAGGTTGAAAACTACTGATCTACATAATTGTTATGATTCTCGATCAAAAGTATGGAAATATTACTCTGCTATATATTACTATGCAGCACATTTATAAGTTGGATGAAAGACTAGATATGGTTTGTCTATGACGTCAATGTCTTGCAAATAAAGTTACACCAAAAAACGAAAATTGATAGTAACCATACATCATCACAAAGATGTAAGATATCCTATTCTCATTCAAAATAAACATATTCAAAATGACCTATTGTCAGAGTTTTTGTTTTAGCACATCATGAAATTATATCCTGGGTTCATAAGATTCAGGTATTCTTTATAATACCCGTAGATAAAATGCTTTAGAAAATTGACACAGAAGGCCGCAAATATAATATAATTTGGTATATTTGGTACAAAATTACTTGTAATTTATCAGTTAATTGTAGGGATTATTCTGAAAATGAAAATCACCAAAGGCTTCATTTTTCTACAAATTGACCATCAATATACCATAGTATAAAATAAATATTCGAAGATGAAATGTATCAGTGTTTTTGACATCTGTCTCATAGATAACATGGTGATAAAAATACTCAACTAAATGCCAATATCATATACTGTGTTCGCCTACTTTCTCTCCTTTATTATTGGTATGTTGTGGTTTGTCAAATCAAACCTACTAAATGATAATATTCCCATGGATAAATTACTGCTGTTCACTCATAATAGTTGATAGGAATTATATATATATATATTTAGGAATTTAACTACATGACCAAATACAAATAATTTTTCATGACTGTAAAACATTTATATGTATCACATTCCTTTTAATGTTAATAAAGCTAATTCTATATGATATAAATATATCTTATTATCACATCAGTAATGTGTGCCTGTAAGCAGTCCGCATGATATTGCTATTCAAAATTTCTATGTACCTTACTTTTTTAAATAGATATTCCATCCATTTCTAAAAATATTTTGAAACTGAAAATATTTTGAAAACGCTGTATAAAAATTTAAGCTCTAAATTACTTCCTAAATCAATGGTATAATCTTAATTTGATACAATTTTAATGCTCACAGTAGTTCATCATACTCTATGATAAAAAAATTATTGATTGTGTAAGGTGTAGAGCTAAGATCTGAAGCCGTGCCCGACCCGAAATTCGGACTTTTTTTAAATGAGGCGCTTTGGACGTGTTTTGGCCATGAGAGGACGTGGCTTGCAAAAAAAAACAGAAGTTGCCTGCAAATCCAGTTAACTAACCCACGGGCCTGGGTCGGGCCGGAATTTTTTGGGCCCAATCTTACCTCTAGTAAGGAGTCTAGTCCGGTACTTACATTTTCTTGGGTGATTTCTCTAAATGACCATTTATCGAATTCTGAACCTCTTCAACAATAGTCTCCGGCCCAGTGACAAGGATAGTTGATGAATCATTGAACCAACTGCCAAAACATTGTTCTTTATAACTTGCAAGAACTGTTTTGATATGTTTGACATCAGCAACAGAACAATTTTCAAGCTTCTCATTCCAGAAAGAATATAATTCAAGAAATCTTTGTATACATTCTCCACAATCTTCTTCACTTTTGATAAATCCTCTGGCATTCTTGAAACAAAAAAGTGAATTGTTCGAATTGACATAACTATATTCAGAAAACATAAATGAAATGATAACAGATCTGTTTTTCCATTCGTTTCTAACAGAGAATAGCTTGTTTGTTTAATTTTAAAGTTAAAAAATCCATAAATTGTTTCACAACTTTATTCTTTACAATCAGAAACTTATGCCTGTTGGAGGCACCATGCTCAAGATTAAATTTTTTCGTTTCAACATACAATGCAGCTATCCCATTTACTAGACAACCTTAGTACTGGCTGTTCATGATATATGTTTTTATCTGTAATCCGTGTTCTTACTAACAAATCTCCAAATTGTCAATCAATGGTAAAACCAATAAACCAAAAGACAAGAAATCTGACTATTATGATATATTTCTTTTGGTTCCAGTGTGCTGTGAGAATAATCTTTAAGGAAGTGTGTGACATCATGTCTATGATCTCATCTCTGAATCATGATCAACAACAATTACTCGAATGACATGTGAGGTATTACTTTCTGCACAACAATTGGTTTGTATTGACAAATTTCCAAATAAGGCAACTTTGAAATATACTCACCATTAAAAATTGAACATCATGATTCAAAATATTTTAAAAAAATCCAAAAATTATGGTAATTTACAGTAATAAATACCAGTTTGTGATCAACAGTGCTATGGAGTCAGATAATAGTTAAAGGTATGCATGGCCAGTCAGAGTATGAGCTTTTTTGCAATAGATTTGCATTTTTGCAATGTTGGAACATGTGCCGGAGTCATATCTCAATTTTTTCAGAATGAGATATTTAATTTTGAACCCCCAGAGATAGGTTCATAGAAAGATTTCGAGAAATTGAAGTTTTGTCCAAAAATTTGATATTCAGCGGCCAAAAACTCAAGCTTGAATTTTGCAATCCAGAGTCACAAGTTTGACAAATTCTTCAAGCCAGTTGAGATGAGTTAGCTTCTGGCTATATAATCTATTAGGTGAAAAAACATCAACAACGAAAATAGAATTTCTGTCAAACATACACTTTATTGGCATATTTTTAAGTCTGAGTATTTACTACACACCTGTATTACTTGAACTTCAATTTTTTCGCCTGAGATATCCAACAACCTCATATTGTGTTCAGTCAACATTTTTTCCAATGCTTTCCTGTGTTTTTGATTTCTACTCAAGTAGTTCAATACTGGCTTGGGATAGAATTCAGATTCTTCAAAAATATAAATCTCAGTGTCGACATCATCTTCCTCATCATCATCGTCCACATTTTCCAATTTCAGTTCATGGTTTCGCCCACCGAATGTCACAAAAATTCGTGAATTCAACAACTTTCGTTGAGCTAAAAAGTGTATAATATATAGTTATACACAATCGAGTTACTTGTGCAGTTTGGGTAATTGAAATTTCAGTAATGAGCCGAATTATCTTGTGCTGTTTTTGAGAATGCCTATAGATTTAGCCTTATACAACCAAAGGGTTAGTATAACTTGGCTGGCATAATTATAAAACTTTGATTGGAACCTAATTATTCCTCAATACAGATTAATATAGATATATACCGGTACATAAAGAGGTGGGATTCAAAATCTTAAGAACTGGTCTCTTTAGCATTGAATTCACTAACACAGAGGTTCGCGAACCCCCAGGGGTTCACGAGAAGATTTCTAGGGGTACTTGGAAAGCATTCGAGTTTTTATGTGTTGCTATTTTTAATATCCTTCATTACTACCAAAGGAAGGTCTTGCGTTGTTGTGATTGTGACGCAACAAGGTGAAATTCACGGCTTTGCATGCAAACTGAAATTTCTAAGGCAGTGTGCAGCGAGCATTGGAGAAAGTAAATATGCTTATTGGAACTTGGGAACAATTTTAGGAATTCATTAGTTAGGCAGATGACAAGGGCGATAATATCAACGTGAAGATTTGATTTAGTTACATATGGTCAATAAATTGTTGTTGCAACAAATTGTTGCATGACATCCTTTACATGAACCGAATGCATGGATTTGGAAACGCCAAATGTAACTCTAGTTGTCAGCTGAGGTGCACAAAACCCATTTGCTGCATTCGTCATTAGGAAAATGAGAGTTCTCAGATTATCTAGACATCCCAAAAACAAGTTCGTGCAAACACATGCAAATCCTTTGCATCCCATGTTAAATTGAACTCAAAAAATCACTCCACACATTCTAACATATAAGAATTTAGAAACTTGATACAAATACAAAAAACAATTTTATTTTACTAAGAATGCATATCATGTACCTCTAATATCCGATACTGTTATCTTCACAAGATTATCTTTGATTTGTTCATAGTCTTCAATACAGCCTCGATCACCAAATTGTTCTAATTTCAACTTCAGTTTCGATTTTGAAAAATTATTTGGAATATTTGATACCAAAATTTTTGATGAATAGCCTGAATGATATGCCATAATGTATGGATTTTACATTCTAAAAAGACCGTTCGAATCAAACAATTCTATAATTTTATTCCTACGATTGTCATGATGAATCAGTTGAATCTAGAAGAAAAAGAAAATAGCAATAAAAATATAGTAGCACTTCCACACTTGGCAATGTTATGATTGAGTGAGAGATAGAGAGCGAGAGTTGTGAGTTAAAAAGAACACAAGAACACAACGATATAAACAAAATGCCAAGGGAAAAGCTAACAAGATTGGAGGCCATAATCTGCCACAACAACAATCTTCTTACTACCTTTCCACATATCCCAGTTCAATGCAGTGTTAAGGTACGAGGATAACTATTCTCAAAGAGATTTGAAAAAAATTATCAAAATAAAAGACTTGACTCAAATAACTGCCAGAGGGATATGAATTGGGACTCAAAGACAATCTTTGTGTGATTTTTTGCAATAAAAAAAATAACAAAAATTTTTTTTATTAAATAGAGTAATGTTGTATTGAAAATAAAGAATATTTATTAGCTCGTTGTAGCATTAACTAAAAACATGTCGCGTTGATGCTGAAGTAAACACTGCCAATACATTAATTCTATCTATCCTAAGTTCTAAAGTCTGATTCTTAACATTGGTTTAACATAAATGTGACAAATATTTATATATTTCTGTATTTTGCAGTTGTTTAAACAATCCTACTGTCACTCCAGCACTCAGACTCGAAACAGCAGTACGGTAACACGATAAATGACTCGGGATCAAAGTGACTCGGCCTGGAACTCAATATTTAAAAATTTTTTTGGGGGGGGACTCAGACCTAACTCAACACTGATCACTTCCTGACTTCGAATTTCCAAAAAACTAGATCTATCATCTGATCATGAAGCTTCCTTTTTTTCTACAAATGAAATCATAGACACAATATCTTCTGTTATTTATAAAATAGGGTAGTTGGGGGTTCATTGAAACTTAATAAAAACATTAATGGATCCCTCAACTCACATACTTGCCAACAATTGATATTTCGACCAGCAGGCTAGTTTTCAATAATAATCACACAAAAGGGTAATCCCCAGTATCAGAAATGGTGCTTCCCCACTTTTAGCAACATATTTGTGGATCAAGATCGACGTCATATAACTGAACGTCAATGTACCGATGTGCAACCGAAATAAATATCTATTAATTTAAGAAAACTTTGATTTTATCTAACAGATGCCAATAAGTGCTAATTTGTGGTATACTGTATCACGCCTCCTATTGTTTCATGCATGAGTGACCTTGGTTTCTAACTTTCTGTTTCGCACTTCTTTCTGTTTCATTTTGATTATCTACAAACATCCGTCTATTCTCCGAGTTGACGACACAAAATAATTATTATTCATACCCATTTGTTGGATATGGGTGTTGTCTATTGCTATATTCAGTGTATGGCTATGTGATTCCTTTCGATAATAAATAAAGCACAACTGGTATTAGCAAAACGAGATAATTTTCCGTTTCGAATTTCTAATCGGAAAATATATTTTTGATCGGTTTATAATTGCATAAAAGTCAATACCATCGTTATCCGTTGATATTTCAGATTTCTGTAGTGTTTCTTTTTCATTGCTACCCATTGTAAACCTGTATACTGCCTGGTAGATCTATCGTTTTTTTGTCTCATTCATCGTGTCCCGAGTTCACAATTTTTTCTAATACGACAGCGATCAATTGTCTCATTATTATATTTCAAATCCAGTTTGAAACGCCTACTCCGCGCAATGAAACCAGACTGCGACAAGGAATGTAAGGTTGTTTCGTATATACGTCGAGGTTGTTTTGTTTTGTTTTCATGTCCCTTTGTATAGTAAATTAAAAATAATAGGCTGAATAGGGTCTGTTCGATCTCGACCTTACAAAATCACATGCGTAGAAAATACAGCTATGAATTTTGTGCCGGAGTATTAGTATTGGAACTTGGAAGTATTTTCACCGCGGCCTGGTCTGTAAATCGGACAATATTAAGCAATGTACAATCTTGATTAACACGCATTTTTTAATGAAGTCAGTCAAATCGCAAACGATTGTATAAATCCTATTTTCCCATTTTGCTGGAAATGGGCTTACACGAACCTCGGTATCCCATCAGTCTTCTACCAAGCATTAGCAAAATATTTGTAACCCTTAACAATGGCGTTGTTACTGTCTACTTCGTATCACGTGGTCTTTCAACCGACGAACATTTCAGTGGCGTATCTACGTAAAATGTCGCCCTTAATTAACAAAGTTTGAAAATAAATGCGCCCCTCTGATCGTGACTGGCAATTTTCATCGGGTGTTGTTGAATTGAGATACTTGTACGGTATTATTTTAGTCAAAATACGAGTTACAGTTATTCCAATTCAAAATTATTTTATTGAAACATTTTACGATTAAAACCTTTCGCCCTTTTTGCGCCCCTGTTCATGCGACGCCCATGGCACGAGCGATGGCTGCCACACCCTAGGTACGCCACTGTGAACAATTGATTTCGTCATAAAGCTCTGCACCGACATGTTAACTTATATAGAAATTGTGACATTGAAAAAATGCATTCGAAATATCACAAAAAATCGAAAGTCAATCATTTTATTCTGTGATAGAGATTAGAATTATTATTTTTTGTTATCAATTGCGCTGTGTAGTGAAGACGAATCTTCCTGAGTAAGCTACTTGATTTCTACGCCGCAATTGATACCAATTCAAGCTCTTCTGCTACAACTTTGATCTATAATCAATGAATAAGGCAATAAAATACGAAGCGATGATATATATACCAAGTAATAACAACATATAAGATAATATATTATACGTGATAAATATTTTATTAAATTGCAAAATCCATTCAATGAATATCAATTATCCCAAAATGCAATATGTTGAAATGTAAGCTATACAATGTAATTGAAATGTCTGATTATATAGAATTTTAACCTAGTAATTATACGCAAATACAGTCAAATTAAAGCAAAGAGATTTCTGGGGTTCGACCTTGATCGTAGCAAAATTGGTATATATTAGAATTATATGGGAAGATCCAACAACGATAACGTAAAATTTGATAAAAAAATTGAAACCGGCAATTAATAAGTTTAGAAGGATGTAATGTTTTCTGCTCAAAGGTTGTCAGTGTTTTCTTAAATCTATGTTTATAAAGAGAACTGCATTGGTAACTTTAGTATATATTGAATAGTTTTCACTTCATTTTAAAATTGACGTTTCTTAGAATCGACGACATCTCTTAAATTTGGTATCAGTTTTTGTTCGCGGCTTGAATGAAGTCCGGGCTGGGCTCTGTAAATATGAGTGAAATTGGTAAATTATTACAATACTTAATTTAAATAGCTTATAGGGTATTATCATAATCCGAGTGGCCCCGTTCAGCTATAAATTCAGATGATGGACAGTTATACATATGGATCCAGAAATCCCACTTAATAGATAGGGCTTGTTTGACTAAAAATTATATACATTATAACTGCATTCAGGTGTTTGTTAGAAAATAATATTTCGACAGCAAAATAACTTACCAACGCAGAGGGTTCCGTCTAATACATATCCACCAGAGCACTCGCAAGAATAGGATCCCATCGTATTCACACAGAGTCCGTTGATTCTATCACATTCATGAATTCCAGAATCACATTCATCAATATCTGTCACATATAATTAGATTTTGGGTGGGCAATTGAAAATGAAAAAATTCCAAGTAGAAATGGTAGTTTGGGTAAATCATCGGAATAAGCGAACGTCAATAATCTGAGATGTTATGTTAAATTAAGCAGTTTAAATTTGAGCTTCTTATTTGTTACCGTTTTCGCAATAAGTTCCAGTGACTCCATCCGGGCATTCACACGCAAAATCGTTAATTTTGTCAACACATGTTCCATTGTTTTCACACTGGCTGAATTCACATTCGTTTATATCTGAAAAAAGTATAAATACATTAATACAGAATTTCCGTGTTTTCAACAATTATTATAAAATTAAAATTGAAGAAAGGAATCTCAAAATGGCGCGTCTAACACTTTTTTCGCAATCGTCTTTTTTGTAGCACACTTTGCCATATCTGTCCCACGCTTACCACGACTATTTTGATACACCGATTGCAGAATATTTTTCTACAGATTTTTATAGCATGAACTACTGCCCTTGTGATATTTCATATGATGATAAACTAGGTAAATGATTTTCCGGCCCAATATTATGCAGATTTTTATAGCATGAACTACTGCCCTTGTGATATTTCATATGATGATAAACTAGGTAAATGATTTTCCGGCCCAATATTATGCCACGAGTCTCACCTTTTTCACAATGTATTCCATCATAGCCATCTGTACATCTGCAAACATATCCATTTATTTCATCCAAACATGAGCCGTTGTTTTTGCAAGGTTCAGATGCGCATTCGTTGATTTCTAAAAAATACTTAGATTTTTTATTGTGTCATATAAAACACTCGAACTGTTAGTCGATTGAATTTTTACAAGCTATCAAAAATGCATTTGCTACGCTTAAAGTATCACAAATTGATTCATTTTGTGTCAAATATAAGCTGTGGTTGTTTATGTGTAAGATCAGTATATCATATACTACTTAACGAGGCAATAAATACCCAACGGTCATGAAAAAGAGTTCATTGTGAGATACATCATGGAGCGAGCAAAACTTCCGCATTTTTGGTGCCAATACACACATATCTTTTTTATGTTTAAAAATACTTAAGAAAATATTACTGCTTTATTTGTTTAATTTTCAATTCATTCCATACCTTCACAAGTAAATCCATCACCGTAAAACCCTGGTTTGCACCAACAATTGTAACCACCAGGAACGTTCGTGCAATTTGCATAATAACTGCAGGCAATGATTGTCGAACTTTCTACTGTGAGTAAACATAAAATAATTTGGCATAAATACACTAAATTATTTGAATCACGGAAATTTATAAATCTGTATTCTGTACTTTGGTTTAAAAGGCAATACAATGTTTATTTCTAATCACTTTAAAATAAAAATAAAAATTCCGATAAAACATATTTTATACAGAACAAGAACAAATAAAATTCACCACACACATATGACGACATGTGTTACCATAATATCTCAATGATTTTGTCTATTAGGCGAGACTGGCTGGGAACTGGTTTTGAATTTTCTAACTTTTGAATTTTCTTGAACTTTTAAAACAATTAAAAATTTTCTCAACTTCTACACCAGAAGTCAAACATACCTGTGTACATAATATCTTGTTTATCGTCTTCTTGAAGACCATAATTGTATTGCTGCATTTCATTGTTCATTAAACTGCATTCATCTATATCTGTGCATGCGAAGAATGGGATATATCCGATCACAATTCTTTCTATAGCACTGTGGCTTCTCAGCGTTTTTGAAAGATAGAAACCCCAATGAAATATTTCATAGGCTCGAAGAATTCCCAATGATGTTTTAAGTGCAGTAAGTTTAATAATAGTGGCAAACCTAGTGGGCATTCGATTATATTTGAACAAGATCTCTCGGATTTGAATAGAAATTTGCCGAATTCTAGAACTGTACTGGCGGATAACTAGGGTTCCGCGGAATCCAGGATGAAAATCACGGTTGTATCATATGCGAACTGTGCTAGAAGGATGGGAAGTGATTGACTGCATACCTGAACAAGTTAAACCATCCCCCGTGTATCCTTGATTGCACTGGCATTTGTAACTGCCATAAGTATTAATACAAGTTGCTTCAGTATGGCAAAGCGGAGATTTTCCACCACCGGATCCTGACATGTAAATATCCAATTTGAAAGCTGTAAAATGAACAGTTGAATATTTTGTTAGAAAACACAGCTTCAATACTTCAGCTTCACAGTTCAATTTGGATTTATTTGAACTTGTTTTGCGATTCATTATGACAAAATGCAATGTCGCCTACACGCAAATATCAACATGTGGGATAGGCGACAGTCTGCTGAGAAATTGATATACAATTAGTATAGCTGGGATGTACCGAACAACAAATCTTTAGTTTGTCAAGGGCCACCAGTTTCATATACATACGCTGGTTGGTGTGTTTAAATTGTAGAACAACTCTGGAATGTCATGAAAGATCGAGCAATATATCGTCACGCTAATAACCGAATTGCGTAAGTCATTTTTAGCAGTTTGGAGAAAAAACGTAAAAAACTTCCTAATGAAATTGTTATGCCATTGAGAGACAATATTTGCCATGGTTCAATTTTTTAATCGTAGCCGGATTTAAGTTCATTTGTATGACGCAGTTAAGTGACGTCATAATGGCGCACTGTGACTTAGGCAGAAATGTGTCTATGACTTGGGGACATACGCAATTTTGCAACTTTACTATATGCACCAGTCCTGAAAACTAAACATTCCAAAAACGAATGTAATTTTCAGTATCTACAATGTCTAATCCCCAAAATAGCTAATCAGTTTCAATTACATTATTTTTTATGTTTAAAAATGTATATTTCCAAAATATAACAAATTCTGCACACCCACCGGAATAAGACTAAAATTAAATATAAAGAATAAAACAGCAATGCACCCAATATAAAAGCCAATCAAGGTGAATTGGGCTCGGACAGTGAATATCACAAGTGCACGCCTTCCTGTACTGTAGTATAAATTCAAATTAATACGCGCTAAGCTAGAATCCGAGATGCAAAAACACGAAAATACTTCGCCGAGGTTATTTTGCCTCTGTGACGTCACAATAGTCCGCCAGTAACAATGGTAATTCTTTATGACGAAACAATAGCATAAAAGTGCATATCATACTAAATCTCCATTTTCATGGGTTTCGGAATTCTTAAAATAGAATCTGAGTAAACAGACAGGTGCGCAGCATCACATAAATACCTATTTTATAATGAACTCAAAATCGCAAAAAATGACTTATGCAATTCGGTTATTAGCGTGACGATATGGAGATTGTATGAAGTCATTACTTCAATAATTACCATTGTGTTCTTCAATTGTTGCCTGTATTTCCTCTAATTCACATTCGTCAACATCTGTAAAAATATTTGAACACGATCGCCAAATGTCATATAAAAGTGTTGCAATATGTCAATGTTTTCTCACGAATTAAAATAAAATAGCAAATTTTAAGTGAAATATTGGATTAGTCCGGTCCAGCAGAACACATATTATAGCCTACTTGTATAACGCATGACGTTTAAAACGACTGACGTTTAGAAAAGTTGTCCGATATTGATCCGCTGTTATGATGTGTTAATAATGACTAATTAATTGTTCACAACAAAAAAGATGTGACCCCATGTCAAAAATTGTTTAATCACAGTAAACAAGAGGTCGTTTATTAATTTATTCAACCGATCATCCGCCGTTTCTTTGCGTTGCAATTGTTTGCACTTTATCTTCGCGTTTATAGAAACGATACAAAACAAAGGGGGTCACTTAACTTACCTTTACACATTGTTCCATCGCCCTCAAATCCAGGAAGACATTTGCAAGCATAATTTCCTTCTTCCCCCATACATTCTGCTTGTTCGTGACATTTTTGACCTCGAACACTGCATTCGTCATACGCTGTAATGATTAAGTCATTCATAGGTTCGGTATTCGTTTCAATATCTGAATATAAACCCATACTTACAGTCGCATAGTCCACCATGCTTAGTAAAGTTGTGATTGCAGACACATTCAAAAGAACCAGCGGTGTTGAGACATTTAGAATTTTCAGGGCAAGTCACGAAATCACATTCATTGATATCTGTTAGAAAAATAAAACAAGAGAATGAATGGTGTTTACTCGTAACTCGCCAATTAAGAAAGTTCAGTTTTTAAAGATCATTTGGATATAAATTTTAATATCAGCAGAAACGAACATTGTACACCGGCGTAACATTCGGGATTTAGATGCCTCAGATTTGAACATGAAAACACAAGCGAGAATTCTTTATCAAAGTTTATAGTCTGAATCTTTCAAAACACCCACTACTGCACAACTGTTGGAAACGGGGTCAGTTCATATGCAAATTACCGGTACGTGATTTAAAAACAAATAGAATAACATTTTATATTTATTTAAGATGAAATCGTCATTCAAAACAAATGCAGAAAATGTTACTCTTATACGGTACCATCACTTTCATTTAATGGACTACAATTTATATTTTTGGAATTCTAATTTTTCAAAATCATGATAGAATTGATACCCGTTGCCCCAAGCACAAAATAACCCAAGCCGGCTCTACTATGAAGCAACTAATAGAAAACTAGAAACAGAAACTTACCCAATTGGCAACAATCACCAGTCCAGCTGTCAATGCAAGCACATCCATCAAGTACTGACATTAACCCACCGTTAAAACATACTCGATTGCATTGCCGTGCCTGAACATATATTTTCACCAATAAATCCATAGTGGTGAAAACGTATCGGTTACTGTTTTATCCCATTCATGTATAAATGCATTTTGCATTACAAGACAGAGATCTTCATTTGGTAGGTCAAAAATTACGTGATGCTCATAGCGCCATGCATTTTCGAAAAACTAAGTGGGTTTTATTTATAAATTTAAATATTCTGGATCATCCGCCTTCAACTAAAGAAAGCATATATAGTCAGAAAGTAGAGATATGTGCAAAAGTGGATTTGGCCCAGGTCTTAAGTGAGCAATCACTAATTATCTTATAAAAATGTGGTAAATCATAGAAAATGTATTAGTGTTGTTGTCATGTTCTTTGCAGATCATTGTAGATTCACCTGAATTAAAGATTCCTGAATATTGCATTCTAGTCCGCCACAACTGGCTTGCTGAATAATTTGCTTTGAACGACTTTGCAGGCCATTGCTTCCGCATGTGTAAGTGCAATCTGACCATTTTGTCCATTCGGACAGAGCACAGTTCACTATTGATAAAGGGACGAATTAGTATTATCATTCGAAATTATCAAAATTTAATTTAAAATATGTGTACTTTTTCACCTGTTTTGCAACACGTACTTGTTTCCGCAAATGGGTCAAGCGAATGGTTGCTTTGTTAAATTTTTTGAGTTGAACAATCAAATTAAAGACGGACATGAGATCATGTTTTACAAAGAATATTTGCTTGTAAATTGCTTACAACAATAAAACCTAATAAATGTTTCATCATTCAGCGAATGAATAGTTGTTACCCGGGCAACAGTTTGTGCTGCAGTCACGTATTTCCGTCTTTTCTCCTTGGCATTTTTCTGCAATGCAAGATGACCCCATCTCAACTTTTCGTGATCTCGTTTGTGTTCCGTTCCCGCATGACTTGCTGCACATGCTCCATTCGCCCCAAGGATGATATTCACATTGTGAAGGACAGCAAAAGTCATTACATGATCTATAATGGTATCAATAAAAATACCAAATTACTGAATACGAACTAGAGATGTACCGATGTATCGGTATCGGGTATCGGGTATCGGTATCGGCAATATCGGCCATTTTTTCGGTATCGGCCATGTATCGGTATCGGTTAGATTAAGGCCGATATTTCCGATATATTTACCTTTTTGATATGGTCCAGAATGTTTTAAAAGATAAGTTGGAATACTACTTTTTAATTTATTTTTTGTCTGGAGAGATCGTGAGCTATGAGCCATACATGTCCCTACCCCCGCGAGAGAATGGGATTCACGTATTTTTAGCTATTTTCGCTGTCAAATTTTTATATTGACATTTTTAATATTACATAGTAATTATGAAGAAATATATCAACACGGCACATAACAAAAAGCAATTAGGCGCCCAGTTTTAAATCATACAGTGGAATTGGGGTCCTTATTAACGGCACATGGACTTTTGGCACGGGTATAAATTCTGACTGTTTGTCGTCAAGTACGAGTGTCATTTAGTCCGACGACATCGATAAACTGAATTCCGACACAATTATCCCTCTACGCAGATATTAATTTTGTTTAACTACACAATTTCTTTATAGATATATTGACATGACCGCCTAGCCCCAGAAGGCCTAGAGTCCTAAACTGTCTCAAAATATATGATGGCAATTGTATAATAATATAAAATGGTAAAGTAAAAAAACATCCTCGACGGTTATATGTAGGCCTTCTTTTGGTCGGTGCTGATTGATATTCTTTCATGTTGGCTTTGACTTATTGCGTCGACGATTACGATTGGCCACGAAATAAAATATTTGAAAAATGCTTTTAATTTGAACGTAGGACGGCGGCTCTAGAATGTGTGGGTGATATTCGATATTCTTTTAAACACGAATAACGATATTAGAAGGTCGCGATATTAACATTAAATTCAAATTGGACATCCCGGCTTATGAGTTTTCTAATTGAACACCGAGATTACTAGCGTTACTGTACAGTGTATCTTAATCAGTTAAACAAACACCAAACATTAATTTCATATTATGTGATATATCTTTATTTCGATCTGAAATAATGTGTACTATGAACAACGCTTAAAGACCATTTTTTTATCCCGTCTGCCCTACACAGCACACCTAATTAAGTAATATTTACATAGTATCGGTATCGGAATATCGGTAATATCGGCCTTTCTGTAGTATCGGCATATCGGTATCGGCTTTTTTAGCTGGTATCGGATCGGTATCGGTATCGGCGACAAAAGTGGTATCGGTACATCTCTAATACGAACTACTGACTTTAAGTCGATGCAATTTACAAATACATTTTTCGTTTAAATTAGCTGTTGACTACCCCGAATTTGTTGAATTTTACCTTGTCTCGGATGTGGTACCATCACAGTCCTGCCCTGCACACAAAGCGAAAACGTTGACAGATCTTTCTCTGGACTGCATTCCTTTGTTGCATGTTTTCGTACACTCGCCCCAATCTCCCCAATCATTCCAGGCGCAATCCACTGGACAACATTGTTCGTTGCAGATTTCAATTTCTTCGTTTTGTCCTATACATTCTTTTCCACCACATAAAGCAGCAACTGCAACTTGGCGTTCGCGGTATTGATATCCCCCGTCACATGTTTTTGTACACGACGTCCAGTTGCCCCACTCCCCCCAAACGCAGTTCTGAGGACAACAATTTTCATTGCATGGTCGTTCGTCAACAGATTCTCCAACGCATAGACTCCCCCCGCAAGATGACACAGGATTTTGTCCTCTTTTTCTTTGTTGTGTACCCCCTCCACAAAGTGCTGAACATGAGCTCCACTGTTGCCAATTCTGCCAAGCACAGTCTGTAGGACAGCATTGACTGTTGCACGGTTTTTCGTCATGTACACTTCCATTGCAAGGTTGTCCACCACATTGTGCCACTGATGCAAATCCGCGGTGTCTAACATTGATTCCACCGCCGCAACTTTTTGAGCATCCTTCCCATTCTCCCCATGCTGCCCAAGAGCAATTTACTGCACAGCATTGTTCGTTACAAGCCCGAGTTTCAACTGCCGGTCCAGAACAAGCTGCTCCGCCGCAAGAGGGTCCTGAATATCTCCGCGAACGAACCTGAGTACCGCCTCCACATTTTTCGGAGCAGGTAGACCAGGAATTCCAACTTCCCCATTTACAATTCACTGAAATCAACCATTGGTAAATTTATAATGAACGTATGTGGATTAATTACAACTTTACATTTTCTTATGTTATGTGAACCAAGATGGCGGACACCGGAACGTAGTATGTGTACCAGGTTATGGTTATGCCATAAGTTTATTCAAATTTTCCTTATTTTAGTTCTATTACGAGTTCGGGGACTGGAAAAGTGATTCTCGTAGTATCACATACTTCGGGAGTAGTTACCCTCAAACCTCGTAAGAGTGAGGAGGAGCCGCAAAGTTTGTAGTTATGTTGTGACATACCGTAGCTACTGAATCTCAATATCCTGCACAAATCGAACGGAAATTCGGTATGTAATTGGTACATTTCAATATAAAATAGGGATTTTGTTTATCATTTTGGTCTTTATTAATCTTTACCAAGTAGGCTACACGCACCTGGGCAGCAGTTTGTGTTGCAGGGTTTCGCTTTTGGCATGTTACAACTTCCACATTGTCCCTGGTTTTGAGTTTTGACTGGATATCTTATTCCTCCTCCACAAGTTTTACTGCATGAACCCCATTTCCATTTACAAGGATTTGTTGGGCATCTTCGATGACGCCTTCGCCACCTACAAATAGAAGCAAAGTGACTTGAGCTGCAGCAAGTACTTCCAGGGATGTTAGTCAATAAAAAGAGTCGATTTTGAATTAATTAAAGTCTACATTTAGAATGAATCTGAAGTTGGCACCTTGATGTGAATTTCATTAAAACGAACGCTAATCATTACGAAGCGAATAATTTGCAAAATTTTTGTCTCTTGTAATTCCAGACTAGAAATGCAATTCCTTGATTAATAGCATCGCAAGCAAACACTCCTCTATACAATAAAACAACTTGATTTTCAAACTCTATTTATGCGTGCTAAGTATATTTTTTACTAATTTCAAATAAATTTGCTGTATTTGGGAACTTTTGTAATGCTGTTCCATCACACAGGTCAATAAATTACTATTTATCGAATAAAGTAGAGGAAATAATCTCAAGCGTATAAAATAAAAATTGTGTTTTTGCTGCGAGAGGTGGAAAATCTTATTTGGCTTTTTTTCACATGTACCTTAAGACTTAGTCACGGGCTGCTAATATATAAAAAAAAGCAAATTAATACTAGATGATCACAAAGGTATATCGAAAATTGTCTATTCGTTCAATCATAAAAGAATAAGGTTCAACTACCTAAAACTTTGAATATCATTTTGCGATTATGTATACATCGTGCTGGCTACTTTTTTTAAAGACACAGTTTCTATATTATATTATCTTAATATGGAATATTTTGTATAAAAATAGAAGTTCCAAGCAATTTCGAATTTGTATATCTAAATTGTGAAATTGTTAATATAGCTAAATATTGATTATTACTTAAATATTATTATTTATCATTATTTATTATATTATATATTATCATTATTACATAATTACGTATTTAAAATCAGATCAATCGAAACATCCCATCCCAATTGAATTGAATACAGCACTTACCATGAATTGCCACATGCTGCAAACAGGATAACGATGAACAAAACTATTCTTTTAGAAGCCATGATTCTTTTTTCGATACCAATAAGAATTAACCTGAAGGGCATTATCGACTCATATTTATATTAAAAAAATTTTATGTTTTATTTTCTTTAGTTACTGCTCCATCCGTTTCAGGATACTCATCCGACATAACTATTGATCTCAAGGCACAAAAACAGGATCTTAGTCATAAGAAACATTGCCCAGAAAGGTGAAGAACCTTATCACCGCAACACGGCTTTATTTTTTCAAAAAGCAGTAGGCCTACATTTATTCTATTCACGCTCGCGATTTTTCATGTCCATTATATTCATAACAATAAAGCAGTTTATGTTTGTGATGAGAATTCAGAATCCAAAAGCTTTGTAGTTATTTAATTAAAAGCGTGTGTAATTTGTAATGATGAAGTTGCAAATATGATGATGCATATGATGAGTTTTGTTAACAACTAATGGTCTTAAAAATTGCTGCCTCGAGATAAAGCGACAGTTAAATAAATTGGCCCGCTAGATTTTGGACTGGCTACCCTCTTGCTGATTGGTCGGTCTTACCGATGTGAACGAAGAAGTCGATTATTGAGGAAACATCCATCAATACTGGTAGAGGGATTGTGACTAAATTTGGAATTTTGGGGGAGAAACGTTCACCTATTTATTTCTTGTAGAAACTAAGCATAAACAAGAGACAGACCATAAGAGGGATCTTGGGAATATTTTTCGGGTTTCGTGGAGCGAGATTTTCTGAACCGTGGGGCAAATAAGCTTACCCACGTTTAAAAATTGTCGGGTACGATACGATCGTGTTCAAGACTAAGGAATCACTTTTCGGGTATCGGTGAAGAATTAGGTTGAAGTCCCGATGCCCGATTTCTGTTATTTGCAATTTTATTGTTATATTCAACTATATATTATTCACATATTTTCATATATTAACCAATATTATAAAGAAATATCCTAACACAATTGGGAATAACAATCTAGTGAACTGCCATATATATATATATTATACAAAAATAACAGCTTTCAGATTCGTAACAGAAAATCCACATATTTTCCAGCAGGTGAAATATTATCAGTAGAAAAGACTGCGTGGTTATGAAGCAAACTAAACAAGCATAACGAAAACAACTTCAGTTTGAAGCCATTTGTTTCTAAGGCTTCATAGCGTCATATCTTTCTATATTCACTAATTTTATGTTCATTCCTGGCGATTTGATTTGTTTGATTTTCATTCTCAGTCCTTTAACTGGTGATTCAAATATTTCTGAAAACAGTAATAATGAGATTAAAAAAAATCATTCCGGTTTTTCATACTTCTATCCTTTTTTATTATTTTTGAATATTCTTGTTCACATTTGATGAATTTGATTTTCAACGGAAAAAATGAAACATTTACTTTCATTTTGTCCTATTTCGTCCCAATTGACATTCTTCAGTAGAAATTTTCTGAATGCATCCACAGAGCACTGGGTAGGAATGATACCAGGGCCTGCACATCGCAAGTCATTATCATAGTAGAGCGCGCACAAATCTCCGTTGCATGTTTTTGTCTGTGTGTAATAAAACATATCTTCATTGGGTATCAAATATAAGATTTTATCCAATCCTACACTCTTGTTAGTTCATAACAGTGCAATTTAATATCAGAATATGAATGATATCCGAAATGCGGAAATTGATTTTATATGCAAATCGTGACTCAGAAGCAACATATCGTTTATTCGAGTCATGAAACGTACCCATAGTTTTAACTATTCTGTGATATATTTGAATAATTAGATACCAACAATAGCTTAATACTTTATTTGTCTTCTTTTTGCATACGTGTCACCCGTTTGAATGAAAACTTTTCGCGAGATAGTAAGATTTCTAAATGTATGTTGGCGATACTGTTGGTCCAATTTCATTTAATAAATCAATCTAGAATATCTCTCCATATGTTGCAAACAGTTTACCTGATTTATAAAAACACTTCCACTCAATGTTCTTGTTGCATTTTTAAACGTCTTTGTTCGCATTTGAATACCAGGTGAACACGATGCTGAACACGACGACCAGGAACTCCACATCAGATCTGGGCATAAATTAGCATTTGGAGCTTCAATGATCATTCAGACTAGACGAAGCTAGATCACTGTATCAGCATGAGGGCAAATTCGTGCATACAACAAACGAATAATTACAATAGATATAGCATGAATATAACCAGTCTGGGAAACGTGAAAAGCTTAACAAAACTGTCATTGTAAAGCAATACCAAATAGTTTTATTTCATACTTCACTTATTGGGACAAAATTTGCTTCAGTTAATGAAGTACCTGTTGAATTAATGAGAGCAGTAATGAAATGGGAAGAATTGTCACGTAGTGCACTGAAATCATGGAAAGTGAATACTCTGTCGTTTCCCGTGCCACCGTTTGCAATCGTTTGTAATTCGTCCAATATATAATTTCCAACTCCTATTGCAAACGCAGTAACTGTATCATTGTATTTATCATGCCTTTAACAAAGAATGAAATAGTGGTTAACTTAGTGGCAAATGCATGTGTTAGCTCCAAATGTTAAAAGCATTTTTTAAATCTTTTATCAACCAGCCTTCAACTAAAACTAACCGCGTTTATCTACCAACCCATATGACATTGTATCACGAGTTGTAATAAATTAGTTGCCCAATCTCTGAATTTATAAAATTCCTTATCATTTCCTCATCAAAAAATATCAAAGTGAAATATAAATTGAATCGATTTTCCACTGATGGTTTGGCAAAATAAACTGCTTACGTGAACTCATCTGCTTACTAAATCAATCGATGTCGAATATGTCAAGCAAAAATCCATTAACATACCAGCTTTGAAGAAAAAATCCATCATGAGCTCTGCCATCAGTCACAAGAATCATTGCTTTCTTGGACGTAATATAACTTGGAGATTTAGAGAATTCCACCTGAAAAATAAAATGAAGAATAACAAGATAATCTACTCGTTTTATCAGTGTCACTGTTGTGTAACAATATTCCGACATATTTATTATAAACGATAACGAAATATGTTTGAATCTTGAATACATTTGTTATATTTCGTTACCATAGTATTACTAAGCTGGTGATGTTACGGCAAATTACATGATGATAACATAGATGATTTCTACAAACTTCTGTAACTAAAATCGTCTCCACATGTTAGTTATAAACAAAATGTACTGCGTTTGCAATACGAAAATAATTCCAGTTTACTGATACGTTTTATTCATCTATTACGGACCCATCTCACCTCCATTACTCTTCGTAATGCATAGTAGGTATACGTTCCCGAACTCAAGTATGACATGTTCATAATCCTTGGTGAGAAACAGGATGCATTATTCACGCATTCTCCCAGCACAAATGGAATAACAAACTTATTTGAATCTCCAATAGAAACCCTAGGAATAATTCACCAAATCAAATCGGAACAAACTCGAACGTTATACGAAAATATTATTGTCATAAAAATCGATCAAAATTTATTCTGTACTCTCGTACGTGTACCAGGTTAGGGTTAGGCCATAATTTTATTCCGATTTTCCTAATTTTAGTTCTATTACAAGTTCGGGGACTGTCTGTGTTAGCCAAGTTAATATACCCCCTGCCCATTGGTTTTAGTTCCTTTACACAACTTGATGTAGAGGGGGCGAACAAGATTAGTTACCTCCATATTGGTACACACACCTCTGGAACGTCATTTTTTCTATATTATCTATATTATTTATTTAGGTATTTCAAATTGGCCACTATTTTTTACTATTTAGCAAATCAGTTAATTTAAGAGGTTTTGATTGCACTAGCTTATTACACGAGAGTGATATTATCTGATGTATGAATAAAAATAAAATAATGAAAGCACATATTACCCGGCCCCAGACGTATCCTTGTTCGAATATTGTAATACTTCGACATGTGCAGCGTCTTCAAAAGCTTCATATATGTTTACTGTTTGACTTACCAGCCATTGTTTTACTATTTCGAAGTTTTCAGGTCCGATAGACCCTGATCCATCAACTACAAAGATTATATCAAGCAATGCCTTTGTTTCAGCTAAAATATCAAAAATATACCATAAAAATATGCTATAATTAATATTGATAGGTTTATTACATTTTTGTTAGTGGACTTAAATTTTTTTTTATAAATAATCCTAACGAGAGGTAGGTGATGATTGATGTGTTCAGGTTTTTATTTACTCTAATCTAAAACAATCATAATATCCAATTGTCATTCACTGTATTCAAAATAATAAGTATTCGATTGAAATTGTTCGATTGAATTTTCTCAAGAAAACAAAATGATTCACAACGCTCTAATTATTTCATTGGTGGGACACACTCATTTAAAATGGGACAATATTGTTACATTCAGTATCTATATAAATTATGCAGTTGCATATCAAAACAGTTTGTTTCAAGCTAATCTTAAACCTTACCATTTTGCTGCGTTGCCAATGATCCACCGATGAAAAAAAGGAATAAAAGTGCTTTGATGATGAGCATTGTTTACAAATTCTGACAAATAAGTACTTCAATGTGAAAAACACGTTTAAACAAAATCTTCTGTTATAAAAATTACGAAATATACTAAATAAGTCGGATAAAAGAAAAAAAGATAAAATTTCAGTAGCAGAATTTTTGTTCTATAATGCTATCCAAACAACCATCTCCATATGTAAAATGTTTTTTCGGTGGCATGACAAAAACCGTTGCCTTGGTGACAGAATATTTTAAAGTTTTAAATAGCTATAATATTGATATTTATATCACTTTGATGTATGAGAATTTAGCTAAAGATGTTTGAATATAACACGAGCCTCACTACACGCAAGAAATTGTTTATGTGCATTTTTTCACATACATATAATAATTAACATTTTAAATCGGCTATTTTCTCTCAACTGCATATGTTGCGCATGAATACAACATCTTAGTTATTATTCTGCGTACTGAGTTCTTTCTAAACAGCGCCATATGAAATTTATTTAAAGTTTCCGGCTAATCAAAGCAGAATATGGTCGGCCTCATTAATTAACCTAAATAGTTCAGCTCATTTCCATTTTAAGTGCTTTACTTATACTGTGTTACTTTTCAGCATCCGCAATCGACAATAACCTTAATTTGTATATGAAAATGTAATAAATGTCTACTCAACGGTATTTGAATTAGACTTTTTTGCAGCAATCAATTATGTTATAACTATCAATCGAATTGCAAAGTTCCAATTTCAAAGATGCCGATATGGGTTGCTCTACTAGGGTATTGTGTACTGAACTGCAAGTCCTTTCTCGTTGTTTACTTTCTACTTCGGAACCGTATGTGTCAGTTGCCACAAGGATGCTTGAAAGAGATATTATATATTATAAATTTTCAATTTCAACTCAATAATAATGTGTAATAATACAGAACGTGTAACAGAAGTATCAATGGTCACTCCGACTTTGTTTAGTACCTGGGACTTGCTTTTGATATTTGACGCTCCATAATTTGAGCAAACATTAGAAAAAATATCTCTGATAAGAAGTATCTTAATTCCAATGGCGTATTTTCTCATCCTATTTCGTAACCTATTGACCGTCAGAATAAACAAGTGCAAAAAACTTTTGAAACTATCATTTCGTTTGGCAAATACATATTGCTAAAGAATATGCCATACTAATCCCTACGTGATCTTATTTCGATTAAATGCGGAAATTGTTACTCATGGTACTGCTTGCGTATATCAATTTTAATGCATATAGGTTTGTACGTCATTCCCATTTCAAAGTTAACACACATCAAATTACCTTAATATCGTTTATATAATGAATTAATGTGGGTGGAGGAAATTCGTTGCTCGAATATTGCTGCAACAGTCAGTTCATTGATTACGGCATATCACTGTGGTCTGCTAATATTTTAAATATGCAGTATTATTAAAATCCTATAACATAGTTTTCAGCAAAGATTTAGCTTTTCTTCATTTCCATATTTCCTCATCAATATACGATACAAGAATAAATGAGAAACAAATTGTGAATAGCCCGTACTCTTCAATGTTATGCCTGTAAATTATGACAGAAATGATTAATTAGTTTTTTCCAATGCAATGGATTACAATTGATAGCGAAAAACTCTGTTTAAACAATCTGTCCGTTAGTATATCTGTCTATCCACTTGTGAAAAACATTTCTTAGCTTCCCTTTCATGTCCATTTCACGGTATGACATATGAGTTCCATAGAGTTAACCGAAAATATTATGCAAAATAATTTTAAGTTTTTCAAATTTCATATTCAAACATTTTCAGCATAATTTCCAAGTTTATTATCGGACACGAAATGTACTTATGGATCGTTTTGTTGTTAGGTTGTTGTTGTTTTTGTTCGTGATGTCATTTTTCTTCTTGGTGTTTGTGTACATGGTGGTGTTATCTTCGTGTTATGAAATACTTGCTTTTATCTGATTACTCGACCAATTTCTTTGACATTTCCATATTTAAAAATTGTTGTTGTCGCTAGAAGTCTAGAAGACGTTTTTCCATCTGAAGTTTTGTGTGGTGACGTCGACAAAATTAAAAATTAAAATTAATTGTCGCAATTCTGCGACCGACCGGAGAAAGTCGCCGGATCTCGTGTTTAGCGAAATTTGGATTTTTTAAAGGGAGACTCTAGATAGACTACGGTACCGGATCTGATAATACAGTGGGGACTCGGTTTTGGTAGACTATTTCAATTCACGTTGGAAGCATGAATCATGGTCATAAGACCTGGAAAATCTAGGACAGTCCCGAGTACCGTTACCGGTACTCTGTTACAGGTAGTGTTAAGTTACCGTATTGGTAGCTGTTCACAGTTCCAGCTTCGTTCAAGATCGCTATGTTTTCGGGAAATTGATGGTGAAATATGTGTTTTGGCTTTCGTGTCCATATGTTTGAGCATAGCTTTTCTGTATTTACAGTCAACTGTTTTACACATTGAGATAGGATTTATATATTATATTTATCCCAGGAGAGAGCTTAATAATATGGCGAACCAAGGCCTCTCGTCCGGTTATCAGTCCATTTCGGGTATGTGATTAGCTAGCCAGTCAACTGTTTCGGATGCATGAACCAGATGGTGGATGAAGCCGCAACCGACTATCGCTTACGTGACCCACTTTACGGCGACGGGAGTCCAGGAATGACAGGGCAGCGTATGACACAGAACATTTGTGTGCCCAAATCTGGCAGTATAATTTATCTGTAATGACAATAAGCGATCAAAATTGTTTGTAACCGTTAACCACAACCTGTAACGCATTTTAAAAGTATTGGAGTTATGGTGAAATTCTACTTAAACATTCAACAACTGACGCTTTTCAACAGTAAATGCTATCAAAAAGTGTCAGTCGTTATGTATTTGAATTGCATTTTGCCGTAAGTTCAATACCGTTAAAAAATAGCAGTCATTAAATTTTTAAGTAGCATTCCGCCGAAACTTTAATACTATTAAAAAGCGTCAGGTATTGATTGTTATCTAGCATATTTATGTTAAGTAATTGGACGGTTTTATAATTTGCGTTGATGGCTTTTGTAAAGTAAAGTATGTGCGTTATGTCGGGGATCTTGGAAGCACGTGTAAGTAGGAAATAGAGGAATATGATACGATAGGCATCAGTTGGAGCTGAGCGAGACTCACTATCTATCCTTCTGTTCTTTTTGCTCGTGGACCGCGTGTATTACAATGTTACTGTACCAGGAATGGAGATGACTACACCCTAACTCATATAAACATTTATATCTCTCTATCACCCCTTGCGATAACCATCTTTACACTTGCTACCATGATTTTTACATGATCTGTACGCGTATCCACCGACGAGTCTAAATTTTCGACACCAACTAGCAGTCCGCCATTTATAATAGGCTATAGTGATGATGGATCCGTACTATAATGCAACGATGCTGTAGCAAAAAGAAACATGGTTAGTATGGTTACTCTATGTGATTCCGCAGTATTACTGCCTCGTATTTAACAAAGACAGTTGGCATATGGCATACGTTGCGGTAATTGCTGCTTTCACTGAAGGTATTTCGCGAATAATTATTATCAATTTATACGATCTTATCGTCGATATTATTTTGTAACAGCATATTTTGCGCCACTGAGTCCATGTTCTCGGTTTTTCCATTAAAATTAGCATTTTTATGTGTCATTTCGGGGAGATGAAAGCCCTTGCAATGCTTTATCACATAGCGAATCTCGTCACGCGCCCTGCTCCTAAAGTTGGGAAGCGATGGCACAACTAAATGGCTAAAGGCAGCATTTTGTTCGTTTATCAGTCCTAATTACATACGAGTATGGATGGATCAGCTAATCGGGATAGGACAGAATTCTCATTTTTATATATAAATTTTATGAAATGGTTTAATCATATGATCGCCTGTCTCTACTTTTTATATTGTTTTGTTTTATGTTAGTTGAAATAAATGTTTGATAGTTATCTCGCCGAGATACCAGTCCAGATTGTATATGCGGGAATAGCAAAGTCGCTCGCACTCACTTAGAAGCCGAGAGGACTTAGGCCTTAGGCTATCTGTCATCGAAGTTACGACTGTCCACCGAATGGGGGAAAGTTAGTATAGTAGTACGGTCGTACGGATGACCGTATTTGTTGGCCTGACTTTTCTTTCTAATCCTTTACAAATAAAAGCCACTTGATATTTGACTACGTAAAATATAAACTTACCGATAGATTTCAAATATGTATATATATATATGTGCGAACGACTTTAGCACTCTCCACGTCCCAGTCAATCGCTCTTCTTATGGGACTTCCACAATATTTTTGTCTTTATGTTGTCAGCGCATAGGGCAAACGAGTCGGGTATGGCTATGAGCGTCCATTTTGCTTTTAAATCCGTTGTTGTCACATCAGTTCAATCACTTGGCGACACCAGAGAGTGGATCGCCTAGGACCCTGTTGGCTATTTGGTAATGATAGACAGATTAATCTATCTGCAAATACGTACCGGAATTTGTATTACGAAATCAACGAATAAATTATTGGAACTCCCTGGATTATATGGTATGGAAATATTACATCAGATGGAATTATCTTGATGTTATTTATTAATGTATACGTTTGTTCACTATTGGTACCGGTACCGGTACACAATACTGCAATATGTCTTTATTTATAGGCTACCGGTACCTACGGTACCTAATTATTTTTAGGTTGGTACAGTTATTACCGGTATTCACTTAACGAACAATTCACATTGTGGAACCATTCGTAACTGACTGGATATTGTGTACCGGTAGGCCTACCGGTACCGGTATTTGAATGGATCGGTTGATAATGATGCTAAATTTGTGGCAAACGGTGGGAATGACAATCATATTACTGTATTAGATGTGGATAATTAATATAATATGATGAATATTGTTTTACTCTGACTTATTTTAACAGTATTAAAAAACAAAAAAAATCATTTCATCTGTCAATAGACTAGATATTTAGGCAAATACCTTTGAAACAAACAGTTAAACAGTTGAAAACAATTAACATCGAGTCTATTCGTTGAAGGACTTCAATAGGCTTATAACAGTATAACTCGATTATAGTCCAACCAGACAGCCGGACAATAGAATGGATATTCATCTAAACCAGGGGTGTGCAACATGCGGCCTGTTACCTGCAAGCCATTTAGTGTGGCACTTGTCAACACTCAGGTTTTTCCCATCAAGCATGAAATCCTGATCTGATAGTTTATGTTTAGAAAGTTGCTCACATGAGTGAAAATACATAATGTTTTTTTTGCTCACGTCGTTGCATTAAATCATTCGCCGATTTTCCCATTGCCTTTATTACGTATTCTCTTCTTTTACCTTTCTCGCGGCGCTATAGTTGTTGCTAATGTATTTTGTTGCTGCGGGCTTTCATAACACTCGGACATTTGTTTACAACATTGAATTGCAGGATGTTATGGAAACCAAGAGAAAACACTCTAAAAACAGTTTGGTCAATTTATTGAAAATTGTACGCTCATTTTCCTATATTTAGACTACCTCAGTCATAATGCTTCCTTTTAATTTGTATTTTAGTGAACTGTAAAAATTTGGTGATAGTAAAACACAGAAAACATAAATAAAATGGCCAATAGTGCTGTTTCTCCAACTGATCCGTACGATGAGTCATCTTTCATGTCATCAGCATGGGTGTCTCATGGAACTACATTCAATCCCCTGTCTAATGGTGCAGTAAGTGACACAGATGATGAATTAATCAGTGCAATGCCATATAAAGATGATGTTTTCAAGGTAATTTCGTTCGTTATAATTATATAAACTGTTTGAATGAGTCCTTCCTTTTGAAATTTTCCTCATGTCATTTCTTGAGTGTTAAAAATGAAACAGTATGTCTCAACCATTATCTACTATGGTAATCAATTGTTAGTCTTGACGTATTAGCAATAGCTTCGAAGTCTTACTCTTTACAATTAAACAAAAACTACAATACATTCATTTAGGTTAATCCAATTTTAATGAATGGTAAACTATATGGCAGAATATGACAGTACTGAATTTCACAATGAAAAACAGTTCCATTATCAAATATCTTTCAATTATTCATTCTTGATTTAAACTAAATAATTTGGATATCCTTTATCGCAAGTTACATGTGTTCTTGTTTTTTGTTTTCATAACTTGATCAATTTTTAGGAAGATGATGAACCTCCTTTGAATATTTCAACTTTTCATAATAAAGCTGATGTAGATTCCCCAAGTTCAAGGCGACATCTTCTTGAAGCACTTGACAAAGGAATGGGAGTAGGTTGGGATGAAGTTGGAACTTACGAGGATTTTCATACTATCGACTGGCTTCGAGAAATGTCAAGAGACAGGTTACGACATCGTCAAATTATTCATAGAAAACGAGAATCATGGCATAAGTTTTTTAAGGGTATGCATGATGCATGGTCCGGTTGGCTTGTCGTTTTACTTGTTGGACTCGCAGCTGGTACTTGTGCTGGTATTATTGATATTGTCTCAAAATGGATGACGGATTTAAAAGAAGGAATATGCCCTGATAAATTCTATTTAAACAAAGAATCATGTTGTTGGAGTGCCAATTTTTCTTTGGATCAAAATTCCTGTTCTGAATGGAAGACTTGGAGCGAAATGTTTTTCAATGAAAATATGAATGGTGCTGGCGTATATATTGCGAATTATGCCGCATATGTTATTATTGCTGTTCTTTTAGCTACGATGGCTGTAATATTGGTTCGTACGTTTTCACCATACTCTTGTGGTTCTGGTATTCCAGAAGTAAAAACTATTCTCAGTGGCTTTATTATCCGTGGTTATCTTGGGAAATGGACTTTACTGATTAAATCTGTTGCATCCCCATTGGCTGTGTCAGCTGGACTGAGCTTAGGTAAAGAAGGTCCACTTGTTCACGTTGCATGCTGTTGCGGAAATATATTTGCTCATCTATTTCCAAAATATGGTAAAAATGAAGCTAAACGCCGTGAAGTATTATCAGCGGCATCAGCAGCTGGAGTATCAGTGGCGTTTGGTGCTCCAATTGGTGGCGTTTTGTTCAGTTTAGAAGAAGTTAGTTACTATTTTCCTTTGAAAACATTATGGAGATCATTCTTTTGTGCGCTTGTTGCTGCTTTTATACTTCGTTCCATTAATCCTTTTGGCAATTCTCATCTTGTTATGTTCTACGTTACTTATAATAAGCCGTGGTTTCTTTTTGAACTCTTACCTTTTATACTATTAGGGGTATGTGGGGGTCTTTATGGTGCTTTTTTCAATCACTCTAATCTTCTGTGGTGTAAATTTCGTAAAAATTCTAAACTTGGGCAATATCCCATTCTTGAAGTTGTTTGTGTAACTCTGATTACTGCTCTTGCCTCATTTCCGAATCCATACACAAGAAAAAACACCAGTGAACTCATAGCAGAACTATTTCGAGAATGTGGACCAGATGACACGTCCGATATTTGTGATTATGCTCCAGCTAACGTAACATTACCAAATGCTATTTCATCGCCAGCAAGCGATATAGGCGAAGGCATGAAGACTGCTTTGTGGCAGCTTGCTATTGCTCTGGCTTTTAAATCTGTCATCACTATATTTACATTTGGGATTAAAGTTCCTGCTGGACTTTTTATACCCACTATGGCAGTTGGTGCAATAACTGGCAGAATGCTTGGCATTGGAGTTGAGCAATTAGTCAATCAATATCCAGATGTAATTCTGTGGAATCAGAGCTGCAGTCCCCAGAAAAATTGTGTCACACCTGGCTTATATGCAATGGTTGGTGCTGCTGCAGCCCTCGGAGGAGTCACCAGAATGACTGTCTCTTTGGTTGTTATAATGTTTGAGCTCACTGGTGGTTTGCAATACATTGTACCATTGATGGCTGCTGTGCTAACTAGCAAGTGGATTGGAGATGCATTTGGAAAAGAAGGCATTTATGATGGGCATATACATTTGAATGGTTATCCATTTCTTGACAGTAAAGAGGAATTTACCCATACAACGTTAGCTACAGATGTGATGAGACCTCGAAGAAGTGATCCACCATTAACCACGATTACACAGGAAGGTATGACAGTTGGTGACTTGGAAACTATTATAAAAACAACAAAATATAATGGATTTCCTGTTATTAATACCAAAGAATCTCAGCGATTTGTCGGCTACGTTTATCGCCGAGATTTAATTGTTGCTCTTGAATCTGCTCGTCAACGTGATGACGGAATAGTGAGCACATCGCAAGTATTTTTCAAACTGGACACAAGTTTGCTTAGTGCTGGAGAACGAGTTCAGAGCAAAGTAACATTGTTCAACATTGTGGATTTCAGCCCAATTACTGTTACGGATCACACACCTATGGAAATAGTAATGGAAATTTTTCGGAAACTTGGAGTAAGACAAACGCTTGTCACTCATAGTGGGAAACTGTTGGGTATTATTACTAAAAAAGATGTTTTGAGACATGTTGCTCAGATAAACCAGCAAGACCCAGATTCAATCATGTTCAACTAAATCAATCATCAGAATGTTTGATCTGACACCCAGTATAAAATTGAGCAGTATTCCAATTTTTTCAGGCATCTCAATATTGCATGTGCTTATGAATGACAAAAGACGATAAGTTTATTTCATCATGCAAGAAATCAAAACACAAATCATTACATGAATGTTTATACATGTACATGTTATTATGAATGTTTACGTACAAGGAAGCATAAACATAGAAGTTGTATCAATTGTAGCGAAATTGAATATTTAAGTTGTGGAATATTTATTTGGGTTTCACCCAGGGCTCATAAAACTTGAAAAAGATTACTTCCTTGGAATTTTGACTAGAGCTCACAACTTGAGAAAACCAAATTTTGATGGTTCAGCATATGAAAGTGTAATTGTCTGTTGTGAATGTTTCGTTAACTTAATGCTTTTTAGGTTCTGTCCAAAGTTTGCACTTTATCATCACCATTAAAGTCTGCAATGTCGACTCCCAACTCTGGAGAGTTTGAATATACAGCTCGGACTTCTCAAACATGTGTGACTTAACAGCTTTGGTTCAATTTGTCTTTTCAGTATGAGATCCCAACATGATTTTCCTGACAGACTGAACCGTCAACATAAGACTTCTTTCTGCCTTGGTTTACATTTCTTATTCAAAGTAGTAGCAAATTACACTTTTATTTCCTTTTCAAATATACCTGGAGATTATGATTATATATTGCTGTGAAGATTCCTATTATATTTATGCATATCGTTCAGTTCATTTAAAGCTTCGTCATGTTCTGTATTATGGTAATGTATGTCATATAAATATATATATATACTGGTATCTATAAAACTGAACCATTTTTGTGGAATCTGACAAATAAAGGAAGAGTGAGAGATCGAATTTAACCATACGGAGAAATACGTGTACATGTTATGTTTAAATAAAGCATATGCATTCGCTCGTATGCAGATGTTCGGATATGATGTAAATGCCATAGTTCAAATGAGTTGTGTTGTGAATGGCGTGTAATTGAAATGCCTCACACTTACAAGGTGGATTCAAATTTGCAACTTGCATTTGAAGGCTGTTCGCTGCTTCGACAAGTATGATCAAAGAAGATTCCTCGGAAGTACTTTTAATGACTCAGACTTGGCCATATTCGTATTTGATGATTGGCGCTCGGCTAAGTGTTAACAATATTAATTCTCTTTCAGTCTCAATGCTGGCTGTAATTTGCGAAAATTTTGATTCTCGCGGAGGTCTGTATAGAAAGCGGTGATTTAGATTGGCCCACCAGCGCGTATTGGAATTTCGACCAATAGGGAGCCTTGTGATTTATGCCGATATTTGAAGTACATGATTTGTAATATTATTGTGGCATATTACTGCCTAGATCAGGGGTGTCAAACTTGCCGTAGAACTTCCAATGCGGCCCTCGAACGCTTAACAATAATTGTAATATTTTGTAAGTTTTTTTTATCTAAATGTAATACATTTTTCAAACCTTTCAAAATTTGTCAAATTTATTATTCAAACAGAAAACGACAATTCACTGAAGGTAGTTTCGGAAAAATCAAAAAAAAAATTGTTTTCAATTTGTCCCAATTATGGATACACCTCAAGCTAGCAAAAGAATACTTGAAAAAAAAAAAATCAGGACTTAAATGAAACGCAAAGTACATGGAAAAGGTGGCATTTTCGAAAAAAAATGGGAGTTGAAATTTTGTAAAATTCTGAAGCACATTGTTTAATTTGTCACATTTCCACCAATACAATGAAAGAATCAATATAAGTAGACATTATCAGCTCAGCAGTCAATATGACAACTTCGAAGAAAATTCAAACAGAAATTTTTTTAGTGTTTGTATATTATTAGAATTATACAACTACCTAGTTCAGGGTGGTTCAAGGTTGTTGGTTCCACGGGCCACAAAATTATTTTTGCATTGTTCGCGGGCCACAATAGTGCCAAGAATAGGTAAACAGTGCAATACAAAACAAACACTTTTATTGTGCAATCACATAGTTATCAGGCATAGCCATTCTAGGCTAATAGAATCCGCATTCGATTTTTACTTTTCTATGATACCTATATTGTTAGCATATATTCCCCACCAAAAAGTTAGTAAGCCAGTTAACAATTTAGACTGCCAAGCACATCATTCAACTTCGCTAGTTTCCCCAGCTAGCTATAACACTATTTAATTCAGTGACATTAGTGATGACAATATATTTAAAGATTTTTCTGATTAATTTTACGACGAAAAACACGAAATGCGATTTTTTGATTACTCTCCGAATGTGACGCGGGCCACAGATGATGAAGCGGCGGGCCCACATGTGGCCTGCGGGCTTGGGTTTGGACCACCCTGACCTAGTTACTAAAAATCAATATCAATCATAACGCAAACGGTTTTATGCCAGGTAGAGGTAGTAAATGTGGCGTGTAAAGTCTGGCTGGAAAAGTCAGTCATTTGTTTGTTTAATTATCTATACATGAAATGATGAACGTAATATTTTTGCATTGCTGGAATTAAATAAAACATTCTCGACGATCCAGATTAACCGATGATTGTGTGACCTCGTTAATTAGAGTTGGTACGGTGAACTCATTTCAGCCTGATATTAGTAAGCTGGCGGCACAAAAAAGATGCCAAACGTCAGGACATATAAAATAAAAAAACATCTGTAGTTTATCTGTAGTATTTTTGTAAATTTTAGGTCTATATATTTAGATTGAGTCATTTTTAGTGTATATATGTATTATTCTTTCCTTATCAAACCTTTATTCAAAAATCTTTTGGATAGTTGTACATAAAAATTTATGATATTTTGTAATAAATACAGTAAATTTAAATAATAGTGAAATACAAAAATTAATATGTAAATGGCATTTGAAATTAAAAAAAATTACAAAACTTCATTCGGCTGATTAATTGCGTCACAATATATGTCACAAACTACACCTAAAAATATGCTTCAAGTATTATCAAAATATATCAAAAACTGTTTGCGGCCCGTTGCACAATTCTCAAAATGCAATGCGGTAAACATGTGTATATACTATGTTCTTGATTTTCATGAAAACTTCTTGAGCGGAATTTCCGACCCTTTGATTCCAATCATTTACTCACTTGCTTATCACGCTTGTTTACTATAGTTCAAAAAAGCATATGGAAGATACCACCAAAATTCCAGTCGCGCCTAATTTAGATCAGGCTTCGTTGCTCTATGAAGAGATAATGTGAGCCTAACAGGTGTTTTTACACGGAGTGAATGGGGCAACCGAAGCGAGTAACATAAATATAGAGGTAAACTTGTTTGGGAAAGTACGAAAGTTGCTTGATAAACAAAAGCAACTTTCCATTTCCAAGTCGTTAATAAAACACTCAACTCAGCTGAGTAACTCGTTATTGTGAATATTTATTATTTCCCTTTCATGATTTCAAAGCAAATCTCGTGTTATTATTAATAGCGGTTAGGCGTACAGTTGAATATGAATGGGTTTGTTATTCCAGAGGGCTTCGCCGAAAATTTTATATTTGCATTTGTGAAATTTCCCGCGTCGTGAATAACGAGATTTGGGCTATTATTTATTCAATGATGGATTAGTGGTTATCACACTACTGCCTGAATTACCTAGTTATTAACAACTCCGAGTACACATACATAACGTACTGTGAATAGTCCTTTTTATTCCCTCAATTGGGCTCATTTGTATCCAACCAACCTAAAATTTTCTCTGACATTCTTCGCCAGTACCACCCAAGTATAAAACCGCAAACATGTTATCGCTATAAAAGACTTAGATATCCGGTATAAACCATTTTAAGATTGTACAAAATGCGATGCATACTATAAAGACAAATATCATACAATCGTCGATATACTTTTTGCGTTTTTAGTTATTGAAATATTCGCACTCGAAAATGCGTAATTGAACCGACACAATTGCCAGCTGAAAATACTTTGATACATAAACGTAGAATTCAGTGAAACCTCTTTTTAGATGAAATCCGAAAAATATTTTAAAATGCATTTTTTTAAGAAATCGTTAAAATCACTGCCACTATTTCTGTTTATTTTTATATAGAGAAGTGTGCCATAGAAAAGTATTTTCATAACAATGCATCGTTAAATTCACACGAGTGTACGATGACTGCAAATTTTTGGTATATTTTACCCTGGTATCTAGTAGTATACCTCCCAATCAAGGCACGCACTTTTTTGCCAAACCCCATAATGATTTATTTTATCCAGTGAGGCTATACAAATATGCCATTTCATACAAAATAATCCAAGCGTGGTAAAATAATATTATTCTCCTTTGAATGTGAGAGAATAATCAAGATATTCAGTCATATCTTCTTGAAACGATCATTCATATTTCAAGTGCAGAACGTGCCTTCTACAGTTCTACTCAGTGTTCGCAGGAGTTCGTGGGTTTCGATCAGTGAAAGTTATAAGGTTATTGAGAAGATCGTTACAGTTAAAGAGAAAATGCCAGAAAATGTATGTCATTGAATTAGTTGTTGATCATATAATCCAGTTCGTCTAGTCGTGGAAGTTTGGTTAGATTGAGTTTGCAAAAAGCAAATATGTAAAGTTCGTTACATTGAACAACATTCTTATCATTCATTGCAGAACTATCGCCAGCGTTCTTAGCGAATTTAAATTGTGATGAGATAGCAAATACGACTTCCTTTGGTTTGAACTATATGGCAGACCAATAATCCACTACAAAGGTTTTCCAAATTCTAAATGTTTTCGGATGAAATAGATTTGACTTACCTCAAATGGTATCATTCATACATTCCTATTCTCAAATTAGTTTTTACAAACTTTTTTATTCAAATTTTTTCCAGCTATTTTCTACTAATTCTGTTCTACTTTTGAGCCCCTCAAATAAAATTAATAATTGACAGATGACAAGTTTTCATAAAGTTTCCCTTCAACTGAATTTGAAGTAATTTAAAGTATATATCTTAAAGTACTATCCGAAAATAAATAATATATAATTTATAAAATCATCAGTGATTCCTGATTGTGTTGTCATTCATGTATTACATAAACAACTCCCAATTCAGTCGCTATACTGTTTATTTCAAAGGTGGCCATCATGGACGACTGGTGGTGGTGGTTAGAGCGTTTTACTTGAGCGGTGGTTAAACTTTTCCGTTCCAAGTCCCAAGCATGGCGTCTCACCTAGGGTGCAACTTATTGGCTATTCAATGTTATACCCGTATAGTTATTCTTAACGTATCATTAGCTGGTGAGCCTTTTTGAATAGTGAAATGCGCAAAAAGGTCGTAAAAAGTACGCGCCCTATAGTCTCTTGGACCAGTGGTTGGTTCCCAGCCCTTTTTTCAAGCGACCTAAATATTTAAAAGAATTAATTTTGTAAAATTTCCCGACCAAACGATATGCTCGCATACGGTACACTAAACCGCACGTTGTGCGTATATGACTGCAGAATTAAATTACTAACACAAAACAGTCATTTTTACATAACATTTATTTTAACAGAACTGGTAAACTCGCACTAGTGAGATGATTAGCGATCTGCGAGGTATTTAAATCATTGCGTCGCTTCAAGCAAAATGGATGCTCTTATCCCTATTAGGTTTTTGTGCTGTAATACTTCTCAAATATACAATTACTATTGAACAACACATCAATACCAAATATAAAATGAGCAACTAAATTTACTACGAACTTAAATCAGTAATTTTTAGATTTTTTTTTAAAAAAACAAGCGACCCAAGAAGATTTGCAACCCATGGGTTGGAAAATACTGTTTTAGTCTGTATGTTTTCAGTCTCTATTGTAGATAATTTCCTACAAAGCTCAATAACAAAATCGAATCCACTATGTTGTTTTCTATCCAATTTTCTTTCTGATAATAATATATCACAGTCGGAATCTCATTGTTGCCAATTCGTATTAATATCAAATACCTTTATTCAATTTTCAAAAACTAGAAAAAAACACGCATGTTATGACAAATCATTAAATCAATGAGATAGTTTCACCACAAATATTTTTAAATGTGGTGTTTTACCAATGACCCATACTCATTAATTAACGCATATTTTTAAATAAACTGCCAACATTGGTGGTCTGTAATCACCCATTTCCAATTTCTCAACTTCGACGAAGCATTTTGATATCAGTATATTTACCTCAAATCGACAAAACAGCCACAAAATTTCTGATTATGGAGTTCGAGAACGGTAAAAGAAATCGCCTTTGTTTTGTGTAAACATGTTATTTTGGAACTAATTCGTGTAAAGCTGTAGCAAATATTCCATGCCTGTTGTCGCCTTATCTTTATACATAAATCAAAGGGCGCTCCAGAAGTATGTGTACCAATATGGAGTTAACTAATTTTGTTCGCCTATTTCACATCAAGTTGTGTAAAGAGACTGAAACCTTTTAGAAGGGGGTATATTTACTTGGCTGACACAGACAGTCCCCAAACTTGTAATATAACTAAAATAGGGGAAAATAAAATTATGCCCTAACCCTAACCTGGTACACATACTACGGGAGTACCAATCAAAGCACCCTCGCTGAAAATATACTACCTGCAACATAGGTTCGGAGTTATGCATGTATAACTTGGATAAAAAATATATGCAGTGTTAAATTTTTTTTTATATTATGAATATTTTTTTATCATTTTGATGTGAATTCTTAAAAATTTCAGAATATCTTTCGCGGAAAGTTGAGCATTTCTTTTTTAATTTCATGGTATTGAAATTTTGATTTTATTAGATAAAAAAGTGTAACTTTAGTGAAACTTTCACTGGGTTGTAGCGATTTTCCTGACTAGCATTCCCGAGTGATTTTGTGAGTTTGATCACGAATAATTGGTTTTTATCAGATGCCATCTTAATAGCTTTCAATATGTTCAAATCTGTCTTGATACTGTTGTTTATTTTTGAAAATGTTGCGATGCAACAAGAGTCATGGGAGTTGGAATTCGATCCAATGGCTATTGACAACGGTTATTTTGGTGAAAACTGGTTTGACAGTGACGATAAAATCGAGACAACAGCAGAAGATTACGATCGTCACCGGCGGCAAACCTGGGTGAACCGCTATCGATTGGAAAACGAGCGAGACAATGTACAAGGTGATAACGATGACTGCCCAAACAAATGCACTTGTCGTCTGCCGCACGAAGTACATTGCACTTTTAAATTTTTAACCCACTTGCCGAAGGATATTCCACAAAGCGTTAGAAAACTTAATGTTGCATATAACAGATTGACAAATTTACGTCCACGTTCGTTGATCAAATTTGGAATCAATTTGCGATCATTGTATCTCAACAGCAACAATATTAGGATTCTTGCAAATGGATTGTTCTCTGAAATGTTCAAGCTTGAAGTCTTAAGACTGAGTTGGAACAAGCTCGCAGGTAAAACATTACAAATTTCTAATGCTTTCATATCTAGAATCTTCCCTCAACCTCTATAAATATTATATATATAATATAAATAAATATCATACAAATATAAAATATGTGCGAGAGGATTTCTGGACTCCTCGTCGTCGCAGGGGGGTTCACGTAATCGCTGGTCAGTTACGGCTTTCTCCACCATCAAGTCCATATTTCCGAAAACAAAAAACTAGTTAACTAATCCCATATACCCGACATGGACTGGTAATCGGGCGAGAGGCCGTGGTTCACCATATGTTTGAGCCGTCTTATCGGCTTTCCTCTCCCCCTGGATAAATATGTAATTCCTATCCTATTATATACATATTTTTGATGCGCATGTTGAGAATATCTTCTTGAAATACAATACAAATCCCCGTTATTTCAATCTGAATTTTCAGGAATTCGTAAAAGCACATTTCAAGGTTTATTGAATCTTCAACGACTATCTCTTGATAACAATCACCTAACATTTATACATCCACTCGCATTTCGTGGACTTGTAAGTTTAAAACTATTACAACTGGATGGTAACAGATTATCAAGATTACAGAGTGATGTTTTTGTGACGATTGAATTCCAACGATTTTTCAAGTAAGAGTGTTTTCTGAAATAAATATGCAGGGTGGTCGCTAGAAAAACAAAAAATTTGTCAAATGGCTACTCATTTTTACAAAGAATAACTTTTACCAAGTTTTTTAAAGGCACATGTTACATTACACTCATAGATGCTCAAAATGTCGTCCGTGCACTTCAGAACCGTGTCTTAACCTAGAAGTATAAGCTCGTGTAACGTTTTGAATATTAATTTGTGGAATATTGTTCCAATTCGACCTATACCTATACGCATTTTATTCGTGATCTCATCTGACTTTTCAAATTTTCTGTTTTTCTAGCGACGACCCTGTATATACCATATTAAGATTTACTGTAAGTACTTTTTGCTGAATGCCTCATATTCCCGTGTCTTTGCAGGCTACTTCCTGCTTCATATTTTTAGGCAGTTGCCTGTCTGATTTTGATGTTTTTTGAAAAATCAAAATATACATTATTTTAGTGTTTTTGCTTTACACGCTTCTCTGATGCATTTTAATATACCCTAACAATTTAGATATTCGAGTATTGAGTATTTATATCTTGCAAAGAATAATTTCACTCTTCTTCCGCGGCATTTATTTGACCACATGATTGTGCTTCAATCAGTATACTTACACAGCAATTTGTGGGATTGTACGTGTGAAGCGAAATGGATGAAATCGTGGATTCAGGATAAAAATAAATACAAGTATGTGATTTAACTTTCGTTTTCATATATAGTATTTCATCTGGTGTCTCATTATATACTATAGGGTTGAAATGTATTAATTCATTCCGTTACATAACTCATCAGGGTTGCCCATAGTTTGCATCTTTAAGTCATTGAGCGATAGTGAACGTTTCTTAAAGCTGAAGCAACTGTGTTTCTGCAACCAGTTTATTGTATTTTGTTAATATATTGTGTACCCAAATATTGGCAGGTAATCAAATTAACCCAGTTAAATAATGGGTTGATGTTATCAGTATGAAAGTCTTGTTGTTGTCTATATCAAACCAAATATCAATTGTTTGTAAGATAAAAACATATCTCAAAGCAGCAAATTCGAATTTTTGCTGTCTTGCCATTTTTTCTAAGTTTTCGTCAGATCGTCTTTGTCATTGATCGCAAGCTGTCACATTGCACCATTAGTCGCTCGTCAGTCTGCGAATTCGACCACAAACCGCGTGCTCAGTGTACCAGGATGTTGTTTTTGTCCCTCATGGATGTGATTGATTTTTCCACAAGAGATTAGTTTAAGATCGCATATGGCTTAGAATCAGATAAACCTGAGTTCAAAGTCGCGTACGTGATTTGATAAATTCAACCCAACTCGGCGATTTTTAAAGATTGTTTCTTACATTGAATTTTCAGCTTAAGTGAACGTGTATTTATACCGTCATGAAACGTCATTCTTGCGGACGACGTGCGGTGAATCTAGTTGTAATTTTAAAGTAGTTGAGCCGGGATTTTCAACCAGTGACTTCGACTTTTCAGCGTCTTCACAAAACTATCAATTTTGACATTATTTGTAAAAATTTGAAGGCGTCTTTATAAACCCATCTTAAGCCATTGGGATTATGGGAATTAAAACTGGTCCTACAATTTCGTAAAAAGAAGAAGTAGAAGAGAAGTTTTCACGATCACCTTTTAAGTCTGAAACGTGTCATTTTTAATAATCTTTTTGACGCCATTGTACAAGATTGTACTCGATGGTAGATTGATATCTGTGAACAGCCATGTTTAATGTCTTTGTACTTGAAGCTATGGATTAAAAAGAATTATATTTCAGATGCAAAAGAAATTCGTGGAGAACCACATTACCATTAGAATGTGCAATGTGCAATTCTCCTTTACATCTAAAAGGAGAAAAACTAGAGAACGTACATGCTGGTAATTTCACGTGTGAACCTCCGCGATTATATTCTGCACAGGACTGGAGTAATGACGAACCTTTGAAAAGGAGATTCAATTTGAAAGAAATTGATCTGAAAAACGGTTTGCTGTAACTTTATTTGTTTTTCAATATATTTTTAATTGAATATAAATTGAGTTTTTATTTCCTTTTGATATAAATGTCAAGGTTCTCTGGATATAAACACTGGTGGTATTCAGGGAATGCTTTTGGAATGTAGCGGTAATCAGCGAACCCGATTTGTTTTTAGAGCTATAAGATCTACATGATTTTCTGGAATTGTGGAACCTGTTGTTAGTGAGTTCAGTAAAAAAGAACCCGTTATTGAAATCACTGGATATACTAGAGTCACTGAACATAACACCTTATGCTATTAAAAAATATGTATTATATATATTCAAATTTTGCCTATTATCCAATGAAACGATAAAAGCGTAATGCAACACAAATTGGCATGGTCTTGTCAAAACTGTGTCTGGAACTCTTCAACATACTATAACTTAAGGGGTCTTCATGCCAACTCTATAGTATATAACATGACCATGTTTCATCTTTGGATGCAAGCTAGACCTATGTCTGGATTCACCTCGGTTGTCATAGCAACAAATTTCCAAACCAACCGCTTTTTGAACAAAAATATTACAATTTGCCTTTTCAGAAAATTTACTGTTTCGATGCAGCGGTTTAACCTCAACACGTATAAACATAAGACTGGATAGTCATAGAAGATCTGTACTTCTTGCCAAATGCAATTTCTCTGATGTTCCAGTGGTAACTGTGACGGAAAATGGACGCTCTATGGTAAACTATCTACAAGGATAAATTTAGGTTTTACCTTGATTATATTTTACTCAATCATCGATAAACTTAAAACTATGCTTAATTAATCAAAAAGCAATGAATTTATTATAATTAACACAAACATCTCAACTAAAACAAATAAATAAAAATTATTATTTCCTAAACATCATAATTCTATTCATGTGATACATTCATGTACGCTACGGAGAAAGTTCATTTTGACATGACTTATTTTTAGTTAGCTACAGTTATAGTCAAAGATATCGGATCTATTTTTTTGTTTGAGAAACAAAAACAAAAGTGATTGAAAGTGGTAGTAGTTTGAACTTCACCGCTTTCAAAAAATCCAATTTGAAGCCTGCTTTGTTAGCTTCAATTCGTTTTCGTTTCGTTTTTATTCAGAATTCAAGTCGGGCGGAACCAGACAGCACAAATTTCACAAAATCATATTCTGCTACATTTACTGCACACCTGCAATGCGATATTGAATACCCAGAAAACCCAACGATACTGAACAAAATAATAACTTCATATCTAGACAAGGAGATGCTACTGACTGAAAGAAGGAAAAGATATCAAAAATCAACTCTAAATAATCAACGTGCATACTCAATTTCGGTAAGGCCACTTCACGAATATACATATAAATTATAGATGACGATTTGTCTCGACAATAAGCCAAGTGATATTACATGGTCGTGTCGTGAATCCCTTTGCGTCGGCTAATGATATGTTATTTAATAAGGGTTTCTGAAAGCATATCTTCATCTAGTATTAAAACGAATCGACAAAGTGCCATGTTAGAATAAATTTTGAAAGTTTTTTTTGCTCATACTCTTTTTGAAATACCTCAACTTGATTTTGAATGAATATCATAGGATGATACATTGTTGTCAAATATGTATTCGTTTGATAAAGAGTCGGAATGCTATTTTGCAATTATATTTACATATCTGGTAAACTGCTCCAACGTGTATGCTCCGGATAAGAAAGAATGAACAATGGGATTGTTTTGACTTCATATATATATTTTACATTACATTTACATATAGGTCGCAAATATGTCGGCTATTCCAGCAATTCCTTTGACAACTGCAAGCATATCAAATGTTGCTGAATTTCCTTTATATCAACACGCCAGAGTGACGTTTCAATCAAGAAATATGAGCGTCGAGGTTGTGCAGTATTAAATATTTTTGTTAACTACAAGTATTTATTAACTTTGTAAGCTAACATTCCGCACATCCACTGGGTGACCCAAAAAAACAAATTTTCAAATGACCTTGGTTCCGTTTTATTTGGGTCACTCCATATATCTCTTACGCATAAATTACTATACAAAATTTTAGTTCAAATCATGTTGATTTTATGGAATAGTTTCGCGGTTATTGGGTCTTATCGAATTAGATTTAATAAAGAATAGTTCCATTTCCAAGACACAAATATGAGAACTAATAAAATATATATAGTTATAAGATTGTCATTGATCATAGATCTAACGCTCTTTCACTAGTAATTCCAGAAATATATGTTTGTTTTTTTCTTGATTCTCTATTTTTTAATCAAAAATGCAAACAATCTCTAAAATCACTCAAAACAAATATATATTGATCAAATTGTGGTTGGATTTCACAAATTAAATAACTTGTTAAAGATAATCATATCCGTGTTTTTTAGTGATCTTTTTTTATTCCATTCGGCATCCTATACTTGAGGATCAATGGATCTAAATTGTGTGATTTAGCTTCCATCACATGCTTTGCTGATTTGATATTCAGTTAAAATAGTAATATCAATGTAAATATCTACCATTTAGATACGCTTTGATTCCCTATTCGTCGAAAATCTTTTTTCCCATTCCAGAAAAGAAAGATAAACGTTCAATACTATACTTCGTTCACCCATGTTCACACAGCCACGGATTCCATGGAATTAATAAAACGACCATGGGTGTTGATAAAACAGCCAAATCCGGCTATCATTAACGTTGAGATAGCACTGGAAGGACGAACAGCAATATTAAAATGCAAAACAGTTGGTAATCCGAAACCAAAAGTTGACTGGGTAAGCTTCAATACTAGAAGCACACATATAAATAGTTTTACATTTAATATCTTTTCATATGGGCGATAATTGTAACACTACGATATACAATCAGACATAATAAGTTGTGCGCGCAGTATGTAAAATAGTACCTACTGAATGATCTACCTTTGCGTAAAATACAGCAATACTGAGACTTATATTCGGACACAATAACATGGCGTAGTGATCTACATAGACGAATACAGTAATGACATAAATACAAATACAACAATATGACAATAGATAACCAAACACACCAAGATTGTGCCGTAATTGAAACAGTAGTTCTCCGTCTTTTTCTAATATTGTCAACAAGAAATATTACCTCAGGGAAGGAAACAAGTTAATTTGGATTGGTATTTAATATAAGTATAGATGCCGTTAACCAAACGTTGTACCCGTTCGTTGTGAACTTGCTGAAATTTCTAGTCAAAAAAGATGATAGAGGTACACTTCGAGTTTAATTGAATTTTCAGTTTATTTTGGTCTTATACTTAAGGTGTTACCGAATGGAAAGTTAATCCACTCCGGCGAAACGACTGACAAAGTCACGGTGACTAAATCCGGTAAATTGATTCTACGCAATCCCGAAATAACGGATGCTGGACTTTATCGGTGCATTGCCACAGCGACCGAACTTGAATCTTCAAAATCTCTCTCGACAGAACACAAATCTTCTGTTGCAAATGAAATTGCAACTTTGAAACTCTACGTTTCGCCAAGATTTAAAGGTAACTTTAACATTCTTAAAAATATACCAGAAGCTTATTATCTAAATAATTTTGAAATAAGTTCTCTTTGCCTAACGAGAGCTTTAGACTCACCTACTACTAAGTCAATACGGAGATATTGAAACATTGTCAACAGAATGGACTGTATCATTTTTGATTCTTAGGTTTTTAGCCCAAACCTAAACATACAAACTTTTTCCCTGGTTTTGTAGAAATTCGCAATTAAATACAACAATATAAATTTCGTGGAATATCAACTCAATTTATGCCTGCTTCTCAAATTTTCTTTTTATTGTTGCCATCGTCTTCAAATATACAATATCGTATTCTTTTTATCACTTACAGATAGTGGGATACCAAATGTCCGATTTCATACTAATCAACTTCAGCTTGAAACAGTTGAGTGGAATGGAAATTTCTCATTCCGATTTCCGATTGAGGTAATTTCATATCTCATTATCATTTGTATGATGATAACTCGTTGTGCAACATCAATTAATTTTATAGTGAAGTTTCAATTTCTCGGAGGTGGACCTCTAGATACTAGTTTTATACCACGAATTACTTTTTGATGTAAAGCATTCATAGTAAACAAAAGACCATAGATATGAACCCAAAAATAAGGACATCGAACATAATAAGGTAACGAAGAACGAAATGTTATAAACAAATGTATTTATGCCATAAATAATTCAACTAGTCAACTGCAAAGCTTTCATTCACCAAAGTATTTTGATTCAAATTACACAAACTGATCTTTGCCGGTAGGCTATTGTTTTGTCGTTGTTGTGATTAATTTTCTGTTATCACGCCATGAATGCGGAATCAGTGGGGTTCTAATATCATTTATAGCAAATCAGAATTGACCAATTTAAGTGCCCGGTGTAAGAATGAAAAAAAAAATAAACGACACATGTCAAAATAAGAACTTTTAAAAAAAAAAATATAGACAGACAAGAATATTTTCTGAGACAAAGACCTTCAAACTGAGGACAAACCTCAAAAATAAGGACGTTATAGCATCCCTGGCCATAGTCTTTATTTTAGTTCCGAATTAACTAGAGTTCACATGCAAACTGACAACAGAAATCCTCTTTGGTTTAAATTTAGCATAGATTGAATGATGTATTTTTAATGCGAATTCTCCGAGAACTGTTCATTGCATTGGTACCAGATTCTAAACCAGGAGTGGGCAACTTCTTTAGTCGGCGGGCTAGATGTGGGAAAAAGGAAGGCCTCGGCGGGCCGGATTATTACATGAATAGTATTCAATGTCTTAATCACATATTTATTCGCTAATGCACGAAAGAAAATTATAAATCGCGTTTAAAAAACAGTCTGCTCCCTAGCAAGTTTTCTGTCCAGTTCTGTTGCTCTAGTTTGCCGTTCCACTGCTGATGATTTATTGCCATAGTTTCCACGTTTCGTTACATAATGACGACTAATGTTGTAGGCCTACTCTTTTAATACCGCAACACTTTGACCACACAGTAAATATACTGCTTTGTTGCCAACCTTTGTAATAGTACTTCGGTATCCAATCTTTGTTAAATCTCGACACTCTGTCAACTTTACGTTTCTTGGGTATTCCATGGTTAATAAAACCTAATATAAAATCTAATCATGTTTAGAATCTAAATATAACAGTAGTGGGGAATGTTTACAACGCTCTCTGCTTTGTTGTTCAATAAGTGTGCTAACGCAATGGACCTTTCCCCGAGCATCAACTTCCTTGTTTACTTCGTGACATTGGCCAATCAGCAAGGTGCAAAAGTGACGTAACAATGTCACCTTTTCGCATCCGCTCAGACACTTTTCTCCCTCGGAGAGATTTTCAGGCGTGGTCGTAAACATTACCTCGTTTTTGAACTCTATTCGTCAGATTTCAGTTGTGTTTTGAAAATTTAAATATATATCATATAATTCAATGATCACTCTGTCTTCTTACGAGTTTTAATTTAATTGCAGTAATAAAAAATTAGTGTAGAAATAGATGTGATAGACTGGGCTAAAATTCTTTATCGGTACTTTTGAAAAACTGATTGTTGTATGCGATGAATCATAATGATGGTTTGAAACACATACCTCATTTTACAGGCGCCAACTTGCGAAAACACTCTGAAATGCGCCCCGAAAATTTTGCAATGGTAAAGTATAGAAAGAACTTTTCGGGGGTCAAAGGTCGGGGAAAGGTCCATGTTTGTTCACTGAGGCAATTGTTTATTTCACCAGCTCGCTCTGACAGTGCGGTCAGAGTAGAGCGATCGGCAACTTTCAGGAATGATGCGTCGGACCACATTACAGAGTGTGGTTGGATACAGTCAGCGGGCCGGTCAAAATCTCGTCGCGGGCCGGACCCTGCCCGCGGGCCGAATGTTGCCAACCCCTGTTCTAAACTAATGAAACTGCTCGTGTCGTATATATATATATTATTTCATCCATACCAAACTATATAATCAATGCCATTAATTAAATTCATATGTTCGACATGATATAAACAGGCATCTCCGGAGAGTAAGTTTGCTTGGATAACTCCTTCCAATCAGCTGATAACCAGTGACAGAAGAGTTCGTCAAAGTGGAGTGCGAACAAATCAAAATGGAGGAATTGAAATATACAATTTTCAGAAATCTCACGAAGGGTTGTACAGGTTGGCAAATGATAAATTTATATTTCATTTTTTCAGACAATATGCTCTTTATTATATATATATATATATATATAGTTATATACCTATCATAACTAATTGTGAGTAATGAGATTATTTGTATCGCATGGGGCAATATAACTTGAGTATTTTAGAACCTAATGCCTGTGGCATGTGAACTGTCCTAAACAAAAAATCTTACTTAAGGAAGCTGGAAACAAATACAGGATGAAGTAGCGAATTCCCAGTAAGTGTACAAAAATGATGAACTGCAGTTACTGTTGATGCTCAAAATGAGTTTAACAGAAAACTTTTTCAAATTTAAATACAGTGCACATTTTAAATGCATCTCCGTCATTTTTTCAGATTTATAGCAGCAAATATTGCGGGTATAGCTGAGTACTCTGTATATGTGGGCATAAAAACAACGGATGATCAGCATATAGAAACTGTTGAAGTTGTTTCCGAAAGTGAGGATTTGCTTACACTTACAAACTGCCATAAATCATATATTTTATTTATTCTGACGTTACAAATAGGGGAAGTTACAAAGTAAAATAAACCAAAAATATTGTCATTTTGTCTTTAACGTTATGTTGGTTATTAGCACATCTTTTCCTCAAAGGCCGCACAATTGACGGATGTACATAGATAGAAAAATTGTCAATTAAGGACATGAAATTGAAACATGAGCTTTTCAGTAAACTGTTTGATAGAATGTTATTTAACTGTTGTTAGACAATCTTTCACATATTCCATGGTGGCTAAAGATTCACTATTATAAATTGCAACGAGAATGAAAAAAGAGGTTGCCACTGCCAGACTTGTTACCTAAATGTTTTGTTTTTGCTATTTCCAAGCAATTATCTCTACTCCGTTACACTGTCACTGTTTGATTACTAACAGATGAAATAACGGACCCGGTCATTCCACCTGTGCTGTTGTTGCCGAAGTTAGCTGAAAATATTCATTCAAACAACATGCTTCCATCGAATAAAACCCCGAAGCTTAAGCCTGCCATATTTTTACTAGTGGTAGCAAACGAAGGAGATCGAGTTGAATTAGATTGCAATGTAACAGGAATGTCATCACCTAAGTAATTTTTTATTTTTTCACCAATATAAGATCTGGAAAACTTCATATTTACATCAAGAGGTCGTGCTGGCTATTTCGGATGCCAACTAAAATAAATTTGTTGACATTATATAAAAGGGAAGATCAAGATTAATTCTAAAAATATAAAGTCAAAACGATTATTGACATAGTGAATCAGAGATCAACTATCAACTATCAATGACACTGAACTACCATAGATACCATTAGACAACTCTAACCAGCCACATTACCTAATCTATGACGTCAATTTTTTTTTCACATTAGGCAAATAGTTTTTATTTCTCCAGATACGGATGGTATTTCCCAAATAATCTAACAAATTCGGACGTTGAAGGAAAAATTCAACTTGACGACTCAAAGTTAATATTGCGAGAAGTTACTTTGCCATTTCAAGGTTTGTTCAAAGTTTTGATGAATTCGTGACCAGACTGATCAAATGTACTAAGCAAAATCTTATTGTGAACTTTGATCATATTCAATTTATTGCATTTCAAGATTTAGACAAAACTTATACGTTCATAATTAACTATATATATATATATATATATTTGAAGTGGTGACATGAACGGGCAACAGGTGATTACCGAGTCAAGGGCATGGCGTTGATAATATTCTGGCGAATGATTGCGACGCTCTTATTATTGGTAACAATTTTTTTAGGATTCTATCGATGTATTGCCAAAAACGAATCAGGATCGTCGGAGTTAATTGTAAATTTGACTCTAGAAAGATCGCCTGACAATTTATCGGCGGCAGAATCTAAAAACCAAACCAACCCAACAATACGGAATATTATTACAACTTTGATTCCAAAATCCCAATCTAGTCATCCACATGAAACAGATGGAAATTCGGACGACGTGATTACGACACCTAGTGTGGGAACCGATGTACCGCCAACTGTGGAGAACGCACGATTGACATCACCAAAACGATCTCATTTCCTGGATACTCCTGCTGATTACATACCGCGTCCTATCGTAATTACTGCGAGGAACAGAACGCATAGAAAGTATTCTCCGAAACCTATTACACAGAAACCAACGGCGGACCCAAATTTTGACATGGTATTGCTTTCCGAACATTCCTCGAAAGAAGAAGATCCTACTCAATTAGTCCGAGTTTCATCTCAAATGCCAGATTCATCCAATGTGTTGAACTTGACGAATCCGACTAAGGTAGTTAAACAACCATCAGACGGTGCTCTATCATATGAACGAACAATGGCTCAAGTGAATTCCACTGTGAAGCCCAGAGCTAAAATTGCAACAGCAAATATCTCCGGTGCCAACACACTGTCCTCTCAAGAAAGCAAGAATGACTTTGACATTGATTTGCAGGAAGACTTTACCGCAAGCGTCCGCGATATTCATACAAGAGATTCAACCCCTTTAATGTTGATTAAGACATCATCTGAGGAACATGAAAACCCCCAATCATTCAGCAAGGCAGTCAGATCCAAACAACCAAATTTTGACCTGGATTCTACTCTTAGAATAAGCAAACCTACACTCGACGAAGAAAACAAGTTTTACTATGAAAGGCAAAAAAATAAATCGGATATTGGCATGGGAATAGATTCTATGCTTGAAGGTGAAAAACATTCAGTTAAATCTACAAGAAGGAGACAACGAGTGCATTTCCGACCACCTGGCAACAACCTTCTTCAAAACCCTTTCAATAAGCTGAGACTTGCTGCTAGTTTTGTCAACAAAACGATTTCGGCAACTAATCTTTCTTTATCACTCAATCAAAACGCTTTGAAATCAGTAAAATTGGCAGAAAATACATCGAATGCGATGCAAAACACCAATAATGAGCAGTCGAGCGTGAAGGACGATTTCACTTTTGAGCTTCCAATTAGCAGTGAAAGTATCTTATATAAATTCTCGTAAGTTATGCATTGTTATAGTATTTTTAAACAAATATCATGTTAATAGTGAGGTACCGTTAGTAAAAGTTTCCAAGAATCACTTTTTAATCTATTTAGTAAGTTCAAGTAATGACAAAAGATAGAGACAGATTTCTGTCTAAATTGCCTTTACAACAAATGCAATTTGTTTTAGTACGCTATGTTCTAGTTAAAAAGGCTTACTCGTAAAACGGGACAGTTATTAAACCCGGCCATACGAGTACTTGAAAAATATTTTATTGGGAAATCTTCAGAACAGTGGCACTTTCTATCTCTGCCAGGAAGACTAGTTTAGCACGGCGTTCGCAACCGTGGATATTTAAGCATTCATATTCTTTTATTGTGCAAACAGGTCCATCTCTTTTAATTGTAACGTTTTTATCATCGAATTCACGTTGTTAATTGTTATTTGTAACATGGCGTTATGATAATTCAAGCACTGAGCATATGACAAAAATGTGAAAATTCAAAAATGTTTGCATTTTTTATTACTCTTTTTCCATATATACAGATCAACGTTACATGCAGAATATGAAGGTAACGCTGTATTACCTTGTTTGCCGCCTGGATATGATCAACAGCTGTCGTCATTGTGGTCATTCACATGGACACTCCCATCCGGTAAAATATTTGGTTTGTCAGATTTGATAATAAATATAACGGTTATTGCAAAAACTGCTCTGTTTCTCTCTACATCAGTAACTCTCGTTCTCCCATTTCTCATCTCTGACGTTAAATACTGCGACTTTTTGATTCTTATGATTGACACGTAATAGCTTCTATAATCATGGAACTACGACAATACATATAATTTCTTTATCCGTTGTTTTAGGTAAGGTACTCACTCGACCACATAAAACATTCTCGTCAGACATGAGACAGTTCGTTCACATGAACGGATCTCTCTTACTTCGAACCCTCGATGCCAAAGATGAAGGATTTTATGAATGTTATGCAATGGAAATCGCGGACAAGTAAGTATGTTTTTATTATTTTCTCCCATTCTATGACGTCAAAGTTGTTAGCAACAACTGACTTCATTGTGTTGGAGCTCAGAACGAGTTAAAGTTACATTTACTTGTTGCGATTCGATTGATGTATGGTGCTAATGATTAGATTTCGTGGCTTTCAAACTACATAAACGTGTCTGGGAAATTCGCCGCAGGAAATTTCTCGCATGAAAAATGCGATTTTTCATGCTACCAGAAATACTTGTTTCACAGCTAAATGCCCGTGCGGCGATGATTCATATGGCAATTTTTTCTATGCAGTGAAATTTCCTGCGGCGAGATTTTCTACGGCGAAATTTCCGGAGGTGAATATTTTTAGAACTCTACATAAGTACGTACCAATTAAAAAACCACTAAACTTATCAAGTTATGACGGTAGATAAATTCATTGTGGAACATATATATTTATAACATAATTCTTCTATCTTACAGCGTTGAACATCTCACTCAAATCACACTCAATCTTGTAGCTCTGAGACCTAGAATACTCGGTAGCCAACATCAGTACATGGGAGCGGGATACAAAACATCAGTAACTGTTAGGTGTTCAGCAAAGGGTAAACCAAAACCTCGTATTACTTGGGAAACTCCTGGTGGACAACTTTTAAACGAGGGAGATCAACATGCAGGGTAATGGATAGTCGTTTGTATATTATTGTTTTTTCCAATATGTCTAATGAATTCACAGTTCATTTGAAACTGTGACGTACAAATCTAATATAACAGCATGTCCAGATTTGGCTAGATTGAATTTTGAAGTTAAACGATGGATGATTAAATGGAATTAACTCGTTTGAAATTGTTACAATTAGAGTTTAAGTCATTCGTATTTTGAATTTAATTAAAGATGTATCTTCCTGTAGGATCTCCGTTCGTAAGGATTCAACATTGCACATAGCTAACATTCTACCTAAAGATGCTGGATCCTATAAATGTAAGGCTGTCAACGTTGCCGGTGAGAAATCGAAATTGGTCCTAATACAAGTAAGCGCAACTATTATCATGTTATGAATTGGATTGGATACAATAGGATTTTTAAATTGATCCCGGGTTAGAGGAAAAATGATAAGAAGACTTTACCATATAGCGATCCTCGAACCTTTCATCAGGTTACAAATCCATGTCGGGTATGGGAATAGATAGCCAGTTATTCTTTTCGGATGCATTGACTTAAAGGTGGGAGAAGCCGTAGCCGACCAGCGGTTATGTAAACCACCCTAAAGTGACGAGGATCCCAGAAATCCTCTTGCTCATAATTATCTCCCGCAATTCCAACCGCTGATGTATAACTGAAAATGAAAACTGCCAGGCATTTGTGGAAACTTCGATTCTAACGCACGCCGTCAATTGTAAAAACTTAAAGTGGTGTATTCATAATTTCGTTGATTCGCCAATCTACCTTGTCATATTTGTCAATGTAAACATCACACTTCAAAGGATACCAATACATAATACAACATATGCTATGTTGGAACGAGTTTTTATTTTATTCCAGCTAACATCGTATCCTCCTCGCTTCATTGGCCAAAGACATGAAACAAGACGGGTGGCTAGTGGACAAAGTATAATACTTTCATGTGCCGCTAGTGGGTACCCCACGCCAAGTTTCAAGTGGATTTTACCTGACAACTCTAAAATGCAAGCAAATCAGGTCAGATATAGATATTAACTGTATGATGGGTCCTTATGCTTTATGATTTGTGAACTATAAATAAATCAATTGCATCAACATTCGTTGCAACTTGTTTGGCAAGTATAAACAATGCGTTGCTTCTTCAAAATAACAATTCAACATATTTTTACTTTCCTTTTCAGGCAACATTTCGCGGGAATTCACGGCGTCCAAAATACTTCATTGCCAATAATGGTGCGTTTTTACTGAACAACGCAGAATCTAGTGACAGCGGAAGATATATATGTATCGCTTCGAACTCAATAGGACGTAATGTTCTGAATGTTAATTTGATTGTTCAAAGATCGCCTTTGTAACACAACTTATATATATATAGTAAATAAAATCAAACGTAAGGATTGCGCGATACAACAGTCTACATCGAATGAGAAGCCGCGTAAAAGATTATCAATTGGGGGAAAACGGTAAAATCTCTTGAAGCTTTCACAGACTAAAGACCTAAGTTACTTCTAGTCCTTTGACGTATTAAACTATATCTTTACATAACGTAACGTGTAACAAATGAAATTGTGGATACCTATATTCAGAAGTGAACAGAAATATGAAAAAATGTAAGCGTTTTAGCAAAAAGTATCGTGTCTGAATATGTATACAAGTGGGTACTTCTCATTTCATTGTTAATATATATATATATATAAATATGGGTGTTATTTAAAAAGATTAAAATGCATCAGTCTAGCTGGCTGATAAATTTTGTCATCGTTTCAGTTTTCTGTATTTATAAATGAATCATTCTCGGAATTTTACACTTCTTTTTTAAATAAAATATTTCAAAGCTAGCAGTTTTTTTTACCAGGCCAATAGACGGGAGATTTCCTCTGAGCCAAAAAAAGCAACTACTATACAGTATAATTCTCCTACGAATAGCATTGGAAATATTGTAATGGTATTGTATATACCTATAGCCGATTTCCGAAAAATCATGTGTTTTTAAAGTTTAACATGATGTAATGCTGTTGGGCAATTCGAGGAATTATCATATACTTCTAATGATTGGAAAGTGGAATACTTACATGTTGTCTATTACTATCATTTTAAATGAACATTAAATATTTCCATTAATTTTTATTTTTTTTAAATTAAAAAGTCAAATGTACATAAAAAGAAAGAAAATGCAGTGAACTTGAATTTAAATGTCAAACAATAACGAAAAATCGAATGGAACTATTAATCGAACAAGAAAAAAAAGTGACTAGTGCTAAATAAAAAATAAAATTAAATTCACGTTATTTTATTGCTGAATAATTAATATTGGGCACAAACGGTTTTTTGTTTTCAGTTACCTATTATCAAGACTATAAAGGTTCTATTACAAACTGTACAATTATCAAATATTTTTCAAGAGCACTATGACCTTCACTATGAACGAAAAATTGTCCCATTACACTGTCCCGTGATCGATCACCAAATGATACGTCGATCAGTCAATTATTCTTTTAAACAGATTTACCGAGTACTTCGATGCCAGAATATAACAAAACTGATGTACCTTCAAGTCTTATTGTGTTCATCGCGTGTAAACATTGTGCATACACTTTTTATATTTTTTGGAATGGAAAAATGTTTCCATCGCGTGTACCACAAAGCTGAGTAATGTATCCATTTTCATTAGGCATATACTTTTCCTAGACCGTGGACTCTGTATCCACAACGGCAAATTGAGTTTTTTCCTTATTTGTTCCAGTTTTTTTAGAATATCTGATACTCGTTTGAAGATTTTCTTGACGGGATTTACGAAATGAAGGGCAAATTGGAACATATCTAAACGCATTCACAGCATACAATCTTTGACTGCATGGACCTGAAACAAAATTACAATTATAATATAGTTCCTTCGTTTCAATGTGCAATTTTGATTAATCCAGAAAAGCAATTAGCTCATAAAGCAACAAATAAATAGTAATGATAGAATAGAATACTTTTAAGAAACATATAGTTACTTAAAAATATATAAATTATAACTATTCTCATCGGGAAGGCAAGCAGAGACAAATCATTCAGCACAAACCTGGTAAATCGTATTCTTCTTTCCTGTCTTCTTCGACAACATCGCCAGTTAACGCATTTGTTCTTTGTTTCCATTTTAATATTCCTCTTTCTTCGTCAGTTCCTGTCAAACATAGTAAGTCATTGTAATGAAAAGTAATTGAGTAATAAAAAAAAACAAGAGAGCAATGCTTGAATATGTGATCACGGAGGTTAAATGTGACTAATTTGGGCACTGCGATGTCTGCAAAAACCCGGTCGAATGTCAAAAGAAGTATAATGTATGCATATGAACGTGTGCACGCGAATTATAAAAACTAACACAATTGATGGTAAAATATTCGGACTCGCAGAAAATATCAGTCTTCTATTGGTTTTTAATGACTTTTCCATCTTTTGATATATATAGAAAATAGATTTGTCTGTTGGTTGCGCAAAAAAGTCACAACATCCATACTAATATTTTAACAGATAAATATGTGAAATTTAATAAATATCTGTAAAACAATATGATGATTTATTTGGAAAATATTTTTTTGTTATAACTATAATCCGGTTTTATGTATTGTGATATTAAATACTGATTTTGTAAGTTTCACTGTCTAATCTAAATCAAACGTTAGGCATTCCGGGTGTTTCACTTAATTTAATAATTTGTTCATAACACCGAAATATATTAATATCAGGGTTGATATCAGACAGTGGAGTAAAATAAAACTTGTTGAAAAAAATTGGTGCAATATTTTATAAATGACCGCATGAAGCATTGAAAGTTACCTGGTATTGTGTTGTCAAGTATGAATGCAACAAGTCCAGAAATAAACATTCCAGTCTTGAGTAAAACAAGGACAACTTGATTCAGTTCGACTATGCCTGCAAAGAAAATTATAATTTTATTTTATTATGAAATGGGACCAGTGTTTTTTTATCGAATTGATATTAGTTACTGGACTCCAACCTCAATATTATAAAATCTTATTATTTCAAAAATATATTTATCATCTATTACATTGAATATTTGGCTAGTTTTTTGAACGAAGTCTCAGGCATATATAGTTTTTTAAAAAATACGGCATTTTGCACCATTTTTGCATGTCAGACGAGTGGATACAGAATAAAATTTGAAGTTACCTGTATCTAGTAAATTTTCATTAGATGACACCCAGTTTGGAAGTGCGAGCCCGATAATTATTGAGAAACCGATGACGAGCAGATTCCTGGAAGAGTTCAAGTCAACAAACTGAAGACTGGACAATCCAACTGCCGTTATCATCCCGAACATTACACAAAACATTCCACCTGAATCAAAAAAAAAAAGCACGAGAAAAATTAATGTACTTAAGTAGCACCGTTAAATGTTGCAGATGTTTGCTGTATCTTAAGTGCAGACTTGTCAATTACCGGAAAGAACGTAAACGATAATAAATGCAAAAAGAGCGGTAGAAGACGCAAGACGTGCGATAGATAGATCGAAAATTGTGAGCGCTGTCGTTATTCCTGAGTAAATTACATCCTGATCGTGATCTTCCATACGCAACTAGGTTCAGGAATAAGAAAGGTTCATTATGGGCTTACCACAAAAATTGAAGATTTGAATAAAATCTTTGGTACTCCCGTAGTATGTGTACCAGGTTAGGATTAGGCCATAATTTTATTCCGATTTTCCCTATTTTAGTTCTATTACAAGTCGGGGATTGTTTGTGTTAGCCAAGTGAATATACATACCCTCTACTCATCGGTTTCCGTCTCTATACACAACTTGATGTAAAATAGGCGAACAAAATTAGTTACCTCCATATTGGTACACATACTTCCGAAGCGCCGAATCGTTATCAATTCTTTTCAGTAACCATTATTTAAAGATGAGAAAAGAAGTTATTGCTTTGTATATGACAAATATAGGCAGACTACCTTACGCGAAACTATTCAGAACAAACTAGTTGAAGGTCACTTGTCGCGAGTATCAATATTTATTTATTCGTTGCAACCGTTCCTAATTATTTGTAGAATTTTTATTACTCACCAACAACTGGGTCAGGAATAGTAACAAATAAAGCTCCGAATTTTCCTATTACAGCAAGAATAAGCATAATAACTGCTCCGAACTGGATAACACGTCGACTTGCAACCTAAAAATTTGCCAAAGCAATACTCGTGAATTTATTTAGGTTTTGCCCTATGTTATTACATAGAATTTATTACGAATATGTACATTGTAACTGTTGTAAAATTCGAAAAATGAAGAATTTCTAATTAGTGGTGTCAGATTTATTCAACGGAACAATACATAAACAACTAGTAATAAATAAACGATATGACACACTCCATGAGATCAATGCATAGAAATAAAAACGTGATACATATTAAACTGGATCTTATCTTAACCAATCTATGATATCTCTCTTAACGCAAGATCGAAATGCAAGATTTTAGATCTATCGATATATGGTTATCACTTTTAGATTTTCAGTAGCAAACAAAATTTAACTCGAAGTTTCTGTTGCTCTTTGTTTGGAGTTGTTGTTGAACTGAGTAATTCCGGAAGTATACAACCATTATTACCTTTGTAATTCCGATTGCTCCAATATTTTCGCTATATGACGTTGTACCATTTCCTGTTCCGAGTGCGCCAGCAATTATACAACCAATTCCTTCCATAAATATACCTCTGAAAGTAAAGAGAAATAGATAAAATGGCTAAATAAACAAAATTGAATCTTAGGTTATGCTAGTAATAGCAATTAGTTCTCAAACGTGTGACTTGCTTTTATGTGCCCATCAAAGGTATTTTCAAATTCGTTAGAATTTTTTACACTGTGCAGGATGAGATCATTTAGTAAGATCATAAACACTGTTTTGGTAAGAAAGAATGAAATAGTTGGGATCATCGTTAACAACAAACAGAAAGTAAGAAAAATCGAATTGAAATCCTCAAATCTTCATTTTCATTGCTGATTACTTGGCACTCCCGAAGTATGTGAACCAAGATGGCGGACACCGGAACCCGGTTAGGGTCAGGCCATAATTTTATTCCAATTTTCCCTTTTTTAGTTCTATTATGAGTTCGGGGACTAGCCAGAAGACTCCTTTAGTATTTGTACCTAAAATTATGGCATAACCCTAATCTGGTACACATAATACGTTCCGGTGTCCGCCATCTCGGTTCACATACTTCGGGAGTACCGATTATTTTTGTTGCAATAAAATATTTCTCGCGTGAATAAACAATTTCCAATATTAAATATTAGAAATGCATCGCCTTATATCTGATTGTTAAAAAAATAAGTATTTCAGAAATCCAATGCAAAATTTATAAAATAATAAATACTGAGACGAACCGTTCCAACAAATCAAGTTGGATCAATCAAAAATTTCAAACCTGTTAACTGCGTGATTAGGAGGGGAGGAAATACGACAAATCCTGGCACAAGCGTAGTAATCACCAACTGATTCAATAACTGATGCCAACACTCCACTGATCATTCCCAACACAGCTGACACTGAGACTGTTGGTAAACCCCATTGACCTAAAATTTACCAAATTAATTTTATAGTAATTAATAGTCAGATGATTCAAATTTGCAAATAATAGCTGAATTACCAATTATTTAGTAGATAGGTATTTTTGACGAATTGAAATGAAACAACATGCATGGGTTCACAAATTGATAATTTACCGGTCATGGATACTACGACAATGAATTATTTTAAGAAAAAATTGTACATGTGGTCGGACGAGAGAGATATTTAAAGAAAAGTTTGAAGGCTCCAGCTGTCACACGTCTGCATTTAAGCAAGACAGACAAGGACGTGCAAACCTCAAGGTACATCTCAATGCTTCCGAAAATAGGGACAATGACTTTTTAACATGAGTTCAATTATGCCACAACAATGTTGACATGTAATGGCTTAAAAAAATAAATCCATATTGTTTCCTGATTTTGACATCAATATTGGCAGATGATGCCTTTTTTCCTAAAATTATTGTGAACTCAAATTTTAGTAAACGCGCAAGAATTTGTTATTAAACTGATAACGAAATAGATTTGACCATGGCATCATTGGTATTACATTCAGTAAAAATCAGGTTTATGTTCTCAATCCATCACAATCAAAACGCGCCCACAATGTTAAATAAGAATTCCAAAAATGAATGGTTGCGTGATTGCGACCTTATATATAAGGAAAGTCAAAATTTAAAAGTGTCGCCTAAATAATATTTTTTGAAGCTGAGTAATGTGCGTTATCTCGTTCTCTCTATATCACGGTATGCTTCGGATATCTTTGATCATTCATAATCCACATAAATAACGTTTTACTCTCATTTTACTTGCCTGGATATGGGACTCGAAACCAAGCTGCCTCGTTAAGTACAGCGGATCTTATATCTGTTCTGGCTTTATACCCGTATTCATCGACATTTGCAGGAAACACATTTGCTGCTGTAAGTATCGCGCAGAACATCCAGGCCAGGAGAACAGCCAAAATAACCTAAAGAGGTAAAAATTCAACTACAGTAGCATATAACTAAATCGTTGCTTCTCTTTTCAAAAGATAAACCAAACTCGTGGCATTTCACAATACTGTACTTTATAAAAATTGTTTCAACGAAGTAAATTCATATTCAAATGAGTGACGTAATGCATAGCATGGCGCTCCAGAAGTGTGTGTACTAATATGGAGATAACTAATTTTGTTCGTCTATTTTACATCAAGTTGTGTAAAGGGACTAAGGTACTCCTGAAGTATGCGCACCAAGATGTCGCATAACCTGAACCCTAACCTGGTACACAACCTGATTCAGGTTGTACGCAATCCTGGTGCGCATACTTAAGAAGGTCCGGGACTGAAATCTATGGACAGGGGCTATATTAACTTGGCTAACACAGACAGTCTCTGAACTCGTAATAGAACTAAAATAAGAAAAAACGGAATAAAATTATCGCCTAACCCTAACCTGGTACACACACTACGGGAGTACCCATTCGTATTCCATTGAATTGGGGCTTACCCAAGAGTTTTAAATTTTAAACGTGTTTAAATCCTTCAGCTTACCGGAAATAAAGTAAATATTTTGACTTTTATATTCTTCCATCCATCAACTCTTGTGTAATAAAACAAAGGAACTTCCACGTTTCGCAAATGTTGAGAAAACAGAATAATGAAAGTTATCGTCCTAAATAAAGAGGAAATATTTAATTGAAGGAATACAGAAAATTGACTAGACATTTTAAACTAAATATAAATCACACAAAATCTTTGTGCGTTTAATTATCCTAAAAATTCATCATACTTTTGAACAACATTTGAGTCAATTTCTAGGTATCTTCATGAATGATCAATAATGTATTGCAGACAAAAAAGACAAAACTCTTTGTAGAAAAATTCAAAAATTAAAATTATTTGACATAAGTACATAAACAATATATAGAATTGTGCACCGCAAAGGCAATAAAAATTGTTGTTCAATTTAGATTTTTTAAACAGTGTTATAATAACTTTTTGGGTACTTTGGTGTTATTCTTGATAGAGCAATTTCCAGCGTGTGCTTTGTAATATAAAATACATTATTACTGCTCACTCACAGAAATGCTATTCCCCATTGAGTTCCAGCAAACGATCCAGCCGCACCGAATAGTGACAATCCAACCATCGCTACAGTTGGAGCAATAGTTAGTGGCCCAATGTGTGACATCACAAACCCTATTAAACCTGTCATACCGAGTAAAATCTGGGTACATGCAGCAATCATGATCGCACCTTGAACCTGTAAAGTAGTCAATCTCAATTTCCAATCTCAGATCAAGTATTACTATGGTATTTAAGAATATAGAAATATAAATGTCAAAATTGATTGATAAAATTGGTGGTAAACCTGTTTACCCGCCACGTTGTATAAGATTTGACATATATGTGTGCAGACAACCTCATTATTCACCTCGTAATGATCATAACGACATTGCCCTGTTCATCACACTGTATGGCTATGCAACGATTTCACAAGTCTTATGGCGCTCACGTCAACTGGACTTTTTGTTTGACATTTTCAGTTGCGACGGAGATAGTATCGACTATTTAACGAAGCAACATACGAATAGCACGATTGTATTATAACTCTTACTTCACACATTCTTATTTTCCATGCTGGGTTTGACAACGGCTCTTCCAAAGTACTGTTTGTTTCGTTTGTTGCATTTACGATATTTAGCGGTATGTCCGAAATTGATTGAAAAATGGCGATTGTGGGTGTTAAGAAAGAAAAGGCGGCACCTTGAACGATCGGCAACCTGAAAATATTCACGATTGATTAGGATGAGTATTATTGCAATTATTTTCAATCAAGTGAGTCGAAATAACTAAAATGTACAGTCTAAAATAATTGGACGGCGTACAAGTTTACGATGTACAAAACAATTTACATTGATTTATGTCAGGTCCAGCCTGAGTTCACACCTTTCCCAGAACACTACGTGCAAGATACAACTGATTGTCGTCTTATGCTAATTAAGTGTCCCGGGCTTATGTGTAATAGCAAACCAAATGATCCAAATTAGGCTAATTCAATCATTCAAGTAGTATTTACTGATAATCTTCTATTCATAAATCATTTAAATATTGTACAATTAAATAAATTACTGACAACACGTGGTGTTTTGTATTTCTCGTTATTTCAAGATCTTTATTCGTAGATTATATTTAATTTATAAATAACAAAAATAAAATTAAACGTCAGGAATTACATTTTCATTTAAATTTGCTTTATTTAATTCTCTCACAAATTATATACCTTTGGTGCTCCCGAAGTATGCGAACCAAGATGGCGGACATCGGAACGTAACATGGGTAACAGGTTAGGGTTAGGCGATAATTTTTTTCCAATTTTCCTTATTTTAGTCCTATTTTCAGTTCGAAGACTAGCCAAGAGCCTTCCGTAGTATTTATACCTAAAATTATGGCCTAACCCTAACCTAGTACACATATTACATTCCGATGTCCGCTTCGGGAGCCCCCCTCCCCCCTAAGGCCTAATACAATCTTTGAGTACAGAATGTAAAAAATGGCTTTTCTGAGGGAAGGAAGACGCCCTAAATTTAATACCCTAAATTCAATCAGTCAGCTATGAATTTTGTAGATTTTGTTAGATACACCTTACCTTGTTCCCAAAAAGCTTTGTAACAACGTGGCAATGCCAGATGCAAAGAATATTGTGCTTATCAATTGTCCTTTAGCCACGTTATCATTATCAATTCCAAGTGGTCCCGCAAGAATGAGAGGAACAGCAACTGTTGAACCAAACATTGTCAAATAATGCTGAAAAAAATCATCAATAAGGGTTCAGATAATAAATGAGTATAAAAATAAATTACTTTATTAGAACTATCACTGTTAAAAGCGTTGAATTTAAATACGAGACAACGAAACGCATCTTAGTATTTTCTCGATTCTAGTTATTTTCAGGGCTGTCTTTACGCGCCTTATCCCTTGCGCTACAGATATATATGTTGGCGATGATAAACTAATTTGAAAATAGATTTTGTTGTTCTGAACCACTTAGTACGGGAGGGACGATTCTTTACGATTCAGCGTGTTGAAGAACAACAAATAGACAAATAGAGTACCTGGAATCCAAGCAAAATGCACATATACCATGCTGGCGTATCTTCTATGCCATAAAGTAAAGCGCCGGCGTCTGATGATTCCGTTTCAGTAATTCTCTGGTCATTTTCATTTTCTACAGACGAACCAGAGCCATCGGGAGGACTGGGATCTGAAGTTGTGACAGGATGCACGTCATCTAACTGTTTTCCATTCAATCCATTCTGATCTGCAGTTACCATTTTGATTTTTGTCGCTGTCACAGTAATTAGTTTAATTTAAGCAATTCTCAATATATAATCTTTCAATGTGAGTAGAATGGTATTAGTAAAAGGTAAAGTAATAGGGCGAATAAAAAAATAAAGTTTCAGCATATTTTTATAAAACAAAAATTCTTATGTCGATTACAACATACATAATGAAACTTATATTGTTATAAACTTAACGGGCAGGCGTTCGTTAGAGACATGTGGCTACATTTTTTTATCAGCTCTATATTTTGGCATGACTCTTTTTCCTTCGTACATATATTTTATGTGAAATCTCAAATTGAATCCTTCGCTATTTATTGCGAAATATTTTTCGTTAAAATTTAAAGATGAAATAATAAAAACCGTAGCAAGCATTGAAAAAATATCACAAACATTCAAAAAATATATATAAACATTCAAAAAACATATCTTTGGTTGATTATATTGCTAAGTCATTGTAGTCTATATGTTTACATTGCTGCTATCAAATTGACATTTTACTATGGCTTAAACAATTTATATGGTTTTATAGTAAAATGAGTACAGGCAAACATTTATAAATCTAGAATACTCTCTGGAAGCGACCACTAAAATGAATTCATCATGATATATCGAAGCAATATATAACAATCTTTTCCGTTTCATACGAAACCTGTTTACTCCTTAATCTCTGTCCAAACTCTACAAATGAGCGTCATATTTACGTCCAAAACCCGTACGCAACCTGTATTCACTTCCGGTTCGCAACGTGTGGCGTATGACCCCTTAATAAGGGTCGTGATATTACTACTTTGATAATGTCACGCAAATGCGTCACATCTCAAAAATAACACAGGCGTTTTACATTTTTTTGGTTTCCCTTTGTGTTTTCCCGACCTTTATCTTAATTAGCTTTGGAAATTATGAAGATACTGATGAGTCTTGAATGAGAAAAAAAAAGTTTAAACTGAATGGCACGTAGTAGATTTCCAATATATCATAAGCAAGACATGACTCTGAAATGTTATAAAATGCCATTTCAAACATTCAAATTCGATTAATTTAACATTCAGGCAAAACCACATAAAGGGGCGCCTTTCAACTCAGTCATTAAACATTTTTAAGCGTTTCCGCCTAAAATTGCCGACGGATGCCTGTACTACACCAATCCTGTTATTCTAATAAAAATATCGTCAGCCTAGTTAACAATCTGTACACCAGACCCACAAGAAATATTAATCTCGGTTTCAATGCTTGTTACAGCAACAAACTATTGATGCCTTTGCTGTGGTTTCATTCAAACTAGGTAATTGATTTACGACACTTAAATTTGCTCATTAGCACCAATTACACTTATTTGGATTCTTGTGCCAAAGACGTTTTAAAATGGTAAAAAATAATTTCATTTAACATCATAGTTATACCACATTCATGAAAACCGAATGAGCGATTGAATTTGGATTGTTCCGGATCGCATAGTCAACTACTCAACATAATGTATAAAAACAGTAAAAATGAGTCGCTGCTCGACAACCAATATTGGTTTTCCTTCACTTAGAGAAGCCTTTTTTTCATTTACATTCTGTACTCACATATTGTATTTTTTCGTGACGGAAAAATAAACCGCTGATCACTGCCCGACATTTTTCAGGATTGTGCTGCAACGTGAATGATATTTTAGAATCTTAGACCACGAAAACTGGCATCTTGCTGTGGATTTTGTCGTTTATCATCTAGTACTACTGAGGGAGGGTACCGTGAATTGAAACATTGCGAAGTTTTGGAATGTAATACAAAGCCGCGATGAACCACTTTTTATCAAAACATGTTAACATTTTGACTATTGTCTGTCAACATACGCATAAATAAACAATACAAAAAATAACGATGATAGCCGGATTCTAACGTGACAAGGTTACGGCTTTAAGGTAGTTTATTCTGCCTACCTTCGAGCTTTATAATGACTAGGTACATTGATCTTAATGTTCCCTTGTATTACAAACTTCCTTCCTTTATTTCGAAGCATGCACTGGCTCACTCGACGAAGCATAGTTATATATAATGGGAAAATGACCGATTAACTATTTTCTATGAAAGTCACAACTCGCGTAACGAGTAATTTCCGACAATTCAAGTGTCACGTTACGAAAATGACTTGTTTGCAACGTTGTTTTGTCGCACGTAGCTTGTCGCCCAGTGATGAAAGTGTGTCCATTGTTAGATAATATGGAGTTATAAACATATTAATTTTGACTTAGTGTACCAATTTCAAATCAAACATTCGAAATATGTTAAAAGCTATATTTTGCGCTTGTTTGTGTGATGCACTGCATACAATTTGGCACCAATGTAAAAACAAAACAAAAACTTGAGTTAGAAATTACTAGTGTTTTGGCCAAAATCTTTAATCTGTTTGAGCAGAGTATATTGCAAGAAAGGTCATTTAATCTATAACAAAATTTCGCGAGAAACACGATGAAATAAATGGGAAGTTTTTTTTTGAAAACGATTAAATTATAATTACAACAAACTGTCTATAACTTGATTCGTAATCTGTTGAATTTGATGCTATCTGTTTTTTATGCTATCACTCTTGCCTCTGCTGACACAATAATGTAAGATTCATAAAAGTAATCAAGTCGAACATCGAAGGTGCGTTAAATAATTATGTACTAATTAAACAATTATCAGTAATTAACTATATTTGAATAAATATATCATTTCCCAACATGGATACCTATAATTAGTAGGCTACATTTACTATCATCACTTTAAATATATGTATTCGTGGAGCGAAACTATGTAGAACATATCGATCTGACAAAACAACACTTAGCTCTTTTCCTGGTTAGAATTTAACTTGCAGAGTTGTAAGCCTTCATTGCAGACGACTGGTGTTTTGATAGAACAATTATTCTATGTGTCTGTAGTGTTGACATAACAAACCATGGCATATACTTATGCAATAGGCAAGATCGCCTGTTTGAGTGCAAAGCAGTATTGTTTAAATAACGGGATATGAGTAATATGACTATTGAGAGTCGTAGGAGGTATTACGTCCGCCTATATTTTTCTTACGTTATCCTGAATGATATTTTGAATGTACATTTTCTTATCCGTAAGATATGTCCCCTATTTGAAATGATGCAAAAAGCGACCTATGATAATTTTTGAAAATCCTAAGTTGTCATCGGCATGGCGTCATACGTTTCTCCATATTCAGCCTGGCGGATATCGGACTCGTGCTTCGATTTTTGAACATGACTGTCTTCGCAACTCAGTTTCCCTATATAGATTGGCATATTCGAATCCCGCCGGGTGTGATCATGTTTGAAAGAATTGCAGGACTCCTAGTGGTCAACGTTACCAAGGGTTACGACTTTCTTCGCCATAAGGCCTATGCATTTAGGATGATTAGCTGATTCATGTGCTGGAACGTACGAGAGGCCACCATACATTCTAGCTTTCTTCTTTCTTTCCCTACACGCGGGTACTCAAAATCGATATCTGACTCTTCTGATACGAACATTATTTTCTTTTAACCAAGAGTGAGAAGAGCCAATAATTCAACCCACGCTTGTGGAGATTTTCTCGTTGACAAAATGTTATCCACCAGAATTGTGCATAATCTTAACTAGCAGTTTGACATACGTGATTTTCAAATCAAAAGTAAGGAACATGATATAAATATTTCTATAAAAACTTCAACAAAAACAAAAACTTCACCTCATAACAACAAAACGCAAATGAAAAAGTTACATTATTTGTAGAAAAATGGCAAAAAAGAATTGATACTTTGAATATTCAAATACAATACGATCAACACAAACATTAGCAAAAAAAGTAGAAGAGACATTCTTGCGATACATCGTTGTCAACTATCCATAAAATATATATTACAGTGGTGTTGTTTCGTGTAATCGTTTTGGGTTCATTTTTTAGGAAATTCAGGCAGTAGCAGATGTTCGATAAAACAATGATTTAAAACAGCTCTATGCAAATAACTGAGTATCAAAGTAAGCCATATATATCAAGTAAAAATTAAAAAATTGTAATCTGCCAAAACAGTGCTAAAATAGAGAAAATTGGTCTTCATTTCATATATATGATCTAGCCTTTTATGCATCCAAGTTTTGAATTTTGAATTTATGATAATAAAAACACACCAAATGTTCCGTTCTCAAAATTTATCATTGTGTTATGTGTTATAAACGAGTTGATTCTGGAAGATCAAATTCATGAATCGCAATCCCATTTTCCATAGTTACATCTTTGTCCTTTGGTTTGGTGTCTTTGCCAAATGCGGGACATATTGGTATATATTTCATGAAGTTATTGCACCTATTGTTTTTCATGCATCCGCAGTTTCCAAACGGCAAATCATAATGTGAAGCAGGCATAGAAATTCCATCGATTTGCTCTTCATCATCCTGTACTTTGTTCCACGTTAACAACCCTCTTTCTTTTTTCGTTCCTGCAAATACAATTTTTGAAAGTTGATTGATAAAATTTTGCACTGTGATTCAGTAAAATTATATATATATATATTTGTTTATTACCTGGTATTGTGTTGTCCAGTAGAAATCCAAGAAACCCAGCGACAAACATTCCAGTTTGAAGAAGAACAAGAAACACTTGATCCAATTCGGGTATACCTGAAATAATGAATCATATCACTATTACTTTACAGAAATAAGGAAAATAAAAACCCGTAATATTTCATCTACTAACACACTGGTAGGTTGCAAGTTAGAATACAGAAATGATATTTCAATGCGTGTATTAAAATATGGGTGTTATATTATTAAAATACTATATAATATAAAGTTTGATTGATTGAATTTTTGAGGGAGCATTTTCTCGACTTTCACCACTTTCGAATTTCGGTCAAACTTCATTTCTTGGAAATTTCAGAACGTAGCTTTAAATACTCAACAACGTTTGGAAACTACTCACCAGTTGATATCAACTCTTCATTTTTCTTCACCCATTCTGGAACAGCAATACCCATGAATGTAGCGAACCCCATTATCAATAGATTTCTCGTCGAATTTAAATCAACAAATTGTAAGTTTGACATTCCGACAGCGGCAATCATTCCAAACATAACACAAAACATTCCACCTGATATTGAAAATGAAAGCATTTTAATACATTATATATATATATATATGCCGAATTGTGAATAAGAAGATTAAAATAAAATCGAGATAATTGAAACACATAGAAATGCCAGTTAGACTTGAGGCTACGCAAAATGCATGGCGTCATCAAATACATATTAAATTTAAGATATTTTCAAATGACTGAAAATTTTGGTATGAATATTTTTATAAAATTCTAAAAATCTGATTTTGATGAATTACCTCACAATTTATAAAACTCAAACAATTCTATCTCACTGTAGCAAATAAGCAACTAAATCAAAAACACCAAGATCTCCAACATTGCTCATTTGATAAAGTTCTTGGCGCATATTCGTTCGTAATTACGTATGTCAATATATCAGCAAGCCCATTATAGTGATCTTTTTTATCCATTAAATCAGTATTTAGTTCTCGATGGTCAAATTTTCATAGAAAAACCCTATTTAAACTCACCCACGATGGGATCTGGAATTGTTGTAAACAAGGCTCCAAACTTCCCAATTACTGCTAAAATTATCATAAGACAAGCACCAGTTTGTACAACACGTCTACTGCCAACCTGTAAAAAGAACAATGTGTTACAATAAGCAAAATGTACAAACTTGTTTATTATTAATACTAATAATTTGTAAATGCAATGGTATTTGTATGTTCAGTCTACCCGAAAAACTAACAGAGACCCGATACCGAAGAGTAAATAACATCTTATACCCAAGAATCTCTTGAGGCTGTTTTGTAAAAAATTTGCGAGTGTTGTATGTTTGTTTTACTTATATAATCGATATATCGTACACTTAGTGGCAGGAATGGGTTGCTAATCTTATTTCTATTTGAGAGAATTGGTTCCGCATCACGTATCGTATACGAACCTGGCTGATATTTTAACGAGTTTCAGTCTCTGAACTTGTTTTATACGAGGTAGCGAAATAACTCAATGGTACGGCATAGAATTTCTAAACAAAGACTTTTGTTACCTTAGTTACTCCAATGGCACCAATATTCTCACTGTATGATGTTGTTCCGCTTCCACTTCCCCAAGCTCCAGCAAATAGACATCCCACTCCTTCCACCAAAATACCTCTGTAATGATGAATTATTTAAACGATTTAGTCTTAATAGTATTTAATAATTACTTTTTAACAATTTGACTATGCGAGTCAATTGCATTACTTTGGTATAGCCGGGAGAACTTAACGCAATTTTCCAATACACAAAGTACATATATATAAACGGTTTTAAAGTTATGCTGTTCACATTCAAAATGGCCAAAGTTGCGTTTTGTTCGAAATATTTTAGTTGAAGAAGCGGGTTATAAATATAAGTTTGAAGCATTACGTTATTCAAAGAAACAAGCAGTTGTAAAAATCACTTCGGCGCTTTCAACTATGTTTTTACCAACCTGTTCAAAGCATGCTTCGGTGGTGCAGAGATACCACACAGACGAGCACATGCATAATAATCACCGATCGACTCAATAATTGAAGCGAGTACTCCACTTATCATACCAAGTACACCAGACAGAGAAACTGTCGGCAATCCCCATTGACCTGAAAAGAATTTGTGTCTCAATAATCATTTTCTTTTTTGGCAAAGTATTAACCACTTAGCCCCCCCTTCATTTGCTTGCCGTGTATATTTTTTGAGGTCGTTGACCTCACGCTATCTAATCCAAGGTAAACAGTATAATTCGCAGAACCTGATAACGCTGCTCACAGCGAATGTGATTTACCGGCAGTACATATAGATATAAAACTTGCATTGAATGTTTGTCAGTTGATTTGTACACTATAGAACAGTGTTTCCCACACTATGGGTCGCCTTAAAACTATTTTTGGGTCGCTTGTTTTTAAAAAAAAAAATTTAATCACATTTGAAGCGTTGCTTAACTTTATATATGAGAAGTATCAAAGTGTTAAAAATTCGAAGTATCTATTTTGCTCAAGCAAAGCCACGCTACAACTTCAAAAACTCGCCGATAGCAAACAAGCGCGACGTCCCCACCTTGAGCTAATTCTTGGTAAAATAAATGTTATATAAAAACGATAGTTTTGTATTAATAATTTAATTTTTCGGCCCTGAAAGAACTACATACTGTTTAATATTTGAGCATACACTCGAGTCACGAGATTTTACAATTTTATTTTTAAATATTTGGGTCGCTAGGAAAAAGGTTTGGGAACCACTGCTATAGAATGTGCTCAAAGCGTAAACGTACCAGGGTATGGGACGCGGAACCATGCGGCTTCTTGTAATACTCCCAGCCTAATATCGGTTCTTGCTTCGTATCCGTAACTTGTTGAATTCGTCGGAAATACATCAGTTGCTGTTAAAATTCCACAGAATCCCCAAACAACACAAATAGCGAGAAGAATCTGCATCAAATATAAAATGGTAATAATACATACCTTCAAAAATAAAAACACACTTTGGGATGAGGGCTTAAAACCATAGAACGTTCAGGTTACGAAGAGTTATGTTTATGTTTTTTTGTGGCCTGTAAAATAGCCAGCTGTCTTTCATTTTAGGCATCTACGCTTGCTCAATAATTTAAATCAGGGGCATGCAACCTGCGGTCCGCGGGCCAAGTGCGGCCCACAAGGGAAAATTTTGTGGCCCAAGTGCCAATTTTTAGATGGCTACCATATTTAGATGACTTTGATTAGCCCACTTTTAAATTTGTGAAAGTCTTTATGCACAAAACAAACAAAAAAATAGTAAAATAAATAGCACCTACCGGATACAGACTAAATATTTTTATCCAGGATACTTTCATTCCTTTGCCTCTTGCATAATATGGAAACGGCAGCGGCACGGTTCGTATGTGTTGCGAAAATATAATGATCAGACCAATTGTCCTGAACGAATAAGTAACGGAAAATTATGTTGAGAAATCAGCTCGCCAAGTGAGAGAAACAGGACAGGCCATGATATGGATTACCATTCTACATCGTATTTCAAACTCCAGAATTTGATCTTACTTCGAAAGTCATTCAAAATGATAACTGTGGAATGCTATTAAGTATTCTGTGATTTTTAATATCTTCAGCGTCATGAATGTGTCCTCATATATAGTTTAATGGTCAGTTTTGAGTCATCGACCAGTTCAGTAGTACGTAGGCAAGGTTTGTCCAGTGCAAACAAAAACATTTATACAAACTTGCTATAAACTGACTCAAATTGGGTAATTATTTAACATTCAGCGCAGTATGCTTAAAGTTTTCATAATTTTACGTAAGATAGAAGTAATTCTAGGAATGGAATTTATTTGTATGGGTTCACATGACAAAAACAAAATGGTGCGATATTTTCAATATACGCTAATGTGGAAAATTATTGCACAATATACACAGTTGTAAACTCGTCGGAGATTTTTGTTCGAAATCAACGAGGATATAAATTTTGAATGTCACAGGGCGAACAAACAAATGCTTTTGTACTTGGAACTGAAAGCTTCAAATAATAAATTCTTGACTTTTGGTTCGTAACTTAGAATTCGGTAAGATAAAAATCGTCGGTGCAATTTTAAATAGTAAAATAACCAAAACGATGGCGTAAATTGGGGCAGACAGTTATGCTTTATATTAGAATTAATAAACAAATCTTTACAATGCACGAAACAGTACATCAAACTACATATACACGAACAATAAACTCACATTACTGCAATTCCCCAATGCTTTCCAGCAAAACTATCTGCTGATGCACCAAATAATGATAATCCAACCAAAGTTACAGTGGGTGCGACAGTCAGGGGGCCAATATACTTCATCAGAAAACCTATTGCTCCCGTGATACCGATAATAAATTGCACGGACGAGGCGACCATGATCGACCCTTGAACCTAAATGTAACAACAAAAATAATGGGAAAGGTGGATTTTTTGGTCTGTTTTAATTAGAAAGTGCGGATCGGGTGCACTAGACCTATACTCAATTACGTTAAAATCACAAAATGCCAAAACAAGTTATTACCGTCAGACACGTATAATTCAGGGAAATTTACTGAAATATGTGACGCATAAGTAATGGATGGCCCAACGATACTGCGATCCCGCTTTGCCGAAAACTGAAAATGTCAGACATACATTCATAATATTTGCACAATTGGATTGGACTGTGTGTGACTGGGACAAAGTAATTTAACAAGCTGCCTGATTTTTATTACAAAAAGAATGTGAATAGCTTGTTTGACAAATGAGTAACCGAACTAAAACTAGAAAGGAGATTGACAGATGGGGTTTTCGATCTGATTTGCTGATAAACGAACCGATCGTTTAAAACAGATTCTTCCTTGATTTTTATGAGCTCATATGTTTAGGAAAACCGTTCATCGCAAGAGCATTTTTTTTTGAGAATGAGATATCAATCTACGTTAATATTACTGCATTTTCTATGTTGACTCATTCGACAATAACTTGGCAATAAAGTTTTACTACGATGCGCTGTCGAGCTTTGAGTTTGCGTCAAACAAAAAACATTTGGGTCGTCGACATAAATGAAAGACGTAGAATAAAAATGATATTCCAGTTTCATTTCAAGAATATGTTATTGTTTTGAACTTACCGGAAAATAATTTCATCTGAAAGTGTATAAACAAGTTTAGCTTTTCGCCGACAACTCTATGGTTTATTACTACTTCAAATATAGTTTCCCACTCTTTAAAATTTCTCTGATAACAGGAATATAAAACAAAAAATTAACATTGAATTTACCTCTCTCATGGCTGCTTGCCAATCATCTGTGTTATTTTCTGTTAGATTATTGGCATTACATTTCCACTTCGGTGAAGATAGAAGAGCCAGCGTCGGTGCCAGAAATGAGAATGCTGCACCTTGTACTATCGGTAGTCTAAATATGAAATTGAAATCATTTATTGACGTTGTTGGTAACTGACACTTTCGTTCAGGCGTTCTAAAGGCATGTTCCACAAAACTGAACGCCCATTATTTATTCATTAACAGTTATAAGTAAAATTCAATTTATCAAAAAATTCAATTTAAATAATGATTATAAACGCATTAGTGACCAGTTGGAGCATAAAATTAGGCGTTTACATGTTTATGTGCCACAAACACGGTGATGGATTTTTAAATCCAATCTATGTTTCGTACTGAAATGAATTATAAATCGATTTAACAAATATTATTTATTTACCTCACTCCGATGCTTGTTTGTAGCAATGTCACAATTCCACCGACGAAGAATATTGTGCTGATGATTTCAGATTTTGCTAGGTTATTATTCTGAAGACAAAATCCTTCCGCTAGAATGAGTGGAACTGCAATATTTGATCCTAACATTGTCAGGTAGTGCTGAAATTTAAGAAAATAATTCTGTATATAAATTAAATTAGTGGGTATGGAAATTTTCAGCACCAGATATTGATGAGATTTCATTCCAAAGCACAAGGTTATATAAATACTACTTACCTGAAATCCAAGCCCAATGCATGTATACCATGCTGGTACCTCATCAATCCCGTATAAGAGTGCATGATCCGGTTCATCGTCATCTGCATCTGACTTCGATTTTTTAAAGCATTTCATCTTATCAGTGTTGGTACTTCGGTGTAAACTGAACGCAGCAGTTAATAACTTTTAAATTGTACAATGTATGAATATTTTTACTGTAATATATATGACAATAAATTATCTTAAATTACAAATTATTAAATTGGTCTGCAAAAGTACAGTTCCAAGCAGAATTCAAATATATATTAATGCTGTTTAAGCTATCACATAGTAGCAATTGCCAATAACTAATCTGAGCATTTTAATAAGATATCTACATGCTAGCAATTTGCAAAAAATCGAGAATTTTTCTGTGAATGTGACAGCTCTAGTTTGAGCTTTCATTATATAGGCAGTATAAAAACTAAACTACCTATCTTTCATCGCATCTGTTTTATACCATGCGAGGTCATTGTTTCTTTTACTGACACTTATGACGACGACAATCGAAGACTTATAGAAACAATGACCTAATCCTCTTCTGAAAGAGCTTTATAAAGCCCCGAGACTGATTTTAGACAAACACATTCCATAAAATCCACCGGTGCGAAGGTGTGCGGTTAACAAAGTCTGTTTACCTCGCATAAACGGGGTGATTCACGTGCTAAAACCCCTATTTTCAAGAATTTTCTTTGCACGGTCAACCGCGATTATGATGCATCGAAGCGAGTCGCGAAACAAATTTACCCCGACGTCGTACGTGATTTGGGACATGACAAAACACGTGCCTCTATGACGTAATTCTTGTACATATAGTTTAAGAAAAATAAGGGTAAACATGGCTAAATTTATTTGCTATCCGACTGTAAATATTGACATAAGACTTTCCATAAATAATGTATTCTTTCTCCCTGTGAAAGCCGCAATAAACAGTTGATATGAAAAGTAAATACTTCTCAATTTAGTACCGTGCTGTTGAAACAAAATGTAATAAATCAAACGCTATCTGTAGTATATGTGATAAAACACCGCCAGTGCGAGTGTTGCTCTTTACATGCCAAATTCAATTTGCATTAGCACTAATGCGATAAACTTAACGATCTCGTTAGTTATATGAAACAGTTTTAGATAGTGCGCTTCGCTCTCAATCTCAAACTCCAATACGATTTCCTCAGAAAATAGGTCAACCCAATTATTTTAAAAAGCAATGCGTGTAGTTGAAAATTGGCATCAAAATTTTGGTTATTTTACATTTCAAAATACACTGGAAACGCTTTAGTACGAGTTTTAAATTATGAATCAAAATAATATTTGGAACTTCCAGTTCCGAGTAAAAAAGCATTTGTTTGTTCGCCCTTTGACATTGAAGTTTATATCCTCGATAAATTCGAACAAAAATCAAACCGCATAAGCAAATCAAAACAATATTGCATTGATTATATATATTATTATATTAGTGTATCCTCTTTGATGTTACTCAGGTGACAAATTTTGCATTTGGTTTCTATTTAGAGTTGCAGATTACGTCATTCAGTTCTATGTGCACAATCCTATAGTTAAGGCAGGGTAATTGAAAATGTTTTTCAGGATGATTTTGCCTGTTTTAAAACTTGGTACAACAGCGTTTTTTGAGGGAAAGGCCAAATAGGGTAAACCGTGATAAATTTACGAGTAATATTGCACGTTTCCTTGTTTTTCCTTTATTTAAACTGATCCAATATCGGCGAAACAAATTGTTTCGTAATGATTATTCAAATAATATCAGTAAAGCAAAATTCGCGGCTTCGCAAATTTCCAGACAATAAGTGTAATATATGTAGGGTTACCATATTTTTGTGACTTCAAGACGGGACGCTGCCAAAGACCTATAGCTGTGATTTTTTTAATTTATATTTTTCGATTTTACTACATTGACCTTATACATGTAAAGCCATGTAGACCATGTTAATCGGCAATACTCGTGTATTATGCTGGATGGCTGAACGCCAAAACGGGACTTTTGGCTGACCGGTCGGGACGCCGGGACAGGACGTTAAAAAGTGGGGTTATCCCGCCTAAAACGGGACGTATGGTAAGTCTACATATTATTGACCTCGTGAAACCACTTCAGCGGACAGTCATTAGGGGGAGGAAACTCGAGGATACAACATGCTGAGGTTTCTAGTAGTGATGCTTTTATATGTCGGGAAATATTTGATGTTATCTTGCTGCCACGATTGTGAACTTCCGAAATTAGAAAAAAAAAACGATTACGTAAAGGTTCTGATGTGTGACTTGTTCGGGATGAAAAAAGTGTATGCAAAAACGCCGGACCCTGTCCCAAAAGTAAAAACAATGCTGGAAATTCACAACAAATTAGTAGAAGTTGGAAATGGATGGGCAGATGAAAAACTCAATTTAGCAATGTGTTCTCGATAGTAAAAAGACAATGCCTAAGATTTATATCTTTATATTCAGTCTTTATATTTAGTCTTCATAAGAGATATTCTAAAAAATTTGGCAATTCATAAATTTCATAGACCAAAATTGTATTGTTGTAATTGTTCTACAAGTTAATGAATTTTTTTTGTATAGTAAAAGTTGTGGAAATAAATATAATCAAAATTACAAATTTGTCTGACGACCTGCGTACTGGGGAATTGTGAAGATGGAATAGCGTAAATGTGCAATAGATCTCTTGTTTCTGTGTAGGTCAAATTTATTTGGCTCCGAAGTTGTCATATTTTTTTTCAAATGCTATTTAATTCCTTGAACAATTATTTTGGAACAACTTTATAAATCAACATTAAAGAAATTTACCTTCATATTAACCACAGCTTTAACATGTGAGAATGCATCAACCACCTATCTTCTTCAGTGCGAATTTGTTAATTTCAAAACGTATAATAACTCTAGAGCAACAAGTTTCTTACGTGAGAGTAAAGATGCATATTACATTTGCTAAATTGTAAATTGAAATACGAAGTCGAGTATAAGGTTATTGAGAATCTGTTTAGATGTTTGCTCAGAGTCATGGCAAAATGGCTATACGAACAAAGCGTTGTGGGTATATTAGACCCATATTGAGGTTGTTCTCGGCATGAATCAAGGGTTCGAAACGACAAATTTTTATCACAACTGGCTGATTTTTATATCTTCTATACAAGGGGTGTTGATCAGGCCAAACCATTTAGTATGGCTCATGCCAACACTCAGATTTTCCCCCATCAAGCATAAATACATCCGAAACGGAAATTTATGTTTACAAGGGCGGTCACATCGTTTAAAATACATAATGATTTTGCTCTCAGAGATGCGTCAAAACTTTTGTCGTTTTACCCCGTGCCTTCAATGTTAGAGGGATAAGCGATAGCCGCATTCTTTTTTCTTGCCTTTTCTGCCGCGCTCTGGTTGTCGCTTATTTTCGTTGCGTTGTTTACATGGGGAAACTCTTTTTTTGTGTGGCCAAGCCAGTTGTCTAAAGTTGGTTATATGACCGATAAAATATGTTTTTCAATTGTTCCCATTGATAGCCTATTTTATTTAATAAAGTGAATAATATCACCAAATTGATCACAGATTAAATCACCTAAACTCAAATCAAAATAACCCTTCGCCTGCTTTGTAGTTTAAAACTCTGTTAACCAAAACACCGTAAGCCATTCTGGGGTTCAGTACAAGGAAAAGTCATAAATAAACGGAGCTTTTTTCAATAATTTGATTTTGTTTTTAAATATGGTAAACAATTAACGATAGAATCCTACTATTGGGAAAGATGGCGCCTTTTCTCATCATTTGAAATTTCAACAAGATGCAAGAGATACAAAAATATTGGTTTTACTAAAATAGAATTCGCTCGGATCGGACCATCTACGTTTCGTAACGAAAAAGTACTTGGTGTGGATGAGCTTGAAACTGCTGTGCTTCAGGACGTTCACGGAGCTGCGGTCTACAAGATTGAGTCGGAGATAGATGCTTCACAATATATGCCATTTGTTGCTATTGGTGGAGAAAATTTGTATGTTATGAAGTTGAGGTGTGACTCATTTGGAAATAAGACTATTTATGTAATAACGCCTGAACCAGTTCCCAGTCCAAAAACAATTTTGAAAATCCATAACAAATAAATCGAAGTTGGAGGTGGATGGGAAAAGGTGAAACTCGTTTTAGCAAAGTGTTTCATATAATCAACAATGCAAAACTGTATATTCAAGAGTTCTTCATGATGAATTCATTACATGGACATAAGCAACCTTCGTGTATTTTATAGATATCAGATACCAGCAGAGACTCGTTGTCATGTTATGGTGATCTTGAATTAATTGTCGTGTTGTTTAATTTTTCAAGCAAATACTACGTGATATAGGCCAATGCAAAGGGCATATCATTTCAGATAAATATAATTGATTACTAGCTCTAAAATCATATTTGATCAGGTTGGTGAGCAAGTTAATAAAACTTCAACATTGAAGAGACCACACTTCTACACAAAACCTCCGATCAGTCCGGTGCCCTTGACACCTATTGAATCATCAGAACAATGGTCTAAACCAGCTGATTCTTGCCTTCAATAAGTAAAAAAGTGTGCTCAGTAAAAAAGTAATTCTTATTTATCTTTTTTAATAAAAAAAATTTATCTAGAAATTATTTACCACCTGCAAATATCACCAGTATGTATAATCCTCACAACCGCGAAATCCCTCTGGCTAAAATCCTACTTATTATTGATACTATTGCATACCTTGTGAGAAGCGTTGACTAATGAATATGATATCAACAAGCGTCACAAATTCCTAATTCTGCTGTAATTCATGTTTTCTGGATGTCTGGAAAATTGGCATGCTTGCACTTTTAAATCATTGCTCAAAAATATACTCGTCAAAAATAATTCATCTGGTAACTACTTAAAAAAATTTGTTTTCAATTTCATGCCCTGAGTATCACCCGACGGACAACGGAAGTCGAAGTACGGTAATACTTTCTAAACGTAACTTATTGTACTCTGGCAGCATAAAACACTTCATATCTTCAAATTTCTACATTGTAAAGTATATTCGAATCACAGATTGACATTCATTCAGATGCAATTTATTACTGATTAGTGAGCATCAAAAAATCATTTGATACAAATTTTTCACAATTTGCGATAAACATAGACTTTTGACATCATTGAATTTCCTGTTTCCCGGCATTTTACTGCATAATGAGTCATTTCTTTCACTTCAATTCTGGCAATCATTCCAGCTTCCTCTAGTTTATCTATTTCATTTTCGAGCGAATCTCTGTACTCGGTTGCCTGAGGAGTTGCCCGACAATTGAAAATTGCCACGCCTCCTTGTCTTAAAGTGTGACTGATTGGCTGGTACAAAATGGGACCAATAAAGTTAACATTCATTAAAGTATGACATGGGCAAACTAAAGAAATCTATTCAGATTTATATATCTGTTCTATCTCCCAAGTTCAAACAGAATACTTAAGAGAGAGACTTTCCGACTATTTGTGAAATTGTTGTGTTGTTACCTCATGTAAACAACTCATACTACCAGTTTGAAAATTAGTTTTAGATTACCATTGGTGAACCAACCTTTTTAGTACGAGCTTAAAATATGTACTGGCAGGTTTGATGCATAATATTTTTATTAAAAAAAAACGTATCATGAATAAAACGTGATAGTTCAACGATTATTAAACCAAACAAAATTACGATTCAATGTCCTTCGAATAAGGGAAACTATATTTATTACTCACCGCAACACACCCTGGAGCTAAATGATGAGGACCGAACGATCCAGCACATACCGCCGCATCGTACAATCCATCAACTATTGGAATCGATTTATCTGGATAAACCCCCATTTCCGTGTGATTCCTATTAAAACACAATGTATACGGCAAGTTAAAAAACAAGATCGTATAGGCTACTTGAATATATTATAATCTATTCTACGTCTAACAATAAATGTCATATAAAATGTATACAACAATCGAATCTGAACAAATTGTAAATTTGTCTTATCTAATGCGCAGCATGTATATCTCTAGTCATATATTCGATGAAATTATTACTTATCGATCTCGATCGGTAAGTATGTTGATAGGTATCTGTCTGTTAGACACTTTCGTATGTTATGCGATATCTCGCGAAAGCGAGGTTGAATCTGCTCCCAATTTTACATGTGCATTCATCATATCTCGGAGCAGAAGCCTATTGATGAAATATGTCGTATAATCAGCGAGTTATTACTTAATTAGTGATGGGACACGCGGTGTCGCTGTTGAGTCAGAGTAAAGGAATCGAAATCGCAGTTTCTGTTTTGGTGGATCCCCTAACTTACGTCGTTTTTTTTTTTTAATTTTTTTTTTGACTTTGGAGGACTGGTCGAGTGAAATATTGAACATGTGGAAGATCGATAAGTCGGAAGTCTCTGATCGCTATCTAGTTTATTACATTTGATTTTTTTTTTCACAACATTTTAGTGACAGATTTTCCATTGTTCAGCACGAAATGCTATTTAATTTGCGAAGTGCTTTTCTTTTTATTTCACCTTTCAAATAAAATGAAAAAAAAAAACAAAAAAAAAAAACATTTGATGAACATGTATATCAGTGTAGACAATTAATAAAATGTCTATGTACTATCTAGTATTCTAGGTCTTCACCTTCTCATGGCTTTCGAGATATATCTTAAATCAGATAACTTTCAACAAGACATGTCGATTTTGATCTGCTTATGTTTAGAAATACAGCATGATTTCTAATTTTTGAAAGACTTGTGTGACTACCTGTATAAATTTTTTCTCTTTGCTATTTCCAGCATCGCACCATTGATTTCTATTGCGTCCATAATTCCTTTGAAACCGAGCTTTTTGAAAACCTCGCCGCATTTTCCTGTGCCTGTGTAAATAAACATAATCGGCGGGTACAAAAAATCGATATAAATTATTCTACTGAAAAAATTATACAACTGTATATGAATATATATGTACCGCGGGCCGCACCTTCATTTAACATTGGCTTTCCAGTAGTTGCAGCCACAAAAATTCTGGTTATTGATATTATGACATGCGTTGTTCGCTTTGCACAAGCTAGCTGTTAGGGCATTTTAACGCCATGGGCATAGATGATAAATCGGACGCGGGGAAAGGCTTTGCTACGCAATAGGATTGGAATTACTCACACGTACCAGATTAAACTAAATTCCAAACTCGTTTCGTGGGCTCGTTTTCGTGGGCACTCCATTCAAAATTGACACTTATCCACGGGCCATACTCTATTTTCTTGTGCGCCACATTTGGCCCGGAGGTTGCACACTCCTGGCATACGGAGCAAAGTAAACATAAACGTCAAAATTTTTCTCGGCCTTTAAATTTATAAACTGACTGACATTGCACATCAGCAGTAATGTACGTTGCAGAATTGTTCAGGCCATTGTTGTAAAATTGTTCAGCTTCGTCATGACTTATGTGCCGGATTCAGGATTGTATATTGAGAGCGTATTTTGGGGTTGTAGCTTCCGAAAACATTGAACCAACTTAACCTTTGTTCAAAATGACGAAAATACCTTTTAGGTGAAAGCCAAACCAAGCTACAAAAGTTCATTTTTATATAATATGTCTTAAAAATTCTCAATTTACCTGCCGCAACATCCAAAACTTTTGTTGACGGAGTGTTATCGATATATTTTAATAATTCTGTCACCAGATTCTGCGGAGTTTCATATTTCAGGGTATCGAGATCACTGTCATATTTCTGCGCCCATTCAGAATAAAGCTAGAATAGAAAAAATAACATTTTCGTTTCGTTGTCATTACTGTCCCACAAAAATTAGTTGATCATATTGTTTAACGTATTACTTAGAACTAACCTCGTCAGCCTGTTGTCGCGAATTTGAATAAGTGACAATTCCAACAGTATCCCATGCTTTTGATTCCGTTTCTGACATGTTCTATATACAATTAAACCTGTTATACTTTTAAACATTTTCGGTCCCATTACATTTGAACTCACGTAGATTTGAACCCACGACAATTGCACCTGCATACTATTGTACCTTTTTTACGGATATAAGAACCCATACTAACCCTAACTCATGGATTTTAGCACCCTCATACAGATTGAACCCGCGGATATACGGGTGCAAATGTATGGGTTCAAATGTGCGTGGGTTCAAATGTACGGGCACCACATTTTCAAATGTGTAAGAAGGGTATGGAGCATTTTTCTGTTCCCAAGCAATAATCTTGAAGCTTCACTTCCATATGCTCAAACTGCATCTAAACGGATAATCATTATTGTATCGTAAGTAGCAAGTTTATCGTTTATCGACTTGAATTTTTAAAGAGCGGGATCACATCCAAGAACGTAAGTTGATTCCAAACAAGATGGCAATGCTAAAAATATGAAACGAGAACTAAGACAAGGTAGAATTAAACCTTTCACAGTACAGATAGTCTTTCCTGCCAATAACTACCGACTTCGCTGACCATCATATTGCTGAAATACGATCGCGGAACCGCCACGTGGTGCGTAATTTTCAATTTTGATGAATCCCATTGAGCCCACAAAAATTTGTGAAATAGTCTTGTAGCGACAACAACAATCTTTAACCACTGGAAGTTTTAAAGCAATTGGTCCGGTCCAACAACAAACTGAAAAAAGTTTTAAAAACAACAATTTAACAGAACTACCCATAAAGTCGGTGTATGCCGTGTCCATAAATTACATTCTTCATGATTTGGTTAGATCAAAAGCAAGTCAATTCTCATTGGAGTCGAGTAACGAGTTTGTAGTTTGACTACCAGCACATACCTCGAGGTAGTATTTTAAGAAATTACTAATCATTTGTCTGCATTCTGTCTACAGATTACATCTGTTGTAATATATGATACTGTACTTCCAATGTATGAACAGTATTGTATAGGATTATATATCCAAATTACGGAGGAAAGGAATCGATTTTGTGTTCATGCGTTACGTAAAACATTTGTTAATATATAAAAGTCCTAGGGCGTCATGAACCTACGGTGTAAACTTATTTATCACGAGCATCGTCGATAATTTTAGCATATTCATTGCTGTAATAATTTTCACGAACATTATAACTTTGTTCGCTTCAAGAACCCTTTCGCCAGACTTCATTGAAACCTAACACCTCCAGTAAGAAAGATACCTAAGCCTTAATAAACAAATCGTGGTCTTGATTAACCATCTGTCGTCTGAACGAATGTATTGCACCTGTTCAAGTTATTAAAACGCGAGGCAAGTTCAAACACGCGTGTTGTATAAGGCCTGATATGCTATGATGTATATGGTATGCCCCCGTGGATTCGTAACCTATCGATTTCTATTACTATGTTCCTTTGCTTCAATCGCTTCTAACCTGTCACTGAATATCATCACATCAGTAATCTTATAAACCTCCTTTTTATAATTTGGCCACGTCACATTGACGCATATGAGGTAATACAGCTATCACTCGTCATCGCGAAGACTGACTTGGATCATTACCATTAGTGAATCAAGTGAATGTTCCAGCTGCCAATTTCAAGTTACACTCACCGTACGCAATGAACATATATATATATTATATACAATGGGTAGAAACTTCCCACACATTGCTCATTATTCCTTCATTCCCTGCATTTTTACGTCGTTCTGCTCCATGGTTCGTTGCACATCTCTCGCTGCAAAAATCCCTTCCTTCAGCCGAGCCGGAGGTCAGGAATATTATGTGTAAAATTGTTACGCTAAGTTAACTAGAAGTTATTGAGGTAAGAAACTACATCCATAGGTGGCATTACTAGTAATCGTCGCTATTACCGGGCAAGCGTTATTTCGTTATTGTGACGTTGCAGTGACGTAATTTTTGGACGACGAAGTCAGGTGAGGGTCAGGAATCATATTTACAAAAATTGTTACGCTAAGCCTAATAGGAGTTATTGAGGTAAGAAACTACATCCATTGCGCTAAGGCAAATTAATATGTCGGTTTCTGCTTGTCTGAAGCCTTGCATAGAGTGAAAACGTTCCACGTCCTATTAATAAAATGTGGCACAATACATGATCAGTCTCTGGATATTAAATAACAAGTCTTTATGTCTGCGATACCCAACCTCAAGCATTGCGCGAATTAAATGTTCTTTCTGTTTGTCTAAAACCTTGCTTAGAGCGGTATCGTATACCACCCTATTAATAGATTGTAGCAAGCACCATACATGGGCTATTGCTGGACATAAAATAATAAGTCTTTGTGTGTGTGCTACCCAACCAACCATTGCGTAAAATAATATGTATTTTCTGCCTGTCTAAAGCCTTGATTAGAGTTGTATCGTATAACGCTCTATTAGATTGTAGCACGATACATGAGCTATTGCTGGACAGAAATTGGTCAGAATGAGATATCGTGAACGTTCCTTGGCGACAATTTAGTCGCTTGTGATCCTTGTTTATTTTGAGCTCTGCACATCGACCCCGATAAGAGAGAGGTCGCTGACTTATTGATTTTGTTGACATACTCGTAGGCGCCATTACGGGTGACCGTCGCTATACTTTGGCAAGCTGTATTTCGTTATTGCGACGTCGCAGTGACGTAATTTTTGGATGACGTCATCAGGTGGGGGTCGAGAATCACTTATCCAAAAATTGTTACGCCACGCCCACTAGAAGTTTTTCAGGTAAGAAAGTACATAAGACCACAAAATTGGACGTATTGAGGCCTTTCATTCTTCGATTCATGTTCGCTTGTGGGTTTCGAAGTATGGTGCGTTGAAAGCATACTAAGTATGAGCATATGCTTAATGGGAGTGTATATATATTAGGCCGAAAACGTAGCTACAGAACAGAATATGAAATGTCGTCAAGTGGGGTGCGGTTATTTCTGTATTTATTCATTGATATAGCATGGCCTCTCTAAATCATAGCTCTCAAAGTGTTCCATACGAACCCCCAGGGCTCGCGAACTATTCGTTTACTTGAAATACTGACTTGGGTCATTTTGGATTAGGTTTCATAACGGTATTGCCTTCCTTTTTGGATATTTACATATCCAAACTTGTTATTTATTTCATTCAATCCACATATGTTCAACTGTTTTATCGAATAAACAATACTCACTGCTGTTAATTGGGTACTCCCGTACTATGTGTCACCAGGTTAGGGTCTAGCCATAATCAGTGGGAAAACAGAAAAAGCTGAATGTCGGTGCTATTCCATCTATAAATTTACCAAAAAGTACAAAGAATGAAAAATGTGTCAGACCGCCACCAAAAATTGAGAAGGAAACCGAAACAATTATTTTCAGGGACTTTCATGCATTCAAAAATAGGGCTTCAAATTCAAGATTATTAGAAAATTGGGAATGCCATATATCAGAACATAAGCTGACCATTAAATAGCTAACCAAATTTGACCAACCTAACTATTGTATTGAGAAAGATGAAAATTTTAAATTAAAATATTATATTTTGGATGGAGAAATGTTTCAATATCAAAGCGAGAATATCGGTCAGAGACTGAAGACTTATCGATCGAAAGTAAGGGGATCCCCCTAAACAGTGCTCTTACTCCATAGTGACACCTTGTGTCCCATCACTAATTAATTAATAACTCTCTAATTATAAAACATAATTCAACCAAAATCGATAGGCTTCTGGTCCGACATATGATGAATGCACATGCGAAATCTGGAGCAGATTCAATCTTGCTTTCGTGAGATATCGCGCGCATATAACAGACAGACAAATACAGAAAAATCAACATACTTTCCGATTAAAATTGATAAGTAATAATACACTTGTACAACTGCTGCTGCTGTCATATTAAAAGTTTATGCATTTGAAAGTAAAAGAACAAATCCTCCAAAATATATTGAATTTTCCAACTATCCTCATGTGGATATAATCGCATTCAGGTTGGTCGAAATCTATAAATTCATTTTAGTGTAGATTAGAAAAATTTGTAGATGGAGATTGGGAGTTGGTAGATGAAGATAAGATCGAAATAGTGAGACGTAAAGTGAAATTGGCAATCACCGTACTATGTCAGAAAGAAATAATTTTTTGAGGACTTTAATACTATTTTAACTCGGACTTTTTCTACAAAATTTATATTGAAAAGCTGCACAATCAAATCTGACAAACATTGTTATATTTCATAAGCCCGGCAAAATTGTTATACTAAAATACCTACATATTAAATTCTCTATTTTCAACGCCGTTCTCGAATGTTTGTTTCATATATTCGAATATCGTTGCAATCTTGGAATCGGAAAAGTTTCTAAATGCATTTAGAAAGACATTTATTTGTACTTTTCGAAGTTAAGAAGAGCCGAAGTTCGATGTGGGGATAATATGAGGCGAAGTCTAACCGCATTTCTTTTCCGTTCCCACATTCGTGTTTCGTAAACAAGCCTTTTATTACACTAGTTTGCTTAGTTCGAAACTTTGATCATTTCAGGCTGATGCAAGTGACTTTCCGCGTGTACAAGTGGGCAAGCGTGGCGGAAGTGACGAAATAAAAAAAAACTACTGCCATAACATACAGCGAACTTTTCGGGGAAATATCGAGTTCCATAAAACTTATATATATGGCAATATGGCAAAACCGTCCAAAATCATCAGAAGTAAAGGTGAACTATATCACTTTCAGATCATTCATATTTCAAATATTTTCTATTCTACAAACAAAAATTAGATCAAAACACGTCTTATTCTGGACTGTCGTCGAAAATTTCAAGAGATTTGTGTTTATTTGAAATACCGATAAAGCTTTGCTGTTCTGGACATCTACTAGAAGGCTATTCTCACTCAAAACTGATGTCGTTTCCAGGTTTTGTATGGCGAAAAGTATGGCTGCTCTGCTGAATGTTTGTATATCACCGAAACGATCCTCTTTAGAACTTATGCGTCAGTGTGGTTTGGTCGCTCGCGGTTTCCATTTTATGAGATTCTGGTTTGGGTAGAAAGGGAGAGAAAGTGAACTTTAGCGGCTGTCACATTTTACAAGTTTATATCTTCTAAGGTGATTGAAGTAATAACTATATTGCAAATTTCATTTGACTTGGATGGCAAGTGCATCTCAATCACTTTCAATGAGTAAATTCGCCGAACGTCGGTACCTACCCACGGTCTTGCGTATTGTTTACTCCGTTAGATATGTGTGTTGATGATAGGGCATAGTTGAGTCTTTAGAACTGATCGAATAGTTTGGTCCCGTGCTGTTTATGCACACTCTCAGGTTCAAATAATGAATTTAAAAAGGTACCGGCATTGCTTTAACCACATTTACAGCATTTTAACACTTTGCGCCGGTATTCACGAATTTGACGTGCAATGGAAGAGATGTCACTGGTCCCGTGCTGTTCATGCACACTCTCAGGTTCAAATAACGAATCTAAAAAGATACCGGCATTGCTTTAACCACATTTACAGCATTTTAACACTCTGCGCCGGTATTCACGAATTTGACGTGCAATGGAAGAGATGTCACTGAAGCCTATTGATTGTGTCAACTACCAAAATGTACATCAGCTGGGCGACTGTTTTATACAGGAAGAAATGGGAAATTTTTAAATGTAAAA